GATCGCCACAGATGATTGTGTCATGATCCAACGGGATCGCATTCAGGATGGAAGAGACATTTTCAGTATAGAGATCCGCTTGCTCAGGTGGTATATACAGACAAATGAGCCGAAGTTCACGACCAAGTTGAATACCCAAAGCAAACTCTTGAAGAGCAGAGGGCAAAGGCGTCTGGAATGCTGTAAGGGGACAGGAAGGGTTGATTAAGCATGTAATGCCACGAGAGCCACGACCACCGCCTGCGACAGTGACGCCAGGTAAGTGGAATTGCTGCCAATTGGTGGGTAGTCGGATGGGATGGCGGTTCAGCCATGTTTCGGTAATGAACAGCACAGAGAAGGATTGGCAATAACGGAGAACATCATCAATGGTGGTATCTCTGAGACCGCGAGCGTTCCAGAGGCCAATGGTGAGTGGAGTGAGTTGAGAAGCGCTATTAATGACTGGAGCCAAAGCTGTAGGAGGAGGAGGAGTAGTAGGTATAGTGTTATTGAGTATAGTTGGTATTGATGAGGACGGATTAGAAGCAGAGAGAGGATGGTCAGGGAGCGAGGAGGATGTATAATGACTGAGAGGACTCTCAATCATTAATACTCTTCTTCGTCGGAATCAGACATGTCAACATCAGATGAGCCAAAGCTTTTCTTGAAACCAGAAGAGCCAAAGATGTTATTGACAGGGGCGACAGAATCAATGTATTCAGTGGTGGTCCAACCATTTTCCAAAAAGTGATTAGCAACAGAAGCAAAAAGACGAGAACGACGATTGGCAAGGTAGACAAGAGACTTGGCACAACGATTGATTTGCAGGTCAAAGGCAGCATCCTCACGCTTAGAGAGGGACATCTCTTTAAACTTGGGGTCAGCGAGGTGTTTGGGATCAGTAGGATCAAAGCCTTCCACAACATTGATGTTGTTCTTGGTGAGAATGGAGACGAGGTTGTCCTTGTATTGCAAATGGACTAGGACGCCAATGATGTTTCTAGCAGGGAACGTTACATCAATGATACGAGAAGCATCAGCTTTGATCAGATGCAAGTTGTTGCGGACTTCAGTGCGAGTGAAGCGGCGAGAGCGGTTAAAGTACACCGTTGTGTAGCCTTTGGGCCCTTCAGGAGCCAAGTTAAAACCACGAGTAATAGCTTGGCGATGTTTGTCAGTTACATCGGCAGGGTTGCGAACCTTTTTGGAACGTTTGATTACTTCGGTCCAAGAGTTGTTGGGAGTCTTTTTGGTGGCATTGGGTGCTTGTTGCGTGGATTGAGTAGCTGAAGAATGAGGTTTGGGTTGCTGTTGAATACCTGATTTGGGTTGCGCTTGAGTGGTTGTGGAACCTTGTTGAGAGTTGAGTTGCTGACGCAGACGCTCATTCTCTTGGGTCAGGGATTCATTTTGTTTTTGGAGATTCAAAATAGTGGTTTTCAAGGCATTTAGCTCTTGCAAAGCACTGTTGTGGGCAGAGATGTCCTGTTGCATGGTCAATACTAGTCTCTGCAGATCCATCTGCGACATGAGAGTAGCTGGTGTATCGGTGTCCATTGTCATTGTTGATCGATACAAAGGTGTTGAGATGTCGAAAGAAAAATATGATGTTTTTTGTGGGTTTTTCAAAAAAGATGAATATCTGTTCAATCGAGCTGAGGTTTTCACAGGTTATACTTCAAGTACTAGGCACTTAATGTATGCTCGTTTGGTGATTACTGCTTTGTTTACTACTGCTTGGATACACTTATTGGAATTTTCTAATCACGTGGTACCTGAATTTTTGGCGGAACGTAATATAAAATTTCAAAAGCGAAAGAAGGGTGGGGGGGATGTAGCTCAGGCGAAAATTTATGGTTGTTTATTGATTACAATGAATTAGCAAAGTAAAAAATATAGACTTATATGCATGCGATCTTTGGATCATTAGTTGCAAGTCCTGAGAAGCGACGTACAGCAAAAAAGCTTAAATTGATAGTTTGATCTCCATGCAGGAACAACATGCAAGTGTCCAGAAAAGGGAAAAAAGGTCCTAAACTAAAAATTAAACTGGTAAAAAAGAAGTACAGGCAGGAAAAAGGAGTAAAACAAGTGAGATAAAAGGGTAGAGAATAAGAAGCTATGGTGTATGAGACATGCAATTGAGGATACCTCGATGTTCAGACAGCAGCACAGACAAAATAAACCCACAGACCTCAGTGGCACAAAAAAAGCAAGAAAAAAAGGAGAAAACGAGGCATTTGCATATAGCAAAATGAGCAGAGAGACAAAGACCAAACGAGAAAGAAGCAGAGAAGGAGGACAAAGTAAATACAGACACTACCATAAAGGCAGCAGAAACAGAAACAACGAGAGTGGGAATGAGAGAGCAAAACGATTTCAACAGCAAGGTGTCAATCAGTTATCAGAAGGCTCTGACATTTCAAGATCCTTGGTAGCAGAGAGAGTGGGGGAGACAGCATAAGCCAAAAGAGAGGCAGTTTCAGCATCATGATGCAAGAGGTAGCCAAGATAACTCAAACGTTGTTTCTTGGCTAAACGCTCTTGATCAGAGGATCGGGATGGTGGTTTAGCAGCAGCAGAGGAGGAGGAACGAGCAAGCATTTCTTCTTTCAAAATGGCATCAAATTGGGCTTGGTTGATGCGATCATACAAAAGAAAAGAACGAGCAACAGAAACACGGACAGAGCGACGGACAAAAGACAGCGAACGAAGGCAGCGAAGGTTTTCGACCTCAATGGCCTTTTGGACACGCAGATCACGAGAGAGAGAAGCAAATTTGGGATCTTTGAGATTGACTGGATCACATGGATCAAAGTCAATCAACGGAGAAGAGCCACGACCATGGAGATGCATGGCTTTGGTGAGGGTGAGAACATAGTCGTTGTGAACAAGGAAAGAAATCACATTCTGTACAGGATATTGAATATCCAGCACACGAGAGTTATTCAATCCTACGCCTTGAACAAGGCGACGCAGCTCAGAAAGACGACGGCGGACAGGAGTAGCATAGTACACAAATTGATAACCAGATGGTATATCACTTTGAGGAGCAAAAAGACGAGCAAGAGTAGCGGATGCCTTGGTGGCAGATGGAGGAGGAGGACGAGCAGCAGGCTTCTTCTTACGCTTTGCACCTGTATTAGATGCAACGACGGCAGCAAAAGATGGTTGATTTCCTGGAGACGAAGAGGTGGCAGAGGTAGCATTGGTGCATGTAGTTGATGTTGGTGCTGTTGTGGTGGTAGTAGTGGCAGGAGGTGGGTGGGATGATGATGGTTTGGGAGCCAGGCTAGTTGTAGTACCAGTAGCAGCTGCAAGTTGGGCTTCGAGAGCGTGACGAGCAGCTTCAGACTCTGCCAGGGCTGTTTTTAACCGCTCAATTTCGACATGGGCGGTTTCCAGACGAGCTAAGCGATTTCGAACCTCAATCATAAAGGTTGAAAGTTGCTGTTCACTCGCTGGAGAGGCAGATGGAGGAGTTGTTGGTCCAAAATCAGTAGAAATGTTGATGATATCAACTGATGTTTGTGGATGATGGTGCTGATGAGAGGTTGGAGTGAATGTCATTTTCTTTGTTTTCAACTGTTGAGTGAAATCTACAGCGAAAAAAGGTGGAGATCTTGAGGAACTTGGCCGTTTTTGACCTGGAGAAAGAGAGGACGCACAGCTTAATGCCTGGTTTACTTTGGTGTCGTCTGGAATGATGTTCTTGCTATGTATTGTATGGAATTGTAGAGTTGGGTCAATTTTTTCAATATTACTGGGCTTCAATGTATTAAAAAAATTGGTTAGCGGAAAGAAAGGTGGGGATGTAGCTCAAATGGTAGAGCGCTCGCTTAGCATGCGAGAGGCACTGGGATCGACGCCCAGCTTCTCCACATTTTTTTTGTTGAATCAAGTCATCATCGGAACGTCTCACACCGCAGCAAAGTCGTTTTGATGTGATTTTGATTCGACTAGGATTTCAATAAGTTCATGAATGCATTATGTATATTGTAACGGGACAAGGTAGTTCTATAATTTCATTTTTTTTCCTCTATCCAAACAAGTAAATTCCAGTTTTCTTCTCGATTTCTTATGTATTAAATGTTTACATTTCCACTATTTATTGTCTACACTGCTATAATCAGGTGTTTTCCATTTAGAAAATTCGTTGAAGGTGTTGGCTCTTATCTACCATAGGTAGTTCAACCGTCGACAAATGTAGAGATTGTTAATTGTGTCCATTGCCTGTATTTCTAGTGCGCGTCTTGATTACACATTGAGCAAAGCGATGTTGTTACGAGTCTTTTTTGACAAAGAGCAACGTAAGAAAGCAATTCATCCTTTTGGATAGTCAAGACAAGGGCTATGATAATTTTGATTATACATGGAACATCATAATCATTTGAATGCCCTGGTATACACGCATTGTCGCAATGATTCATCTTGTAGCTAGTTACTTTGATTCATACCCTTGATTATATTCATACGACAATGTTGTTCTTGATAGAACTTTGATACCATACCTACAAAAAAAAAAAAAAAAAAAAAAAAAAAAAAAAAAAAAACTGCTAAAGCCAAGTCTTAGATCAATCATCTTTTCCCAGATATTTGTATATCATTCTCTAATCATCAGCTCGAAATTTATTCAAATCTATGCGTGCAAAGATAAATCAAGGGAAAAAAAAAAACTACATTTTGACGGGTACCTTAGTAGCTCACTGAATTGTCACACTCGAACTCATTGCTATCTAATATATTGCTATCGAATCCATTGCATTTCATCTATTTTCTTTTAAATTTTTTTACAGTTTTCGTTATTTTGCATTTCTAACTAAATGAACAACAATAAATGTATGGCTCATCAAGTAATGTGGTCTGGTTTTGCTTGTCCATCCATTTTTCCGCACTTTATTTATTAAAATACACTCGTTATTCACAAGCTCATTTATGATAATACATGGTATCCAACATTCTACTTTAGAAATTGGCTTATTATTACAATACAAGGTTCTATAAAAAACGATACACTACTAATTAGATGCGGCATTCGCTGGGCTTTGTAAATAGGTGTTCGTATCATTTGCGTCCGAAAGGTACCTAAATCGCAGCCAAAAGTTGATCACAAGTGCTGCCACTATCAAAACACAAAGCACAGCAGGTCCATAGAGATCATCAAATCGACCCGTTTGACTTGGACTTCTCAATTGCCACGCTCTGTATTGAAATCTTGCAAGAGCATATAGAGCCAGCAGCATTGAAATAAACAAAAAAACACCTCCACAAATTCTAGATGTCTTGTCGCCAAAATTAAGCAAATTCAAGGCTACTGTCAGTAACAAGGCGCAGAATTGAAGCCAAGAGATGAATGTTCTTTCATTTGCAAAAAAGACTTTAGGCTCAAGTTTGATTGACTTTTTACCATTCTTTTTGTTTTTGGGCTTCTTTTGCGTCTTGAAGCCAGTTTCGATATCATCTTGGCTACTAGTCTTGTTGCAAAAGGATGCTTGAGAACGGTTGTCGTGTTGAGACTGGTTCTTGTATACAATGGGATAGCCATCTTGATCCAAGATTAGATTGCCAGTGCTGTTGTTGTTGCTAGTGGTATTGATGACCCAGTCTCCATGTCGTGAGAAGGAGTTGGATGATTTTGCACTATTATCCATGGCAGGTGAATGCATTTCCGTCTTTTCATTCATGTCGAGTACAATTTTTGGATTCTCGTTTTGGACAACAATAGCACTGCGAGCCAGAATAGCATCGTTGGAGGGCATATTCATGGATATCGAGACATATTCGCTGTTGGATTGACTTGATCGCACAGAACTGTCATGGTATTTTTGAGAAGAAGGGCTATATGAGCTTGCTCTACTTCTTGCATTGGGGTACGGTATGATGGATCGCACCTTTTCCCCGTTCAGAAGCGGATGCAAACTTTTTGAACGAGAAAGACCTTGGTGCTGCACAGATGCTGTGATGCCCTTTTGATAAAATCCTAGCCAACTTGGCACCTGGTCTTGAGAAACGAAACTATCTTGATCTGAGAATACTTGATACACGCCTTGCAAGTATTTGGAAAACTTGGGAACTTGGTGCAAGAGTTTGCTCTTTTGTGTGAATGTATTCAGCCAGTAAAGAGAAGGGTCGTCCATTTTGCTTTCTGTCGATAGTTTGACCTCTAGAATAGCATAAGGGAAGTGCTTGATTTGATTATCGGTAGATGGCGCAGTAAACGCTTGTATGTGGTATTGCTTTTGGAAATTAATGTCTGTATCAAGCGTGATGGTCAGCCTGCCATCATTGTTTGGCAATTCGAATGCCAATCGATTATAGTTGCATTGCAATAAGGGCTTCAATGACTGAGAATGTATGCCATCTTGAGCTGCTTTTGCAAGAGCCCCTGCGTTGTCGTAGTCAAGCTTCATGGCCTCTTTCTCATCCAATTCATCGTCATCTGCAATGTCTGGCACCGTGTACTTTCCATGACAGAAATCACTCATATCATTCTTGCCGATTTTGAATCTCGATTTGCTTGATACATCACCCGAGTAAAAGCTGTTGTGGACCTCGTCTTCAAAGTAATACACAGGGTCATTCGAAAATGAACCATACCTTTAATGAAAAAAAGGTATAAAAGTTAAAGATGAAATAGCACCACACATTTTAATGTTACCTCTTGCACTTTAGAACTTGAGTGTTCTCTTTCTCGTCAGCTCTGTCGCAGTACACATCCATATAGCTGTTATCAAAATACAGGTTGGACATGGCATTATCGCTGCTGCTGGCGGACGATTTTGGTACAACATAGCTGTACATGCAAAGAATGGCTGTAACCTCAGAGATGTGATCTTGATGGATCCAGTACTTTTTAGACCGTCTTTCAGGTACGATCAAAGGAATTCCACGCTGTTTACAGGATAGCTGACTGGCCTTGTAGGTATCATGGCGACATTCGTACCTCAGTGCTGATACTTGCTTGTAGAACGAGTGGCTGTGGTTGATTTCCAGCGATGCAATGTCATGACGGTATTCTGGTGCATTTTCCCCAACTTGATGATCGATATGTGTCCACTTTTGATGCTTTTTCAAAATCTTTTCAAATCCAATATGATTCAACCGAATAAAACTAGAGAAATCGTGTATATCAAACAGAATCTCAATTAAAGTGTCATCCAGCGTGTTGAGGAAATCTGCAGTAGAGTCCTTGACTGGCGAAAGTTGACTGAAACGCATGTCTTGCGGTATGGCCACGTTGTTTTTTCGAGCATTTTGTAGCAAATGCTGACTGTATTTGATGCGAGATACGAGCTGTTGACTGAAATCATGGATAAATTGCACAACCTTATTCCTTTCATTTGAAAAAAGCTGGATAAAAGCTTGTTCATCTTGCTGATTCCACTCGTGATCGAGTTGCCTGTTCTTCAAATCCATCTTGAGCAAATCATACTGAATGTATTCCAGTCTCCAAGGACTTTGCATGTGCTCTTTCAAGTAGTTTCCAAATTTCATGGTAAATCAGATTGATGATAGAATACTACTGAGATCCATTAAATTGGCATTTGAAAGTTATTTTATATCGTTGGACGAGAAATTAGAATAGTTTTTAATGATAAATAATAATAATAGTAGTAGTAATATAAATTGAGGGTTATGCGTAATCAGAAGGCTTGATATTTAATTGTTGACTTTCTGGTGTGGTGAATAAAAGAGGGGCTCGAAGGTAAAAGTTGATGCCTAGTGCAGTGACAAGCAGCACACATAGTAAAACTGGACCGTAGATATCTTCCATATTCATCATACCGCGTCCGGTTCTCATTTGATACGCTCTCAGCTGGAATCGCACCAAAGCATAACTGCAAGCGATAAAAAAATGAGTATATACATAGCCACCCTATACAAGCAGCAGCTGCAACTTACATGGAAATGACAGATGAAAACACAATGAAGCATGCGCCTACTACGCGAGAGATTCTATCACCTGTATTCAATAAATTCAAAGATACAGTCAACAGCAATGCACAGAATTGCAGCCAAGCAATAAAAGTGCGCTCATTGGCAAAGAACGCCTTGGGATCCAACTTTTTGGTCAAAGCCCCCTTCTTTCGTTTTCCTCCAGATGTGCCTCGCTCCATCACAGCACTTGCTGGCGTCATTGGCAGTGATCTACTGTCCCCCTTTTTCTTTTCATCCGAGAATATATTGTTTGCCCAGAATCTAGAAATCATATCTCGACCAGAAGTGGTAGCTGTAGCCGTAGCTGTCGTCTCAGGCAGTGGGTTGCTGGAAAAGTTGATCGACAAGTGTGGCACAGTGGTGGAATGCCCCCTTCGAGAGAGCTTGTTGGATTTTCTAGCTTCACTGTCCACAGCAAAACCCAAACTGATCTTTTTGCTGGTGGTTTGTTGTTGTTGCTTGAGTGGAGGCATCAGCCCAGCGTTGTCGCTGATCTTGATCGAGTCGTCATATTCTAAAGATCGTCTATGCCTGCCATTGAACAGCGCCTTGAAGCTTTGTGAGCGAGATAAACCGACATTGGGTGTGATAGGCTTTCTGATATCGGTCAGTAGTTGATCCAACCAGTATGGCATGGCAGGTATTCTATCCTTGAACAAATAACTAGCGCCGTGGATATATTTGGAGAACCGAGGCACCTCATACACCAAATGGCTGTCCAACAAGGAGGTTAACCAAGCAGGAGCCTCTTGACCTAGATGGCTCTGGATTTTGGTCTCTAAAATGGCATAAGGAAATCGCAAGATATCGGCATCATTGACATGGCGGAATGGATGGTCGATGCCAACATCAGGCCGTCTCCAGTTGTGGCTTCCATCAGGCATAGCTCTTCGCTGCTTGCCATCCATATGGTCTTCTTTAATAAAGGTCAAGTTGGAGTCTAGACTGATTCTCAATCGCTGATCTCCAGGCAACTGAAATGCCGTTCTGTTGTAGAATACGCGACACATTGGCTTGAGTTGCTTGGTCTTGATAGAATTTTGGATACCTTTAGCCACAAAATGGTTGTCAGCAATAGTGATTTGGTCCATTTTTCCCTTCTTTTCCAAGTCTCTCTTGAAGTGATCAGCCGAGTAAGCACCACTGATGAAATCATTGACTTGGGATTCCTTGAGCCTGAATCGATCCTTGACAGATTTATCGTTGAGCCATGCAGCATGATGTGTTTTTCTTTCAATGTAGACATCGTCGTTGAGTTCATCACTCTGACCATACCAGCGAATACGGATAGCTTCCGCGCCTTTAGCCCGCGCAAGACGTTCCTGATACAAATCAAAGTTCTCATTGTCGTAGTAAACGCTAGACACGGCAGCATCTTTGGACTCGTACTGCTTCTTTTGGTTAAAGACGTGCACAGGAAGATGAAGCAAGATGATGGCCTTGACTTCAGTGATGTGATCAGGGTGGATCCAGTACTTGTTGGTGGCTCGTTCAAATGCTGTTTGATCTCCACCTTGGGTGTATGCTTTGGTAGTGGATCTTGGGTTGCCATAGAGGCGACACAAGTCGTGCATGTCAGAAATGCGAACAATCATGACATCAAAGCGCTGTTTATCAAGAGGATACAGATCCAAGAGCTGTCCAAAGTAGTATGATTTAAGATCGCCACCAGTCCATTTGTCGTGCTTCTTGACAATCTTCTCGAAGCCTGCCAAATTGAGTTCATGGAACTTGGCCAAATCATCCACGTCAATCAGGATTTCAGCCAGACTGTCAGCCACCGAATCATAGGCGGTTGCTCTGGTCTTTGGGATCTCCTTGTATTCTCTCAGCATAGATTCGCAGTAATCGATGCGGCTGATTAGTGCTTTCTGGCGTACTTGCACAAATGTGTAGACTTTCTTGAGCTCCATTTCAATCTGATTGGCAAAGTTCTTCTCGTCTTGCGGGCTCCATACGCCATGTGTGTGCTGGGCCATAAGATGGCTCTTGAGCTTGTTGTAGTGGATGTAAGAATCTCTCCACGTTTCATGGATCTTTGAATTGAGTTCGGCTCCAAATTTCATCGTTACTGTCACTCTAAGAAAGGGATTGAGGTTAATCAAGTTGTGTGTGTATGGAGTTGCTCCAATGCCAACCTTTAAAATGTATCAAATTGAACAGTAAACGCACAAGAGAGAGAGAGAGAGAGAGAGAGAGAAACACAATGCTCATGGTGTCAAACAGCAAAAAAAAGGTGATATATGAGAGAAATAAACAAAGTCCAGGGAAATCAACAAACAAAGGCAGTAAAAAAAAAAAAAAAAAAAAAAAAAAAGATGGTTCATTTTAAATTTTCACTAAATACAGTTGTAATGTCCCGAGGCTAATTTATTATTATTGTCACAACAGCCTTCTTTTCGCATTGACAAATGCCAGCAGAGGGGTGGGCGCCACGTCCGATGGGCTTCCTGTTTGCTTTTGTTGTAAATCATTGTCGAGTGCAATTGAAATGCCACTGCCTGCTACTTCCACTGGCACTTGTCTTTCTCCGCTTTGTTGCTGTGATGCCATCACCTTGAGTCGAGGCAGCTTGACTTTGCCTGCCAACAGGGGATAACATGTGTAATGATAAACAGCTCTGGAAAGAGGTAAAACACGGCTCTTGAGTTGTTTGTAGCCAGAGAATACAAAGGCTTCACTGATCTCAATAGAGGCATTGTATTCAGCCAAGTATTCTGTGGGGTTGTAGACGGTATAAGAGAGGGTGAAGGGTTCACCGAGATAGATTTCAGATGGTATATCTATGTGTGCTTGTTATTAGAACAGTAGTGAATGTACTGTTGACAGCGCCTACTCACCTGCTAATACAACAAGGTCTTGCTGTTGGAATTGAATAGAAGGCAGTCTGAGAACAGACTTGTAGTAGTGTTCATTCTGATCTCCCGATCGCTTCCATTCAATGACAATCTTACCAGTTGGCACAGCTGCTTGTTCCTCTGTTAAATCACTGGTAGCCAACTGAAAGAGATAGTTTGCATTGTAAATATGCCCCGTTTTCCATGCTATGAACCCATGTTACTACACGCAAACAGAAGCATAGCACACGCCACTTACTTTGATTGTCAAAATCATCCATGCTGGAGATCAACGAGAGCTCAGTACACATGGCCGTACATGTCTAGTTGTACGTCATTAGCAAATGTCCCCTCTCTCATCCGTCTGTTCAGTTACCTCCTCCTTCTCCAATTGCACATGTTTAATGTCCAAATCCCAAGCAGAAAAACAGCGAAGAGCAGCTACCAGGAGCCATCGCTCTGATCTCTCCAATTCAGGGGCAATGGATTTCTTCAGCTTTTCGCTCTGCGCACACAATTCATAATTGGCATCAAACGGCGCAATGAATGGGATACGAAGCGAATCTGTCTTTTCGACGGCCTGCAAAGCACCTTTACCGACAATAGAGTATTTGACTGCAATGGTGATCAATCTGGATCCTGTGACATTGCCACCATGCAAATACACTGATTTCGTAATCGACTGTCCAGGCTCAATCTGTCCCACATCTGCTTCCTGCAGGGCGGCATGTTGGTGGTTGTCTATGCTGAATGAGATGTAGTCCTCATTGACAATGCCCTCTGAATTCTTGATTTCTGCAACAAGTGTTGCTTCCACTGTCTCTGTTTCTGAACTGGTCATGGTCACATCCAATTTGAACAACTCGTCCAAAAGTGCTGGTGCTGCGTGTTCAAATTTCAAATCAAGGCTGGGTGGTTTCTGCATGACACTAATTATTCCCATAAATCAAACCATCTCTTACGATAAAAGGCATTTCTAACTTACGTTGCTGTTGACAAATGGCCTCGACCATCAAGAATCTTGTAAATGGGCTTTCCATCTGCATAAGATTCAAGCCACTTTCTTCTGGACGCAGGTTGTTCTTCTGTCATCTTGTCCAAGGCGTATTTCAATTCTACTTGCCATTGGGGGGTGATAATATCAAAGCAAACATCCAATATCTTGAGTTCACCACAGTCTTGAGGAACCACAGACCCTTGCAATGCTTTCGTTTGTCCCTTGAAGACTTGCAAATCTACCTTGGCAGTGTGCCAGTCCTTGTGTTGACCTTCCTCTGTTATCTTGCTCACATCCTTTGAAAAGTCAATCAACTCTACACTGCTTGGCTCTTGCTCAGCACCAATATCTCTCAAAATGACATTGTACTGTGGATTGTTGAACATCACTTTGACTGCATTGAAGCGGAATGGCACAGGTGGTGATTTCCTGTTGGTCTTGATGATGATTTGGTAATCTACGGGTGCGCCCACAAAGTTTGTTTGGTTCTTGATTTGCACTTGACAAGTGAGAAATGCATTGATTTGGTCCATATGAATGACGAGTGGTGCATGTTGCTCTGCAGTGACTGCTGGATGCACGTGGAGAATGTCAAGCAGTTCCTTTTGAATGTCGTTTCGCTTGTTTTCTGCCATGGGTAAATCGTCAGACATGAGTTCCACCAGACACTCGACAGCTCTCTCCCAGGATCCCAGCTCTTTAGCACAACGCAATGACCATCTCAAAATTGAGGTGAGTACCATGTGCCACTTTTCCTTGCGATAGGTCTTGCCAATCCGCTCGAAAAACTTGATGGCCATTTCAAATTTACCCGTTTCATAGTAGGTGCCAGCAATCTCGGCTGCTAAATACAGTGTCATGCGCCCATTGCGGTATCTCTTGAACTGCTCGTAACTCTTTGTCAGTAGCTCAATGGTCAAACTCGAGTGATCCACCAGCTTTTCATTTTGAAGCGCTGGATTGGTGTCTGAATTGGCGTCTGATCGCTCAATCTCCAAAAATCGTCGTCTGCGCTCTGCACAACACATGGCTGCTAAATGATAGTAGAATCCAGGATGTTGAAGAATGGTTCCAGGATTGCATCCACTGGTATTGGTGATTCCTCCACCTGTATTTCCGAGAATGGGGCTGTTGGGTGTTCCTCCACCTACAGATGATGTGAGGTAGGCTGTTGGTAAAGGCACTTTGTATCCTGCTTGAATAGCTGCGTCAATGCTATCAGCGAAAATGCGATATCTATCACCCTTGTTAGTCTCTTCCTATGTGTTGCAGACGAACTACTTACTGCTTGGACAGCCATGCCCAGTACTCAAATGTATGCTCGCCCATGCCCCATGTCGGTGAATATGATTGAAACATGTGCAAATGGCCATTCAACTGACTCAAGGCTGCAGTTGGATCGTTCATAAACAGATGAAATTTGCAAATCTTGACATTGATGCAGTCTGCGAGTGTTCGAGCTTCTTTCCATCGCTTGCCATGCACTGTCAAATTGACATGACCCATTGTGATGGAGGATGTGGGTGCAAGCATCTCTGCAATGATACCATATGCTGCCTCGTATGACTTTAATGCGCCGTCTATCTCTTGTTTGGTTTCCTGGAAAAATGCTGCTTTGATGTCGTATCGCAATATCCATCCTATAATCGATAATGGCTGTGGTTCTGTGGATGACAAGTCAGGTGTGGTCCGAGGCATTTGAGAAGGAGAGGGTAATTTTGACTTTTTCTTGCGAATCTTCTTGAGGCGGTTGCTGTAGAAATGAAGGGCTGGTTCGTACAGTGCTCGATAAAGACTAGATAGAGAGTAAACACCCTGATTTCAGCCACTCTCTTACCCACATTTTACCTATTGACAAATTCTTGAATCTCGGTAGCTGATCCAGGTGCAATAGTGAAGAATGAGCTTCTGGCGTCTAATCCACATTGCTTTCGAATAGCTGACAGTCTATCTTCAATCGATGGATCTAGTCAAAGAGGCTGTTTAATCACTACTATTCAATGCATCTTGCCATATTGCAACAATAGAATCTACCAGTATAGCGTTGCTTGAGCACAATCACGGCTGCAAACTTGATGCCTTTTTCTTGAAAGTACTTGCGTCTCGCATTGATTTCGATAGCTAACTGTGTGTCATGCTCCCGTTCAGTGGGATCAATGAGTACCTGAGAAGCGAGAGGGCCTGTTTCACGTTGAGGTCGAGGCGGATTGCCAGGCTCTGTTTGCCAATCCCACAAGTCGTAAAAGCCAACCACAACACTGGGTGAATACAGGTGCTTTTTAATCCACAATGGCGTCATGACGCCCTCTGGATATAAGGGTGAATCATGCGACAATGGCGAAAGATGTGAATGAGGTGGTGGTAGATTAGGTGCTGCTGGTGATGGTTTTTGTGGTAATATATAGTCCTATGTTTCAATGTGAGTAGATGATACACGTTTTCAATGTTAGGTACTTTTACCTTGGAGACGGTAATGACTCGAAAGGGTGGCGGTATCTGGTTGCTAGACACATAGCGAGAGGCTTCGTACAAACTGTAGTCTGACTTGCTCGTGAATAACGATAGCAATGAACTGGCTAAACCAGAGCGTGTGGATGGTGATGATGCATTGACGGAAGATGACTTTTCAGTTGAGTTTGCTGCAGGTTCATCTACATCGACTAGTTTTGTATCATTGGGTGCATTGGATGAGGATGAAAGACCGTATACAGCCAGCACAGGCACGGGATGAAGCAGATACTCGGGAGGATATGAATACATCCTTCTTTGACTGTGAAAGAAAGAAAAAGAGAAAGAACCTGCTTAAGCAACCAAAAGACGTGGTGGTGAATGATCACTGGGTTTCAATCCAATGTGATAAAGATGAAATGGTTTCCTGCTTTCAAACATTTTTTCTTTTCGTTTCCACAACACTCTTTATTGAAACAACACATTATACAACATGGAGGACGACGAGCTTCAAGCTATCAGAGCCAGACGTTTAGCTGAATTGCAAGGAAAGAGTGGGGGATCATCGCAGGTAAGCGCCACACAGGATGAATGCCATTTGGCTGCAGTATTAAAAAAGTTTTTTGCTTAAAAGGGTGCTGGTGGTTTCTCTGGTGCTCCTGCTGGCATGGGCAGTGCTGCTGGCGGATCAAAAGAAGATGCTGAAAAGAAAGGGTAAATACTTGAGTATATATAATCACACAGCAAGTATGGCTAATGGAGTAATAGACAAATGGAGGAGATGCGTCGCAACATGGTAAGATGGGAACAGTGCAAAGGACGGGCAAAATGACAATATTGACGACAGGTTGTAGTTGTATCAAATTTTGGACAATTCTGCTCGCGAAAGATGTAGGTGTATACCGTTAAAGGTGGATGGCATGTATGTATTGATTTTTTTTTTTGACAGTGGGCCGTATTCAAATGGTCAAGGCGGATAAGGCTCGTGCAGTCGAGGATCTCCTGATCAGAATGGCACAATCCAATCAATTGAGAAGCAAAGTAACCGAAAAGCAATTGATTGATCTTCTGGGTCAAATCAATCAACAAGACTCTAACTCTACTCAAACCCGTATTGTCGTAAGTGGTTGATCTGAGCACTAGTTCTGGATGTATCCTAACCCCCCTTTATGCTAGTATAACCGTAGACAATATGATGATTCAGATGATGATTATGATTTATAACTTTCCAATTGATGGTTTCAGGGCATAGTAATAAATGGCTACTTTTGGTAACACCTGCGTTTTGCTATTACGCTTTCTTCCCTGCAGTCTCAAGGCACATTCTGCTGCAACTGATTCACATCCTCTTACTATGGCATCTAATGATGTGTTGTCTGTTGGAACATGAAGCGCAATCGCTTTATTGCATGCTTTTTAAAGCTTTGATGTCGAAACTGAGTAACAATCTTAGATCGTTATACAAACGAGATTGACAAACATTCAAATGCGCACCAATGTGCTGAAGGATGCTTAGAATGTGCTTGAATGTGCCAGGCTGAAGTCTTGATGAGGACCAACTACTGCTGCTTTTTTGCACAAATTTGTATTACATACCGCCCTTCAAAATAATGCAATCTTTGCGATTGCTAGTCTTCATGATGCCGTGTAGTAAGAAGAGACACCTCGGTTATAATATCTTGATTTCAGTGCGCTGCTTACAAGAAAATCGCATATGCATGTGATTGCAAACAAAATTGCCCACAGTGGCGAGCAAGTAATATATCAATTGAAAAAAAGTCAATAAAAGGATTCAGTAAATCCAAAGGAGACCCTTCTTCATCTCTTTCCTCATCTCTGATCATAGTCCAGTGCTTATACCAAGAGCAGCAAATTTATCTATAAGACGCTTACAGTTAAAACAGAGCACTGTAAGCTAACAATACAACAGACTGTGAAGAAATTTTATGTTAAATCAAATCATGCAGTAAGAGGAAATTGATATATTCAAGGATACTTCTTCGTAAATCAAGATCGAGGGAGAGTAAATCATCTGATCGTCCCTTTTGGTCGTTGAGTTATATGATGCCGGCTCATAAATATGTAAGACTACGCACAGAAGTGCTCATGAAGGTGGTGAAGGCGTTTATGAAAGTGGTGGAGGAAGGTGTCGGTAACAAGGATTGATGTGGGTCACTCTGTCCTTGTGCGTCCTCATTTACCATTTCTCCCACTTCTCCAGGCTTCATTCATCACTTCTCTCCCTTATCCAGGCTTCATTTAACGTTTTTGTGCAGACTCTGAGCAGAATTGAGCGAGTTTGGTGATTTTGGTGATTTGAACACACCCAATGGGATCGTTCGAACACATTCTAAGAGATTCCCAGCACATTCCAGCTCATTCTGAGAGACTCTCAACACATTCAAGCACATTCTGGGCGTCCTAGCAATGAAGCACTCTACCAACAGAGACAGTGATATATTAGCAAAGCTAGTGGCTCTGAGGCGCTTTAATTGTGCAATAAATGAAGCAAGGATAGCGCACAGGGCAAGGACAATATCAGTAAATTAGTTATATTCTTCGAGTAAGTCAAATCACCTCAATCGATTTAAGGCAACCTTAACATCGAGGAGTGCTTAGCATTTTATCAGGGTCTTCTAAGATAACGTTATATACAAAGGATTAGATATGATCTTCGGTAGCAAGATAAATAAGATCTCAACTGAGAATAATTTTGATGAAAAGAGTTAGAGCATCCAGCCAACATTAGAAAGTATTATTACACGAATAGATCCACACACACGATGTAGCCGAAAAATTCAAGTGGTGAGATCTTTATATCCAACGAGTGTGTTTTGGCTTCGGATGGTTCTCTATCTTCGCATCGCTTTGGTGAGAACCAACCTGCGCAGCGTCAGCTTGAGCTACCGATTGCCCTTGCGTAGCTTATCAAAATACTGCTACTTTCATCTTGACTCTCCACTTACACATGAAAATCCTTCGTATTATCTGTGGTTCTGGTTCTTATGTGATAATCTACATCCATATACACGTAGTTACTTCGTATACGGGCAAGCAGCATACTGGTATTTCCCTGTTTTAGTCGTTAGTGTCCCTGATACAGCAAAATCTGAGTGCATTTGAGCTGCGTTTTCTTGCGTTCAAGGCCGTTTTAGACTGTCAGAATAGCACCAAACAGTTGCTCTCATCTGGCAGTTACTTGCTGACACTATTGCTCAACTTTTTGGGGACTAAAAAAACATGGTCAAAAATCGACCAAAAAGCATGAGGTACCCCTCATGGTTTTCATCGAAAATCAAATGATCGCGTTTTTCACCTTGATAACCAAGACTTTTACTATGGTATATCTTGAATCAAAATGTTTCTATCGATCCAAAGCAACCTCTGAAATCATCTTTGTGGGACTTTGATATGTAAAATTTCGACATTTTGGCCAGAAAACTCGTTTCATATTTTCATAAATCATTCAATAAGTTTATTCAAATTATCTATTTTACTTGGTACCATTGGATGCGCCTTGAAAAGTACTCCAGGAAAGCTTAAGGAAGCATGGGGTGATTATCATACTTCACTTAGTCGAATCTGCAAAAATAGCTTAATCGAATCCAAAACCATCAAGATTTGTCCAATCTGGAACAAACTATGATTCTGGATTTGAATTAATTTTGGCTTGTGGGGGGTAGGCTGGCAAGCTCAATGCCCTTTTAAACATGAATAGACAGTGCCTTACTGAAGATCATGGGCTGGGCGGTTACAATTTGTGCATCTCATTGATATTTTCGGTGAATCTATCAAACACAGTTCAATAGTCTATATATACCCTAAAAACCATATCTTGTCACAAAAGCACTGTATCTACGCTGCTGTGGTCTGCGAGGTCGAGGGTTGCGCATTGCATTGAAGCTCACTGCAGTCTCATGGCGGCATTCCGGGCAAATTATGCTAGTCTTGTATTCGTCTGTAAGAAACACATTGAAGCCATGCTTCCTCAAGAGACGGCGAAAATCTCAACCACGAATTGGCTCGTTTCCATGAGCCATAGAAGCCGACAAACTGCCCATGATAGATGCGGCGTCTGGGAGTCGTTTTTGCAGCTTGCAGATCAATTCCTTGTCTGCTCAATCTCGATTGAACCTGGCAGGTAATTTGAGTCTTCGGTGCAAAGCGTGCCGACTCTCGTTGGTGTCTGTCATTATTAAGTCATCGCCCTCAATTTACTATAAAACATGTTCTTGGTGGTTCTGCTAATCAGGCTTGTTTCATGCAACACCTTCAAGAAAAACACAGCAGACTTTGTCAGGTGTCTCTTTCGAACTGCAGCCAAGGTAGTATTACAAGCTCTTTTATCTTTAAAGTCAGGTGCTTAAAGATGTCCTGCAGCATTTAAACACTGTATTTTGAAAAAGACTGGTGAACAGTTGAATAGTTTTATAGCTCTTCTCATCCGATCTTTTATTTATCTTGACTATTCTGGTGGCAAGCATCATTTCATCAAACAATCTAAATATAGAGGCTTTCTCGTCACAAGTAAGGTTTGTCATATTTATAGTGAATCCAAGTAAAAACTGAACGAAATACGCAGCAAATACAACATTGTTGCATTTATGTCAATGGCCATTTCGGAATATGTATTAGAAATACCCAGCACAAAATATACCAACGATGTAGCTAATAAGGTAAAGAATGATTTATTCACGATGAACATAATAGCAAAAGGGTAGTGAAATAGGTATGATATACATATATGCTAATGTTCAAATTCGTTATCAGAATGGCGAGCCCATTCATTCTCGCTGACAGCATCCCAGCTCTCTTCTGAATCAGAAACAGCGCGAGAGGAACTAACAGATGTGCCAGCCTCCGAGTCAGTAACAATCACTTCTGAAGCATCAGGAAATTGAAGGTTGGATGAGTGCATATGATTGCTATGGTCGCTCTCGTGAGCACCGCTGCTCTCTGATTCCTCTCTCTTGCTGTTGATAAGAATGGCTGTATGCTCTCCACTGCTACTAGCATTTCCATGGCCATGTTGATAGTAACTATCATCGTCACTGTCATCATTCCCACTGTAAGCAAAGTGGGTAGCAAATGGATCCAACACTTCGACAGCAGATACACCAGATTCCGTTTCTTCATTGGGACTAGATGCAGCAGCTTGATAGAAACCTTGCTCTTCCCTTTGAAGCTCCAGACGACGATTTCTAAGGTTCTCTTCTTCTCTATCGAGGAATGCCTGCTCTGCCATGAGTCTTCTCTTTCTTTCTGCAATAGAACTTTCGAGTTCTGCTAGCTCGAATTGATCTTGATCAAGTGATGACTATTTAAGCAATATTAATCATTAGTCAGTCTTTTACAAACGAAATTAACCCACTGTAGCTGTTTTTTTTTCATTATGGCTAGTGGCTTCATCTTCATGATCAGAGAAACCCTTTGAATACGGTTTTCTACTGCGCAATTGGGTAGTATCATGGTGTAGATGATGAGGGTTGTCTTCTTTATCGTCTTCTTCTGCCATGAAATCTTGGTCAAGCTCAAAATCGTTGCTGTGTCGAAACACATTGCGATGCTGCTGTCTTGAGTTATAACTCTGCTGTTGATAATGGTAGTAATTCTCTTGTTCCTGTAACTGCTTGTAAATGGCCAGACCCAGAGCTGCGACGCCTCCGACTACGATTGCTGCCAGAACAGCAGGATGAGGCATGTTATTAATGTTATTTGTTGATGAAGTAATGTTGAAAAACAAAAAAGAAGGAAGGAAATGTTTAAATTTTGTTTAGGGAGTTGTTGCAAACGCAATTTTTATACAACTGCTGATCACTCATTTCATGGCTGGTTTGCCCTACTGCATCCCACCAATGGAAGAGCGGCTAAACGAGAGTTAATTATGCAGAAAAAGTATTAGTCGCAATGCCCAGTAATTCTCAGTAGTATCGGTGCTTGGCATTTGATTCGCTCCTGTCAACATTGTCATGGGAAGCTCAACATTGGCTAGATCCAAGCTGAAGGGTCTGTCATCATTTGCGACAAATCGAAACAAGCCGCATCATTCCCACCGAGCGATCAAATGTGCATAGTGAATGGGCTATCAGATATGCATCAGGTACTTTACATCCTTTGATCATATACCTAAAGTCACGCATTTGCCATTCTCGATGATTTCTACAAAGCGTTCATATGGCTACATGTTACTACAGATCTGAATACGATCCTGTGTAGCAAATGAACAACTCACTTTCAGCTAAATGGCGCTCTAGTCGGTAACGACCCCCCGTCTCTAATATTAACGAGATATTACTGGCCCTGATTCATTTAATGCAAGCACTTAATATGTCACATGCAATGCCAAAAGTCAAAGCTACTGCAATTAGTACGCCGATCCAAAAGGCATGTAGGATGAAAAAATCCCCATATTCCATTTTGCATTTTTGTGGCGTCTTCTTTCGCTTTCCTCTCATTTGCACCATGGTCAACGCACTAGGATATAGCAAGAAATTTAAGGAAAAAGCCTATACAGCCAATGGCGTCTATTCAAGATCAGGAAATTTACCACTGATCATTACAGCACCGCATGGCGGATTACTGAAGCCAGAATCAATACCAAATAGAATTGGAGATGGAAGTGCGATACTAGGCGACATGTATACCAAGGATATTGCTCTAGGCATTGAGCAGTTTATCGTAGATCATTACGGAAATGGCGCTCCTTATGTTGTTGTAAATAATATATCTCGCCGAAAAGCGGATCCAAACAGATCATTAGAAGAGGGTACAGAGACGGAGGCAGGTGAGCAGGTTTGGAAAGCGTACCACGGCCGAGTTAAAGACGCTGTAGAGAGTGTATTACAGATGAGCTTGTATGGCCTGCTTGTGGATATCCATGGTAAGTTGGAGGATTTGGGACAGAGAGATGGACCAGGCTTGTCTGATGTGTGGTTTCATACAGGGCACACACATTCTAGTGGCATGATAGAGCTAGGTTACCTGCTATCACCAGACGAGTTACGATCTGATAAGGCCAGACTGGACCAGGCGATATTAGAAAAGAGCTCCATTCAATCATTGGCAAAGAGACACGTGAAGACCAAGGCACCACATCGACTTCTCGGGTTGTTCGGTGATTCAATTATGAAATCAAGTAACAATCAGATTTCAGTGCTGCCATCTTCAACCATACCAAGCCCTCATGATGGGGATTACTTTATGGGAGGTTTCACAACGCAACACTATCACAACTATTGGAACGGCCTCGATGTCGTTCAAGTGGAAATACCCAAGCACCTTCGTTGGAACAAGGAAAACCGGCAGCATGTCATTAGAGCAATTTCGCTAGCCATTATCAAGATGCTCGATCAATATTACCTCCACTATAGTAAATTATGATACGGATAGCTATCTTGTTTATAACACATCCGCCAAATCTTCTATGAGCATTCTATTAAGCCGCACAGTCACTTTTTTTCGCGAAAAATTCAGATGCCATTTGAGGCCTTTAATAATAGAACCTCTTTAAAAACTCCCTTCTTCCACATTTCACATTTTTCCCAAACTTCATCGCAAACATTTGCAAAAAAAAAGCAACCAAAAATAAACGCATTCTACGTAAACTAACAGTAATTCTAAATTGGCATATGTTGTCACTTCAAAACTGATGTCCTAATTTATCATTTTGTTCTATTTTTCTTGATATAGTATTATACACTTCGATTGGCATCAATTTGAATTTGACTCGAATAATCTGCAAAAAAAAAAAAATACAACATAAGGGCAACCTTCTCATATGCGTGAGTAGTAATGAAACGTTTCGACTAGTAGTTCTGCGGGTGTAGTTAATCGAGAAAATTCTATAGGTTTTCATATTTAAAGGCATTTTTGAGGTATTTCTTCTACATTGGCCTTTTTTCGTTGAAAAAACGAAGCCTCGTCTAAAATAACTATGAATAATTTAGAGGTAAAAAAAAAAAAACGAAATCTTCCGAAAAAAGTGAATCAAGATTCAATAGCATCCAAGGATCAAGGTTTGGACTAGTTTGTATCGGTTTCATTTGACTATCTGCGCGTTCACAAAATCCATCCCGGTAACATTTGCAATCTTTTAGTTTGGGAGGGGAAAAAGGAATCTTCGAGTCTAAACCAGCTATTTCAAGGCAAAAAGTTATCGACTTTTCGCAGATCCAATTCCTGCAAGCAAGCAAAGAACTTTTTTCGAACAAGGATAGAACCATCATCGAACCTCCTGTGTCCTCCTCCTCCTCTTCTGCTCACTCTCCGTTCCTTCTTCAAACTCCAAGGGCAATCTTTGCCTCCCCGATCCATTGCACTCTTTTGTGGGACATTCAGTTACACCAATGGTGGAGATGTGATACGTCAAGATCGTATTCTGCTCCACTCATTTGGATGACATTATTAAGATGCATCGCAATAACAGAGTAAGTGATGAACCATATGTTTCTATCTATTGCAAATACTCACATCAGTCCATTAGATACCGTCGGTGTGCTCCCTCTTGGGTCCATCTGTACCCATTGCTCCATCCACAGCACAAAACGGCCAGACTTTCCTTCTGTATTGTTGATTGCCTCTTACCATTTAAAGCTGAGCAAAGAAGGGGTTCTTATCTATCGGATGCTGATGTCACAACCTTCTGCGTTGGCCGTCTCTATCTGCTGACCAGCCACGACCATCTCCGGGCTGCTGCTTCTTGAGACGATCCCATTGAAACATCTGTCATCGCTGATTGTCGCAACTCTGCTTGTTGGTTTTCTCGTTTGGTAAAGATGAAAATCCAACACGTCTGTTGGCATTCTTTAAAGGAGCAAGGGCCCATCTCTGGTCACCTGCCTGCTCTCCTTCGAGGGAGGAGCAAGAAACATCGAACTCGCTCTGTTTGGGGGAGGAGCATAAAACATGGGCGCGCTCTGTTCATTGTGATATCGTGGGGAGATCTCTCGGTTGTGAAGTGACATTCGCTTCGCTTGTGGTGCGGGGAGATGTGGTCATGCCCCACTGATAAACCCAATCCCGTTTTGCCTTTGCTCGATTTAGAAGCAAAATGTAAATAGCAACCTCTTTTTCATTTACTCAAGTATGATTGGCATGGCACTAAAATATTAACGTTTTTGTTTTATTTTGTGTGAAACAGGTGTTTACTATTCGGTGCTTCAAGAATCACATCTTCCCCAACCTTGTACCTGAGCATTTGACGGGTTCTCCCCTTTTGTGGTATAAAGCTCCCATGCGCCTCGATTTGCGGGTCCTTCCTTTTCCGGATTTGATAGGCAACGATGATATCCTCCCTCCTTCCTTCTGCGTTGCCTTGGTGGTGAGAACAAAGAGACATATTCATATGGATGAGCGCGGTCAATAATCCATGGGCAAGAGCTGACATTTCTCCATGGCTGGGCTAGTCAATACCTTATCCGCACATGGGTTGCTCACTGTTTATCTAAAATAAATCTGTGGGCGACTACCTATAGGTTATTAGCCATGATAGACGAACGGGGGAGGAGACATAAAACATTGCCCTCCCTGCTCGATACTTTTTTAACGAACAAAAATAAAAATATAAAATCACTTTTATTGGTGTGTGGTAGTGTCGTTGTTATGGTTACTCAATGTGGCAGTGTTGCAATGGTTACTAGCAGCAGCTGGATTGTTTGGGCGCATCACTGGGAATGCCAAAACCTCACGAATGTGTGTAGCACCAGTCATCAGTTGTACGACTCTATCAATTCCCATTCCCCAGCCAGCCGTAGGAGGTAATGCATACTCTAAGGCATCACAAAAGTCTGTGTCTGGTAAAGGCGCTTCTAGATCACCATCTTGTCTATCTTGTAATTGCATTCTAAAGCGTTTGCGTTGCTCTTGGGGGTCATTCAACTCTTCATAGGCATTCACAACCTCTTTTCCGCCCACAAATAGTTCAAACCTTGCAGCCACTGTTTGGCCCTAGTAGAGCATGGTTTTATGAATGAATGTCAAACAAATAAACAAAGAAGCAAATACTAACCTTAATATCAATAGCATCTTTTGCCAACGGACTTAATGCAAGTGGGTGGTTGTATAGAAATGTAGGTTGAATGCATTCGGGTTCGATGTATTCAGATATGAGTTTGTCCAAAATACGCGCTAATGTCAATGGCCCAGACAACTTGATCCCCTTTGCGTGGCATAACGATGTCAATTGATTTAAAGCATCTGTATAACAGTCAGTCAGATAGACCTCAAAACCTCTAGAAGGCTAGAACCTTACCTTTTGATTCTAGAAACTGCAACGAAGTGCCCAATTCGCTGCTTAATCTATCCATGACATTGATTCTTTTGAACGGATCACGAAAGTTGATCTCTTCCCCTGACTTTAGCAAAATCGGCGTCTGGCCGCACACACACTCCGCCATTTCTGACAGCAATGTCTCTGTATCCTGCATCAGGCCCTCTAGAGTTCCATACGCTTGATAGAATTCGCATGTAGTAAACTCGGGATTATGATCTGAATCCACGCCTTCGTTTCTAAACTGCTTTCCAATCTCGAACACTCGATCTATGCCGCCAATCACCAGTTGTTTGAGGTAGAGTTCAGGTGCAATTCGAAGTTGCATATCCATGTCCATGGCATGAGCGTGGGTTTCGAAAGGTCGTGCGTTTGCTCCACCCGCCTTTCCTGATAAAATAGGCGTCTCTACTTCCAAAAAGCCTCGTTTGTCAAAGAAATCTCGGATGAATCTGATAACTTTCGATCGGGTGCGTAATATTTTGGATGATTCTGGGTTGACGAGCAAATCTAAATGTCTGGCACGAAATCGCTTTTCTGGATCTTTGAGGCCTGTGCGAGGAATGTCGTGTAAACATGGCGTAAGCACTTGTAAATCCTTGGTGACGAATACGCTCAGTTGTCCATGGTTTGTCTTGCCAGGTACACCCGTGAATGCTGGACACAAAGCAGATGAGTGTCTCGTTTGATTTCCCACTAACAGCCCGCTACTTACAGGCAATATCGCCTCTACATAAATCTCTATTCTTATCCGCAAAGTCCTCTGGTGAGCCACTGAATCTTCCTCGAGATGCTACTACTTGTACTGATTCGCCGTTCTGCATAATGTCATAAAAGATCAACTTGGCGCTGGATTCTCTTTTGGAGATGATGCGACCTGTCAATGTAACAAGATCATCTTCAGCCTTCTTTCCTTTCTCCAGTGGCTGATATTTGAGCAGATCTTTTGCTGTGATCCACTTGCCATGCTTCTCGGGTTGTATATGAAAGCGAGGATAAGCCAGAGCTCGTTCTCTCTGCACAGCTAGATTCAGTTGTTAGTTTCATTGTACTGATGAGCTCATTTCGAGCATACCTGTTTGAGTAAAGTTTCGTTGTATCCAATGTCGATTTGAGACGGAGCAACGCTGCCTCATCCATGCTGCCAGTATTCTTTGAGTGGTCATGGTGCAATGCAAATAGAACGAAGGATAAACAGAAAGAAAAAGGTTACTATATGTGACTAGGCGAGAGCAGGGAGGGTACCTTGCATTTGCAGAGGTGCTATTGGCTGTCGATGTACTCATTTGATGCACATCTCCGCTCATAAGTGGCTTCCATTAGTCGCTCCATTGACACATCTCTTTTTCTTTCTTTCGTTTCAAACAAACTGACAATGGATTCACCCTTCTTGAGAACCGAAAGTCCAACTCCATTAGGTTTGTATTGCAATTGGATTTAGATGAAACCATCTCTCATGTGCATGTGTCTGTGTCTGTGCGTAGGAAGCCTCTCTCAACTGTCCAGCAGCAGACCATTGCACCCCACACGATGCATTCACACCATCTCGCAAGAGGACAGAAATTCAGTACTCTCATTAGCAGCCAGTAAGAAATACCTGTTTAGTGGCAGCCAAAGCTCTCAGATCCATGTAATGGAAACAGCTAAAGTATCAATGGCACAAGATAACTGACAAGAATGCATAGGTTTGGGACCTTCAAACTTTCACCTTGGTTACAGTCCTCAAAGGCCACAGAGGCAGCGTGCTTGGTCTTACCTTGTCGCAAGATGAGCAGTATCTATTTAGTAGCTCTGGCGATGGTACTGTTCGAGTAAGTGCCTGATTGAATGGCTCTGTGTATGTCAACTCATTTTCTTTGCATGAAAAAAGGTGTGGAATACAGAGACACTTCAATGCGCCTACTTGATACAGTCCTGTCATGATGTGGGCGACATTTTCTCCTTGTGCTATTCTGATGTGAACCAAATGATTTACTTTGGCAGCCAAAATACAAGCATCCAGGTATGAGAGGACGACAGATGTAATATGCCCATGTGTGATCTCATGCTTTTTATAGTGGTACGATTTCGCCGATCCTCAAACACATGGATCCACACTCGACATTCCAGCAATTCCTGAATCACCTCGCAAAATGGCCAATGTAATCAACTTTTTCGAAGGTGGAGAGGACGCAGACGATGAATATGAGCGCTTGCAAGAGGAACTGGACCGAGATGTCATCAAGTGCGTTATCCGTGAAAAGAACGTGCGTGGAAATGCTCATGATGGGTACATCTACTGCTTGTTGCATGCCAAAGACATACCCAATGTGGACGGAGAGGTACTCATCAGTGGATCTGGCGATGGCGATGTCAAGATTTGGTTCATTGAAAAGACAGGCATCAAACTGCTGCACACACTCAAGGGCAATCCCGACAAGGGCATCCTCTGCTTGGCTCTGTCTGAAGACGGCTATCTGTTTTGTGGTGTGCAGGGTGGGGATGTTCAAATCTGGGATTTGGAGACACATCAAATGATCCGCTCTGTGATGGCACATACCGAGGATGTGCTGGCCATCTCTATCAGAGGGTCGGGCTTTGTGAGTGCATCTGCTGATGGATCCATCAAAATCTGGTCAGAAGGCTTTCAATTCAGAGAGAGTTTGAGCGATCATCAAGGCATCGTCCTGTCATTGACTGGCACAGCAAATTACCTGATCTCAGGCAGCAACGACCATACCATCAAGTTTTGGGATATGCCATCCACTGTGCACAACTGCTTTGAGTCATTCAGAAGACCCAGCGGAACGATTCAAGATGTGCCCTCCAGCAATACGATGCTTTACGTGCTGGAAAAGTGGATTGCCATGCGCACTGTCAGCGGAAACCCAGAGTATATGGAGGAATGTAGACGGGGTGCTCGGTTCCTAAAGAATATTCTCCAGCAATTAGGCGCTGTCAGCAGAATGGTAAGGCAGTGTTATTTGCATCAGCAGCAGTAACTCTTACCAGTTTGGTATAGATTCCCGGTGCTAGTGGTCGCAATCCATTAGTGTATGGTAAATTTACTGGAAGAAGATCATCTGAGAAGCACATACCTACCGTCTTGATCTATGGTCACTACGATGTGATTGCTGCCGACAACGAAAAGAATTTGTGGGGAAGTGATCCATTCAGTTTGACCGGAAAGAACGGCTATCTCTATGGCCGTGGTACCAGCGATAACAAGGTAAGGAAGATGGCATTATCGATTTTTTCTGTGGATGAATAACCTTTTGTATGAATAGGGACCCATTTTAGCGACCATTTTTGCTGTCAACGAGTTACTCAAGGAAGGGCTGCTGGATGTCAATGTTATTTTCTTGATTGAAGGGGAAGAAGAAAGTGGCAGTGTAGGTTTCTATGAAGCAGTCGACCAAAACAAAGAGCTCTTCCAAGACGTGGATATGGTGCTGCTTAGCAACTCTTACTGGCTTGGAGAAGATGTGCCTTGTATCACTTATGGTTTGCGTGGTGTCATTCATGCTACTATTTCCATTAGCAACAAACGAGCAGATCTGCATTCGGGCGTTGAAGGCGGCGCTGTATCTGAACCGCTTATTGATTTGATCCATGTATTGGGAAAGCTAGTAGACAGTGATAAAAAGGTGCTAATTCCGGGATTCTACGATAACGTCAGTCCTGTCACTGAAGCCGAAGAAAAGCTGTACGATCCCATTGTGGACTGGATGCGTACATCAGAGACAGCACAATCCAGCACACGCGCTCATCATTCTACTATTGCCTCTCCCAACCTCAGCAAGGGCGAGTCGACAGCAGCAGCAGCTAGAGCAGCAGCAGAAGAAGAGACACAGTGCAAAATCGCAGCAGCCAGTAACGAGGCATTTAACGCTGACAGGATGAAGCAACAACTCATGTCTCGCTGGCGATATCCCACCTTGACCGTACACAAAATAGATGTCTCCATCAACAACCCTACGATTATCCCTCGCAGCGCACAAGCAGCTGTCAGTATGCGTGTTGTCCCCGACCAAACTATCGCAGACATTTGTACTCAATTCGAAGACTACGTGCAAAAGGTGTTTTCAGAGAGCACAGACTCCGATAACTGCATCTCTGTCACTATCCAAAGTGCTGCTGAATACTGGCTTGGTGACTTGAACAGCAAATACTTCAAGGCGGTGGAAAATGCCATTTACAATGAGTGGAAGATGAAGCCCCTGTATATCCGAGAAGGTGGATCCATTCCTGCCGTGCGCTGGTTGGAGAAGTTTTGCAATGCGCCAGCGATTCATATTCCCTTTGGCCAATCATCTGATCAAGCCCATTTGCATAACGAGCGTATTCGTTTGCTGAATCTGCATGCTGGTAGACGCATTGTAAAGAGTTTATTAACTGCATTGCCAGAATTGTAATATATACAGTATATATATATATATATACTAGCCGCTACGCTTGATGACGGCGCCGTCCTGCGGGCTCTTGCCGAAGGCATTTCCAAATCAGTGATAATTAAATCTGTCATGTCAAGTAGGCTTTAAACAATCAATCAATAGCTATATCAGAATCAGGAGGGGGATTTATCCATTTGTTGATGTTGTTTTAGAGTTGGAGACATAAAACTGGCCGTACGTAAATACAGGACCTGTGTAAGGTCTACAGCAACTTTTTTGGGAGATAGTCATTGCAAAAAACACAGTTATTATACGGAAAATTCCCATCAAGAGCAAAAAAAAAAGAAAGACATTCAAGTTAAAGGATTGTCCTTTCTTATGATCCCATCGCAAACATCATTGTCATCATCAGAAAGGCATTTGGGTCGGCCAGCAGCAGCGCCGCCCGCTAAAACTAAATCAAATTCAGATTATTTTTCTGCTCAAATATTGGCCAAATCTCGTCTTGTTCGACTTGATTGAACTATTTTTCAAGATTCGACTATGTAAAATGTAACGAACAGCCAGCGCTTCCTAATACATTCTTAGAGTACTCTTCAAGACGCTTCCAATGGTGTTAATTGTAACGGATGTTTTGAATGAAGTTACTGAGCAATTTCAGAGAATATGTAATAAGGTTTTTGACCAAAATGTCGAAATATTGCATGTGAAGGACTCACAAAAGCGGTTTCAGATGTTGTATTCAAAGATACAGTATTAACAAATTAAGATAGATTTCAAAAAAGGAAGACTATAAAAAGTAACCAGATACGAAAACTTCTGATTTATTAACTGATTCAAACACATCCTATTTATAAGAGATCATTACTGATGAATCATCAATCTATCTTGTTGTTTCAACTGAGTCAATACATCGTATCATGTTTATCTAATATCAGTCAATTGAAGAATCCGATTCGCTCAATCAGCCATGATGATACGATCTGTAGCCATCATTATCCTTCACTATCAGAGACCATCATAATCGATTATATGATTCACTTCTGTGTCGAACCTAATGTCCTAATGTAGACAGTGAGAAACAATGTAAATCATGATCCGACTCTTGCTGAGTTACTGAATGTCCGCAACCGCTACAGACTCAACATCAGAGGCTGATTTAGGTCGAGAGAAACATTTTGATTCAATATCAGACCTGGCTCATATGAGAATAATGATTTTACAATCAATCAACAAAAACCACTGTTATTTCTACCCTCTTTCCTCTGCTCAATGCTGCCAATGTTTTCTTTGAACGACGGCTCGGAGCCTCAGAGATTTCACTACTTACTGCAGACATTTTATGCAACCCATGCATCGTCAATGTCCAGACTAACGTTATTAAATATAGAATGCAATAAAATATCATTATGAACGATATAGAAGGCAATAAAATATCATCATAAACGACAGTGCTATGACATGACACCTACTTTCTATACGCTTCAAGGGCATTTACTACTGTATTGCCTTATGAAAAGGGCATGAGTTTTCCAGCTGGCCCTACCAGCCAAAATTAATTCAAACCCAGAATCATAGTCTGTTCCAGATTGGACAAATTTTGATGATTCTGGACTCGATCGAGCTATTTTTGCAGATTCGACTAAGTGAAGTATGATAATCACCCCATGCTTCCTTAAGCTTTCCTGGAGTACTTTTCAAGGCGCATCCAATGGTACCAAGTAAAATAGATAATTTGAATAATTTATGAAAATATGAAAAGAGGTTTCTGGCCAAAATGTCGAAATTTTACATATCAAAGTCCCACAAAGATGATTTCAGAGGTCGCTTTGGATCGATAGAAGCATTTTGATTCAAGATATACCATAGTAAAAGTCTTCATTTTCAAGGTGAAAAACGCGATCGTTTGATTTTCGATGAAAACCATGAGGGGTACCTCATGCTTTTTGGTCGAATTTTGTTCATGTTTTTTTTTGATCCCCAAAAAGTTGAGCAAAGGTGTCAGAAAGTAACTGCTGGATGAGAGTATTAGTTTGGTGCTATTCTGGCGGTTTAAAACGGCTTCCAGCACAAGAGATTGCAGTTTAAATTCATTCAATTTTTGCTATGCTTTGCATTCTGTCGATTATTAAGAGGTAATTCAGGTATTATGCATGCCTTGGTCATTTGTTGAGTAGTGAAATTTGAAGAAATCAATGTATTAATATGTCAAAACCAAGATGCTTCCATCAAGCATAAACTATCGCTAGACTGTGAACAATCTTTACACAGAGAAATCAGTAGCTGGATCTGTCAAGTAGTACTTACGGTATTCAATACCCTCTTAGATGCATGTGATACTAGCATGTAATACAGCTATAGATACCCTAGATACTGTAGCAAAGGCCATATCTCTATCAAAGCTTTAAGATACTTTTGGCTATTTTCATATTAAACTACGGGCTGAGCGAACGTAGATCATCGTGTAATTACATGTGTGTACATAGTCCCTCGCAATACTAGCGCTTCTGCAACGACTAAATATCTTGCTCTAGAGACTTCTTGAAGTTTGGAATACCTTGTATCTATAGCAATCCAACAGTTTGTATACTAGTACATAAGCTTTCAAGTGCATTACCCAATAAAGATGACTATCTCTAATAACATAAGGTATGAAGCTTGTGCAAGAGAGCGTGTGTACAATGACTAGATAGCCATCTCTTCCAAGAGGAGAATTGTATTGCCTGCAATGACAGCAGTACTCTGCATGGCATTAAAGCTAATGAGGCTTCGAAATAGCCATAGCCAGACTTTCTCCATTCATCTTCAACTACAGCTTCAAGATTCAAGAACATTTATATCAATGGCATTTACGATATCAGCTGTTTCAAACAGCTTTCTGTTTATACATTGGTTTTAATAGAGAATGTAATAAAAAACGATGATATAGTAGGCAATACAAGGCGTTTTTTATTATTCGTTTGCTTGTAAAGTTATAAAAAACGATGATAATGTATGAGAGTTTGTTTAAATTTGAATAGATGCTAGCCAACTTGAATATAATTTGATTTAACTTGTATAGGTAGGAGATAGCATTGATCCGTGTATTGCAAGGGTTTGTGTATAGAATAGAGATAGCAGATGTGGCAGTATGGCTTGACTTTGTATATACTAGGCAGCATGAGTTTTGACATTACAATGGATGGCAGGCAGCATGAGTCTTGACATTACAATGGATGGTAGGCAGCATGAGTCTTGACATTACAATGGATGGTAGGCAGCATGAGTCTTGATATTACAATGGATGGCAGGCAGCAGAGATACGAGCATGAGTTGGTCTTGTATAGATGTAGAGATGGCACCGTGTATTAAAGTAGTTTTGACATTGCAGCAAATAGATCTACAGTATATAGAGGGACATTGGATTATTACAAATGATACTTACCCTGTAGCATACTTGATGGACGATGTAAAGAACAGCTTGAAACACGAGTAAACCAAAAGATGAAGCCATGCTTCCAGGGCAAACCATCCTCCACAACTTGCATATCCCTAGCAACAAGGATGGGAAGACACCTCCCGGGAAACGCACCTAACGCTTCGTCGCATCACCCTTACGAGCTACCGGGGCAACAGGTGCTGAGGCCACACGAGACAACCACCTTACGCGCATGACCCCAAGACCCCATCCAAGGCTTCAACCAAGTATGGAGTGCTTGCAGATCAAAACATAGGGGACCTGAGCTCTATTAATAGAGAGATGATGAGTCATGCTGCTTTATAAGTTACAAGTGACGAGCACATACTTGCAGAGTTGATTGTATGTTGCTTTTATCTAAAAATACGAGGAAAGCGCGACCATGTTTTGCATGGACCACAACCTAAGAGGACCATGGAATTATGAGAGCATTGTGTAAGAAAAAGCCAATCATCAGTAGAGTGCTTGATTTACTTGACCATGTATAAAGCAGAAAGAGAGCCCAAGAGTATTGTAGAGAGAGTTCGCTTGCAGAGAGAGTTCGCTTGCAGAGAGATTTGTTAATAGAGAGTAGAGATGAGATGAAGATGATGATGAAGAAGAAGAAGAAGAAGAAGGAAAAGCTGTTGAAACAGCCATCTATTTATATCCTTCTCATCGACTTTCATGTGAGTCCAGTGTCCTTGCCACACTCAAATTCGTTTCCTTTTACTTTTCTCCACGATATACTACTTTTAGCGCGTGAAAATAGTACCATTTTGACGTTTGACACTTGCTCTATTTGATCCGCTTCGTCCGAGGCTTTCAACTGTTTTCTGTCTCGAGTTATGTCCATTTTGCTACTTCAAAAAGCCCTTTTTCCACCCTCACATGAAACGAGTTCCCCCATCTCTTCCTAGATGTAATTAACAGACAACTTTTCACTGGCTCAAACCTCATCAAAAAGTAAACAAAAAATGTCATTTGACACTGAAACAGATGCAGCTGGTTGCTTGATTAAGTAATCTTCCTCTACCTCTCCTTAATTTCTCTCTATAAAATTACAGTTCTCGATCCATCTCTTTTTTTTGTTTACATCAGTCATAAACTGTCCATCTAATCGGACAATACGAGTGTTAAGGTTGGCTTGCTTGTCGTTTACATCACATCGGGACCAGTGCAATTGATTCTGGACCAAGAAACAAGTGTATACCTCGGAAAACAAGAGTAACATATGAATATCGCTGCGACAAACTCCATGGAATGGAACATAATGGATTGTTTTCGAACCAGTGCAATTCATCTTGTTTTCAACTATCATGGTTGCTGTCAATGATATCAATCAAGTGTTTGCGCTACTAGATATCATTAATATTCCCACACTTACATAGTGAGTTGGCCATTCTCGTGTATCATTCCTGCAATATGCTTGTGATTCTTACGCCAAGAGTATTCATCTCATAAAGAATCAACACATTTCATGTCATTCTTTTAGGAACTGTCCCCTTTTAGAAGGTACTCGGATCATGCAAAGTCAAAACAATTCATTTGCTAGGCAAAATTAAGCTTTAAAAAAATATCACATGTAAAGTAAACAAAACGACATGAATTGAAGGGAGATAAGCAAGTGAATGGCCAATTTGTGGTCAAAGAGAGGATATTTTGATTAGAAAGTATGTACATCGTTAGAAAGCAAATTCTTCAAGGAATTCAATGGTGCCGTTTTTAGGGTTCTAAGTAAAGTATACATCGCGAAATTCATCAAACAAAGCCGTGGGATTTCTAAAAGAGGGCAATTTTTAAACTAATGATCACTTTATTTGTATAGTATTCTGTTGCTTTGGATTGGATCAACTACGTCCTATGGCACTAACCCGTTTACAATTCTCAAGCAATTGGCCAACTGTTCACAGCGGTGGTAATGTGGAGTGGCATATCTTTAACCATGCACTTTGGTTGGTAATTTAGTTGATGACAGATGCGATTACGTGAATACATGGGATGTGTTATTGAATCCGAAATGCATGATTCGAGTGGGCCTTTACGTAAAATGTATTCATCCTAACTGCCTTTATAGCATAAGGTTGCCCAACATGGTCAGTTTGCAAGCAGCACCAACTGTTTATATCTCAGCATTGCTTTTTAACTCCATGATCTCCATTGGATCAGCATCGCAATCATCATTGTCATTATCAGAAAGACATTTGGGTCAGCCAGCAGCAGCGCCGCCCGTTAAAACTAAATCAAATTCTGATTATTTTTCTGCTCAAATATTGGCCAAATCTCGCCTTGTTCGACTTGATTGAACTATTTTGCAAGATTCGACTGTGTAAAATGTAACGAACAGCCAGCGCTTCCTAATACATTCTTAGAGTACTCTTCAAGACGCTTCCAATGGTGTTAATTGTAACGGATGTTTTGAATGAAGTTACTGAGCAATTTCAGAGAATATGTAATAAGGTTTTTGACCAAAATGTCGAAATATTGCATGTGAAGGACTCACAAAAGCGGTTTCAGAGTGTTGTATTCAAAGATACAGTATTAACAAATTAAGATAGATTTCAAAAAAGGAAGACTATAAAAAGTAACCAGATACGAAAACTTGAAGATTTATTAACTGATTCAAGCACATCCTATTTATAAGAGATCATTACTGATAAATCATCAATCTATCTTGTTGTTTCAACTGAGTCAATACATCGTATCATGTTTATCTAATATCAGTCAATTGAAGAATCCGATTCGCTCAATCAGCCATGATGATACGATCTGTAGCCATCATTATCCTTCACTATCAGAGACCATCATAATCGATTATATGATTCACTTCTGTGTCGAACCTAATGTCCTAATGTAGACAGTGAGAAACAATGTAAATCATGATCCGACTCTTGCTGAGTTACTGAATGTCCGCAACCGCTACAGACTCAACACAGAGGCTGATTTAGGTCGAGAGAAACATTTTGATTTAATATCATAACATAATAAATGTTCAGTACTTTTGCACTTTACAATCCTAATATGGAACCTGAGTTTCAAGGCATCTATCAGACCTGGCTCATATCATAACATAATAAATGTTCAGTACTTTTGCACTTTACAATCCTAATATGGAACCTGAGTTTCAAGGCATCTATCAGACCTGGCTCATATGAGAATAATGATTTTACAATCAATCAACAAAAACCACTGTAATTTCTACCCTCTTTCCTCTGCTCAATGCTGTCAATGTTTTATTTGAGCGACGTCTCAGAGCCTCAGAGATTTCATTACTTACTGCAGACATTTTATGCAACCCATGCATTGTCAATGTCCAGACTAACGTCATTAAATATAGAATGCAAGACGATGTCATTATAAACAATAGTGCTATGACCTTCTACCTACTTTCTATACGCTTCGAGGGCATTTACTACTGTATTGCCTTATGAAAAGGGCATGAGTTTTCCAGCTGGCCCTACCAGCCAAAATTAATTCAAACCCAGAATCATAGTCTGTTCCAGATTGGACAAATTTTGATGATTCTGGACTCGATCGAGCTATTTTTGCAGATTCGACTAAGTGAAGTATGATGATCACCCCATGCTTCCTTAAGCTTTCCTGGAGTACTTTTCAAGGCGCTTCCAATGGTACTAAGTAAAATAGATGTTTTGAATACACTTATTGAATGATTTGTAAAAATATGAAAAGAGGTTTATGGCCAAAATGTCGAAATTTTACATATCAAAGTCCCACAAAGATAATTTCAGAGGTTGCTTTGGATTGATAGAAACATTTTGATTCAAGATATACCATAGTAAAAGTCTCCATTATCAAGATGAAAAATGCGATCGTTTGATTTTCGATGAAAACCATGAGGGATACCTCATGCTTTTTGGTCGATTTTTGACCATGTTTTTTTGGTCCCCAAAAAGTTGAGCAAGGGTGTCAGAAAGTAACTGCCAGATGAAAGCAACCATTTGGGGCTATTCTGACGATCTAAAACGGCCTTGAACGCAAGAAAATTCAGCTCAAATGCATTCAAATTTTGCTGTATTAGGGACACTAAGGACTAAAAAGTGGGAATACCAGTATGCTGCTTGCCCGTATATGAAGTAGCTACGTGTATATGGATGTAAAGCATCACATAAGAATCAGATCCACAGATAATATAAAGGGTTATTATGTGTAGGTGGAGGGTCAAAATGAAAGTAGCAGTATTTTGATAAAATACGCAAGAGCAATCAGTAGCACGAGCTGCCGCTGCGCAGGTTGGTTCTCTACCTTCGCTACGCTTCGGTGAGAACCATCCGAAGCATAAACACTCATATGATTAGTGATTATATATCAATCAACAATCAGGGTTCCTCTTCTAACATTTTAGCTATATTAATTTTGGGATATTAGCCAAAGGCCCGCGGCAGCGCGAGCCGTTTGAACGTAGGTTGGTTTCCACCGAAGCGAAGCGTAGGTCAGGAAACCACCCGAAGTGCTGAAAGGCTCGTATACTATAGTAAAAGTCTTCGTTTTCAAGGCGAAAAACGCGATCGTTTGATTTTCGATGAAAACCATGAGGTACCCCTCAGGGGGGTGTCTGCGCACACATCCAAAAATCCCTTAGGGACACATCCCGTCATACATATATGGTAATTAAATTACTTAGGTAGGTCTTTTTTAATTTTGACTTAAATAGTCTAAAATGAACCAGCCCTGAGTACACCGCATTTAGTAGGCCCAATTATAATAGGAATGCTCTTAATTGCATTTATAGAAGAGAGCGATTAACCTCTTTAGCCACAGCTTGTATATACGGCCGTGAGGTATTATATATTTTCGTTAAGCGAGACCACTACATCTCCTTCGAATTCTTCATCGCACTCTTCAGCGTTTTTCAATTCATCAATGTCATCAATGCTGTTTTTTTTTTTGCAAAGTTCTGTACAGACTTAGATTTCAACGAAATAGATTCCAAGTACCATGGCAACAAATATATTAATTTAGACTATTCTTTGCTTTGTTAACAGCAATTCTAATGCTATGGCATCTGAAAACGCAACTTCAGTCGTGAAAAAGCAAGATCCTATGAATGCGTTCTTTAAAATGTTCTGTATAATTGTTAGAGTGATTTGGGACGTGTGCGCAAGAAAACAATAGCCAGGCGTTTCATATCAGCTCTTTTCAATTATCCTAATTTTCATACCGAACGTTTTGAAGATTCTTATTGTTAGGAAAGACGAGCTTTGACTAAACTGATGCAAGGCAAGATTGCTTTGTTTAGCAAAATAAATTAAGATATTCATAGCGCAATTTAAATAGGTGTTGATGGGATGTGTCCGCAAGAGAAACGATGAAATATCAGTAATACCGGCCCTTGTAGATTGTGCAAGCTCTTGCTACTATGTAATAAAAATGGGCTTCTCAAGCATGGAAAGCATCAAGCGAAGATGTTTATGATACGCTTAGATTTATGATGTGAGGATGACCATGAGCAGCTCACAGCGCAATTCCAAACACGCATTGAATCGCAATGTTATGATTCGAGATGTGTGCGCAACAAGACTGAAGTATGCTCAAGGATTTATTTCAAAAATTGCAAAAATACATTGGCTGAAATTACCATGAAATACACACACAAATGAAATGAGCTGCTCATACATGCCCATTTCAAATTACAAGACATTTTACCATTGACAATACATAATTTCCATGGGATGTACAGATGGTACACTAAAAAAAACATCATGTCGACAGGTCTAGAGCAGCGAGCACGTCTATTTTCTGCTTTTTTAATCATATAATATGGTATAACGCTCATGTTAAAACCATCTACAGAGGCAATGGAAGCTCTATATCGGTTTAGTGAAGCCATTCTGAAGCACAATCACCAACGCTAAAAATTACTATATATGGATAACGGGATGTGTCCCTAAGGAATTTTGGGATGTGTGCGCAGTTGGACCCTACCCCTCAAGGTTTTTGGTCGATTTTTCGCCATGTTTTTTGGGTCCTCAAAAAGTTGAGCAAAGGTGTCAGAAAGTTACTACTACTCAAGTACAATTGTTTGGCGTCATTCCAGCGGCTCAGAAGTGTCTATATGTCAAGATATGAAGGCTTAAAAGCTGTTAACTTTGGTTGTATTTTTGCTTTATAGCTTTTATTTACACGGAATGAATTACATCTTTGGTAGCTGAAGTCTTCTGGAAGGGCAGTTCTGCAGTCTATACAGCTTCTAATTCGAGTAGGAGGCATATTGGTTTTGGTAAAGCTAATTCACGCAAATTTTGATGCGTTATGTTGTTGGTAAGCTTATTGATAATGGAATGAGAAACCGAATTTGCTGCTTGAATACTGTGGTTTGTGCCTTTGCTTCGCTGTGGTAACAACCTCATATAGATTAATATTATCAAATGTTGAAATAGATGCTTAGTTATTATGGTTTTGCACCTTTGCTTTGCTATGGTATAGTCCTCAATGTTACCAAAGGTTGAATTAGATGCGTTATGTTCTTGATGGAGGACCAAGCCCTTTTCTCGAACCCCTTTCCCATTGCCGGCTTCGCCAGTGGTCTCTTCACCTTGTCCCAGCACTGTCAATTTTTTTGAATTTTCGAAAAGATATAGTTGGGTTGTCTAAATGCTTTACAGTGCATTATATGATAAATTTTTACTTTTTATTAAAGAAGCTCAATGACCAACGACTCGATCTCTTTTCTTGCTGATCTGTTTGTTGTGGTGGCGGAGCTGTCTGCTGTTGTTGTTGTTGCAAATGAGCCTCGCTTTCTAAAGATTCAATTTGTAGAAGCTTGGTTTGTGAAAGCTCGTAACCTTGAGTAGAAGCAATTTGGAACCATTCTTTGGCTACAGCTAAATCAACAGGCACACCTTCACCATTCAAGAACCTTCAGTATGCAAATGTTTAGCTGTTGATTGCATGATCTCATAAAGCTTGCATTTAAAACTTACATTTCTCCCAACATGTGCTGAGCATAAGGATATGGTGTGTCTGATTGACTGGCTGCGTTTTGATAGTGTTCAAAGGCTTTGTGGAAATCTTGCTTTAGCTTGCCCAGCCCGTGTCTATACATATCGCCTAAACGTGCTTGACAGAAGGGTATATTCATAGCTGCGTTCTGGGAACAGCATTCAAACGCCTTTTCATAATCCTGCTTGGCTGATCCGTGACCATACATGTAGACCGATGCCTCTTCTTCCAATGCCACTGCAAAACCTTGCTGAGCTGAAGCATGAAGCCATTTGAGAGCCTCCTGCGCATCTGCCGTAACGCCTCTGCCTTTGAGATAAATGTGGCCTACGATGTATTGACAGTATTTGTCATTGAGCAATGCGCCATCCTTGGCATAGCGAAATGCCTTTGCATCGTCCTTGGGAATCTCATTGCTACCCTCGAAAAACCCATAAGCCAAATCAACCACAGCTTGTGTGGATCCACACTCAAACGCACGATGAAACCAATGCATGGATTTGGATGGCTGATTCAACGAGTATCTGTATCGATCGCCGTATATTCTACCCAACTCGCATCCAGCTTCGGCAATTTTACCAGTGTTGGCTGCGTATTCCAACATCTGAATGCCTTGCTCCAAATGTTGCTCGAATCCAACACCTTTTGTATACAGTAAACCTGTCAAATAACACAGTGTGGGTTCTTGATCTTGCTCTTGTGCTTTCAAAAGGTGTGTCAAACTGAGGTCCTTTGTGTGTGTTAATAGAGGAGCACAGGTTTGCAGAGCTTGGGAGAGCTGCTTATCAAACACACTGCGAGACCAAATAGCAGCTTCGACAGGGTCCTTGGAGATCAAAGGAAGCTCTGATTCACTGTACAAAATACTTAGCTTTGTCTTGGCCTCTGTGTCTTGGTTCACAGTGGCTTTGTAGCGCAAGTAACTCAAGGCCTGAATGGTATCATCTAATATGGCGGAAGTCTGTATGAGGTTGATGCAGTGGATAAGGCGAAGTTCCTCGGGTATTTGGTCTATGATTTGATTGCGTGATGGTTCCTCTACTGTTTTGCTTGTAGTAGTTGTTGTCGTCGTAGTAGTAGAAGTGGATAACATGGTAACTAGGTAAAAAGTGGACGCAATTTAGTTTCGACATCTAAATTAAATATATCGGAGTGTCCCTGTTTCGCGATTCTGGATGGCGCAACGAAACGATTCCTGATTCCATGTTATCAGAAGGAGCTTTCATATACATACAGTGCTTCCAATGCCACATGGCACTTTCCTTACAGTTACGATAACAGTAATAGAAAATAAATAAATAAAAAAAAAAAAAAAAGATCAGTCATGTCAAAGAAGATTTATATCATATTATTATACAGAGAGAAAGGATTTAAAAAAGAGAAAATAAAATTAAGCTATGGTAATTTGAGTTTTGCGTATCATCTGCTTCTTATTGTTGAGGTTGCATATATGCGGCTTCTTGGCCTTCGAGAATAGGTGCAGTCAAAGGGGTTCCCAAGTAATTGGCAGTATCTGTGTTGTCTACATTATGGAAATCCAAAATTTCAGAGTACATCATCACCTTCCATGTGTCAACAGGTAAATCAGCTTCGTTGAAAGACCAATCGAATTTCTCGGGTGCACTTGGTTCGTCAGTGGGGTCGTGATAAGGGGCCAGGTAAGGATGAGCCAATGCTTCTTCTGCTGTGATACGCTTGCGTGGATCGAATGTCAACATCTTTTCTAATAAATCAATGGCTTGGGGATCTTGTCCTGCGAATCTTTGGTTGAATGGAATAGGCTCACGCTTGGGAAGGTTTTTGACGAAACGAAGAGTGTTTTCACTACAGATGGTAGCAATCAGATCGTCAGGAGGAGTACCAAGAAGTTCGGTGATAATGGAGAATTGGTGGACATCTGACGAGTTGCTGTTAGCACATTGTCCCTGATCGCCTTTTCCTTATGGGTCTACTTACGGTCCTTTCCAGGGAAGAGCGGCTTGCCTTCCAACATTTCAGCAAAGATACAGCCAGCACTCCAGATATCGACTAGAACGTGGGGTTAATGCCCAACTCTCCTTACGCATACACAACAGCAACAACTTACCAGCAACATCATACTTTTGCCAGGTCAACATGATTTCGGGTGCACGGTAGTATCTAGTTGAAACATAACCAGTCATTTGGGGATCTTGAATACGAGCCAGACCGAAATCACAAATCTTGAGATCGCAATTCTCATTGATGAGAATATTGCTAGGTTTCTAGAAGCAGAATGAGTACAGCCATGTTGATAAAGCTTTTCAAATTCGAAAGCAGCTTACTAAATCTCTGTGAATGACACCCGCAGAATGGACATACTTTAAGCCTCTCTGTAACAAGCAAAATTTTAAGGTTAAATTTCAAGTGTAACTAGTACGTCATTGTTATTTTTGTTACCAAAATTTGATACAAGAAGTATTGAATAAACTGCTTCTCCAAGGGGCGAGATTGAAGTAATCTGTGCAAATCGGTACCGAGCAACTCTGTAACGAAATAGCTATGTCATTCATTAGTATAAACAAGCCTTATTCTTTTTTTTTCGCATCAGTAGCTTACATGTCTTCCAATGGAGAGATGAAAATATCGCTCAAACTGATAATCTACAGTTTACAATGTATCAATGACTCCCACATCTCCTTCCAGTTGCAAATGTTACTTACGTTTTCGTGCATCAAAGCCTTCAACAATTTCAATTCACGGTAAGTTCTCTTTGCCAACACTGGGGCTGAGAAGGGCTTCATGATCTTCTTGATAGCAACATTCATACCAGTGAGTTGATCCTTGGAGGAGCTGTTGTGACATGTTAGCTCTAAACATGCGTTGCTTTTGCAAATGACTGTATTTACCAAACCAAACCAAAAGCACCCATACCAACAGGTTGCAAATCAACGTATCTATATGCAATCATGATGAGCATCAGGGGCTAACACAATAGAGCATGAACAAGACGAAACGCTTTACCTGGTGGTCACCTCAAAGACGGTACCAAAGATTGAGAGTTTAACGAATTCTGCCATAATTTACAACTAAGGGAAAAGAGCAAAGAAGAAGAAGAAGAAGAAAAAAAAAAGTGTTAATAAACGAAATCATTTCTCTTTTTTAAAAGCTTCCATTTTTCCATTTTTCTATGGAATCACAAAACCGTTTTGATCGTCTTTTACTTACGGAAATCCAAGTGATTGAGAAAAAAAAAAGTGTTGGGTAAGAGAGAAAAAAGCAAAAAATGGATAATAGATGCATTTCTGTTTTTTAATGTATATCACATCCATGATTTGATCTATTCTGTTCCAACATTACACATAAAATGAAATAGGGACCCGAGCAACTTATGTCATGGCAACATCATGACGTTAGAGAAGGGATGGTCTTCAAAGTCAGATGATCTCCCCTTGATTCTCGGTTGATTCAATCGTCACTGTGGCAACCATGAGAAGATCCAATTGAGCATGGCAAATGCTCATTAGGTACTGTATTTCCCAAAGAGTTTATTTGGTTGTATTGCCTTTCACGCAATGCAGCATAAACAATAATAGATGAACGCATGCGTTGCTCAAACAGAAAAAAAAGGACCGCACCTAGAACCAATAGATTCGTGCAACTTTTCTTCGATCTTCAAATTTTCGAGACAAATGGCACACTCACAGTGTAACATCAGATGGCCTTTTCAAGATACGAAATTCTTGCCATTGAATTATCGCTCTTCTCAAATACATGTCAAATGTTGTGCTGGATGGCCATGCCAAGTTATTATCTATAATTTTTTTTTATTCTTTATAATATACACACATTTATAATTAGATTAAAACAAAGTATCTTCTTCACGAAGGTATTCTCCAACATCGGCTTGATGAAAAACAATGATATCTGTAGGTTGAAGCTTCTTCATGTCCATGGTGGATCTTGCAGTAACACCGAAACCCTAAATGCCCGTCCTTGTCAGCCATTTTAGGTCAACATCTATAGTCGATCTTCACTTACCAATGGTGAATCAGTCATGGAAAAGATAATAACACCAGTATGTTCAGGAGTATCGTCTGTAATTCTACCCAAATGTGCTTTCACAATGTGGTTGCCGTATAAGAAGGGCATCTCACCATTAGGCTTGATCCAAATCTTGTGCTAGAAAGTCAAAATATCAACATCCAGTATCTTTCCTATGCAAAACTCTCTCTTCCATTACCTTGGCATATTGTGCTAAATGATCGAGAGCAGTAATATGAAGCTTGAATTTACCAGTCTTTGTGAATTTACCGAAACAAACACCTACAGAGCCAAGCTGATCACGACCCACACTCACTGCCATTCTCATCATTGATTCGCTAAATACCGATATCAGCATCCTAAACATCACATCAAGTATATTGTCTACTCTGTTTTCTTTACCTAAGATAATAAACCTTGTTCTTTTGAAGACGGAAACAGTATGTCTCGTCAGGTCTGTCAATCAAATGTTTGAGGTTGGCACCCACACTATGTTGCAGTGCTGTTAGTCTCATCAGGCCACATGCCATGTTTTGTTGCATATTTACTATTTAGCAAGCTTCTCAAATAGAGTGGTTGTTTCTTCGGCTGTCAAGGGACGCATATTTTTTTATATCAGTACTCTAGTGTGTCAAAAGAACAGATTTGCTTTAAAATACTGTAAAAAAAATTCCAGGTAGATTAGACTCGATAAGCCACGGACCCAAAAGGACTGTCTTGCGACTTGCCTCCTGAAAGGAAAGCATGAATGTTGATTTGAACCTGCGATGATGGTGGAATCTTGCATTACAATCATCAAATCAAACTTGATGCAAACCATACATACTGTTCTGGAGAGTGTATGGTGCTCATAGCTTTCAAATTGAGCATCAAGGAGCACCTAAATTTCTCTTGACTCAAACTTACATGTGAAACACATTTGACTTTGATAATGCACTGTATTCACATCACAACGTAAATGCATGCTGAAACACATTACAGATGGGTCTGTATATTTGTATTTCGATTGAATATTGCTCTTTCCATCTTAGAGCTTTACAGAATATTACTGGTTTCTTAGTGCAAGATGGTTTTAGGAAGAAGATGCCAATGCTTGAAAATGACTAAATCTCGGTGGAATACCGTGGAATACATATGACTATGGCCACTTTTATGCGATTTACAACCATAGACGTTTAATCTAATGATACAAATGCCTTGTATGCTAAAGATTCCAAAAGCCTTGGTTCAACTTCCAACAAAAACCTTTAGGATCTATAATGAATGCTGAATGTTCCTTTTCATTGTAGAGAAGGCTAGGCTTAATGCAATTTAGAAGACGCTTCAGCTAGTGAGCGTCATATGAAATGATTCCTGTCATGATTAATGCATTAACAATACGCAGTTTAGCTTGACTTTGCACTAATCTATTCGCAAATATTATGATACCTTATTTAAATGTCGATATTTCACTGTTTAGACTTCTGTTCCTAAGCAAAAACTTGTAAATGCGGCCTGTATCCATGAATCCAGCTATTCCAAGATGCTTCCTGTTTATATCATCAAAAACTGTTTATGCAAAGTTTGATAACATACCTGCATTGGCTTTTACTACTCAAAAGTAAGCAAACACAGCATAGGTTGGAAGTATTTGATTCTTGTTTTCTCGCGTTCTAAGCCATTTTAAAACGCCAGAACAGCACCACATAATTGTGCTCGAGTAGTAGTAACTTTCTGATACCTTTGCTCAACTTTTTGAGGACCCAAAAAACATGACCAAAAATCGATCAAAAAGCATGAGGTGCCCCTCATGGTTTTCATTGAAAATCAAACAATCGTTTTTTTTGACACCAAAAACGAAGGCTTTTACTATGACATATATTACTTCAAAATGATTATATCAATCCAAAGCAGCCCCTGAAATTTTGTTTGTACGAACTTAATATACAAAAACTTGACATATTCACCAAAAACCTTATTTCATATTTCCGACCGTTACTCAGCAAATTTATTCAAGATATATGTCACAATTAGTACCATTGGAAGCACCTTGAAAAGTGCTCCAAGAATGCATTAGGGAGTATGGGGTGACCATCAAACTTTGCATAGTCGAATCTGCCAAGAAAGATCAAAAAAGTCGTTTTTGGTTAAGATTTGGCCAATCTGGAGCAGAAGCGTGACCGGAACTTGATCAATTTTTGGCTTGTTGCAAAAGCAGTGCCTGTCTAATCAGGAAGACAATCGATGTTCTTGAAGCTGATAAAAAGCAAGGGATTGCGTACTAAAAAAGTGCTATAGCATAGCAAGACTATTAAGCTTTGTGCCTGATAGCTTAAATTTAACAAATTGCGTCGAAATGCAACCATTCTATCTAAAATCCCTTTCTAGCTTCTTTGTGGTGTTATTTTATGGAAACCCTGAACGCGTGGCCTTTGATCAATTTTGCGAATAGACTATTTGGATATCAAAGAAATTAAGCTCTTGCACTGCTGTCTAATTCAAAAGAGCCTATCAACTGTTTATATTTATACAACAAACAATAAAATTGTAAAAGCACGCATACCAAAGAATGTCTTCAGGAGTAATATTTGAAAAGAGACCATGTATTTTTCAATATTGCTCTTGCTTAGCTATCAATGTACCGTTCAAAATGTTTATATTCCTCTCAATACTCTCAAGACCAACACATGTATAAGAGTAACCCTATATAGAAATGTGCATTCTTGGCTTATTTACCACAGATCAATTGTTTATCGCTGCAATCCGCATTCTTTTATAGTTTTCTGATAAACTCTAATGCTATATAAATGCCCATTTGTACCTACTTTTCTCTATTTGTTTCTTTCTGACTATAACAAGGAACTATTATCAATAAATGAAGCTGGCCAAGTTATCCAGCTTATTATTCGTGCCCTTGGCTCTCTGTGCTACTGTGCCTAATGTGAACAAGGTCGATGCCAATGTAAGATCAATTGCATATTGCTGTACCGTCTAATATGCTAACTTTTTTACCTGTCCGCAGATTGAAGCCTTTTTTGAAGCTCAAATTAAAAAGCAAGCCGAGCTCATTACAGTTCTTGCTCTCCAAACACAATTTGTAAACTTTCTAGACTACTCTCATAACCTGGCAAACGAAGTCATTGCTGAAGAGAACAAGAAGGCGGGTCTAGATAATGGACCTCAAGATGTCGCTGGTTTACTAGAGCTTATGTTCCATAAATCATCTGTATACAGAGCTCAAGTTTCTATCAATGCCACTGCTGTCGAGAATCCACTCCAAAATCTCATCAATGGTATCGGTGGTGCAATCAATAATGTTTCCAGCACTGCAGGCAATGCATTGAACGGCGGAAAGAATGCAACCAACATCCCAGTGATCCGTGACAGTACAACCATCACCACCAATTCTAACAATCCTCTTGGGGATCTCTTTGGCGGTATTGCCAATGGTGTTGGTGGCCTCGTTAATGGTGTTGATGGCCTCGTTAATGGCGTAGAAGGCCTCGTTGGAAACGTTACTAATGGTGTTGGTGGTGTTCTCGGTAATATTACTCATATTGTTACTGGTAACGGAACCAATCCTCTGGTCAACATTGGCAATGGCCTTGGCGGTCTCATTGGCTCTATCACCAACGCTATTGGCAACATTTTAGGCGGTTTGACGAATGGTATCATTGACAATGATATCTTGAAGAGCATTGCAGGTTTTATTGGTACGGCTCTTGGTGGCCTTATCAATGGAACATTATCCGTGGGCGATGTCATTTCTAAGGTTATCGATCAAATTAACCAATTCACAGGCGGAACAAACCCCCTTGGCAAATTCATTCAAAGTCTTGCCGTGTACTTGTCCAACAACCAAGATGGCTTTGTTGCTGATTTTATCAAGATTTCATCATTTATCAACGATGTTGTCAATACGGTGATGGCTATTGCCAAAGCCGTACTTGGAAACGTCTCTGATGGCGTCCAGAAGGCCATTTTCCAAGCAGTTACTGGTATCATTGGCAATGTCTTTGGTGGTGGTCTCTTTGCTCTTCAGCGTCTTCAAACTATGGGCTCAGATGAGTTTATGGAACTTCAAAACGTCTTTATAGATGCTGTTCGCGCTCAAAGCCCTGATGGAGCTAGCTACATTCAACAAATCTTCGAGATTGTCGGCGAAGTTGTCAAGAAGGTCTTTGCTACTGACCCTACTTTCTTCTCTTTCTTGACAGATCCCTCTGAAGAAAACCTCCGCAAGGCTTTCACAACTATTTACAGAGTTGTCACAACACACAATTAGGAAAAATTCGATCAAATACCCTAATCTCACCTATTTAAATTAAATAAATTATCCGCGTTTAGCAAGCAATCCATCAGAAATTTTAACAGCATCATGCTACAATAATGTTTGAAAACAGCCGCTCATCATATGGTCTTGTCTAGTTCGCAATGCTTCAAGTTCTTCAACAGAGAGTGTGCGTGTATGTAAATTTGCTTTCAAATAATGTATGGCGAAATTTGCTTCCGCTCGTCTTGATGGGTCTTTGAACGAGAAGAAGCCAAAGACGAATGCCGAGGCATTTGAGCTTTAGGATAGACCTCCTTTTATTCTGAAGCAATTTTTATACATGATGAAATGCCCCACTAGTAAAGCTTATAAGTGCCATCCAAGCTATGCAACCGAGATGGAATACAGTGAAGGGCGATTCAGCCTGATGATCTTACTCTCAAAAGCGATATTTTGACATATCTATAGTAAGCACATTGGTAATGTGTTGAGGTTCATGTGATGTCAGTGGCAGAAAAATGAGTGGGACCAACGCCAACGTAATGGGCCCGTCCCTCTGTTTCTGTGATCTTCATAACCCAAAACGAACATTGCAAGTGGTATTTGTCCCATGATAGGACAATGCATGTAACCTGAAAAAAAAAAAAAAATAGAGTGGGAGAGTGTTTAATTAGATAAACTTTGAGTGTTACAATGAGTAAGTAATGTACAACCAAGCCGAGTATTTTACAGAAAGTTTGCCTGATTGATTTAGTCCAAATGTACCACACAGCTGATCAATATGACCATGCTTTTTTTTGATTTCCATCATTACCATCATCTGTCGTTATGTTGCACATACAAACTCGGTGTGTTATGGTAATACGGGTACTTGGTTTGATGTTGTGCTGTGTGATACAAGTACAAACGACCTTTTTAAATGTATTCCGATGTGTAACTATCTCTTACTTGGCAACGTTCAAAACTCATACCTACCATTTGTTTATACGTTGCCATGGACCTGGAACACATAGCTAGGGAGAAAAAAAGCGCCCTTATATAGGCAATGATGCCGTGCTGATGGTCTGCTATGCGATGTATGATAGAGTGTAACTGTCTAACATCTGGGCCTTGCAACAGCGGCCATGTTTATGCACGCACAGACGTGTCAGCTTGCAGTTCTTCTTTTATACATGACTAAAAAAAAGATAATAAACAATGAAGATGTAATGTAAAGAGTAAGAGGTTGGAAGGAAAGTGCTGATATAGGCCACACATGCATTTATCGTAGCAAATATCATGCAAAATAAGCGTACATGGCGTGTTCTACGTGCCTACAGTGTGAAACAATGATGAATCTGAGATGAATGGATCTCTTTTACTCCTTGATGCATTCATACTGATTTTCAACAACATTGTGTTTATTAAACATCATGTGATTCCGTACATTCATTACTAGGTGTTTGTTGGGTTTTGAACAACCACAATCAAAGAGACTTGCAAGTAATACAGTCTATATAAACACATTCACATACATGGAAAAAAAGGGCTAAATGTTGTATGTTATGTAACACGGAATGCTATAGATTATAGTTTACAAAAGAAAATTTTTAGTGTGCTTTAGGTTTGTTTCCCTTTCTCTCTCTCTCTCTCTCTTCCCCTTTCCTCATCTTTCTTTCTCTTCGCCTTTGACTATAGCGCAATCATGGCATTTTCAAGTATTCATGCAACATCTCGAAAGAGAACAGAACCACAGCAGGACGAGGTTGAAGCCAGTTCCATCTTGGTCTCTCTCGCGAATCATCATCATCATCACAACGCTAAAAAGCTAAAGACGAGCACCCAATCAATGTCTATTCACAACCTACTCGGTAATAGAGACGAATCTAAACACCTTGCATTCCATATATTGATGCTTTTATTTGTGTGTACTAGAATCTGGCCAGCAGGATTCACCTGGCGAAACACAGCATCCAGTTACTCCACCTGCTTTCTCGAACGGTAATGTTTGTATACACAATTGTCTACATGCAACTGATAAATTACATAAATAAGCACGCATGCAAATGTCACCTGAAAAGTACATTGGGCAGAGTATGCATCCAAAAGCTCAAATGACGATACAGCACAATCAAAAGCCGCAGTTTCAACGGCCAGCTAACAATGATAAACGCAATTCCCATCCTGCTCAACAACAGCAAGGTTCATACAATCGCATGGTTAGTCGAAACTGTATAAAGCTTGAACTGGTTCTCTAACAAGCATATGCGTATATATAGCCCAGTCAGTATGCTCAGTATCATTCGCCACCCAACTCGACAATGGATTGTTCGAAGCAATCCTCGAAAATGGTACAGGAACAATCACCACTATCAACGTAAACAACTGCTAATTTGATTCATGTAGAAATGCAGCCCCAAGATCCGACGCAATGCTCTTCAAGCTTACATCAGCTATATGACCTATACAGACATAAGACGCAGGCGAATGGTATGAACAATCAAATAGGATCTACCGGAGATGTATCAAGGACTCTAACCACCATTGATTTCCAGGGAAAAGCTATGCACCAACAAAACACAATTTCTCCTGTATCGTCACCATATAATAATACATTGATGAAGCCTGATCCATATGCTTCTCAATTCCGACATCCTCCTCATCAACATCAACAACAACTTGCTTCTCCACCCTACCACCATCAACAGCAACATCATCAGCCTCCTCCCCTTCCATCTTTCAATCCGTATCAACAGAAGCAGCTCCACTCTAATCCACCACCACATGATACGAGACGTCCATCATACCCATCGCAACAGCAACAACCATTATCTCCTCCACCCCCTTCGCCTAATCAGAGAATCTCGGCACAAACAAAACCTCCTTCGTCCTCTGCTGCCTCTCCCCCCTTAGACAAACGCACGTCGTCTCCACCTGCAAGTAAAGTAATCGTGGATCAGCCATTGACCGCATTTCTCCATCATAATTGGCCATTGGTTGCAAACAGCAGATCTCCACCCTCTCCTGCGTCCATCGCTCAACAACAGCTTCCATATCATCGCGGCAGTAATATAGCAACACCTTATCCTATTGCCAGACAACACAATAGTGCATTTCGTTGAACTTTTAGGAATTCGTTTTGCTTGTACCCTCCTTTACTGATTTGGTGTCATGGTAGCCTTTTCAAAATGTGTGTATAATATCTTTTCTTGCTTTTTACTACTACTAAAATTGTAAATAAATACCTAAAATGTATCCAATTCTATGATCAATGCATGTATATACTATGTGTGATGACTGGGAAGCAAAAGCACATTGACCTGCTGTTCTTTTACCAGCATCACTATACAGGCACAAGGGTTGTGCCTTTCATTTTTTGGCTGTTAACTAACAGTTGTTAACAACTTTAATGAGCGCAAACATTATGGGGAATCTTGCTTTGGTGTTGTGTGATATAGCATGAGAATCAAAATCTCGATTAATTGAGCCCAACAACACTGCACATAATACCCCCAAATAAAAAAGTACACAAAATGGGATCTGTCCTTACATTATCAGATAGATTCTCGTGAGAGACATCATGGTATTATTGGAACGGCTCTGCTTCTTTGCTTACACACAACGTGGAAACCTCGTATTAATATTAGTACATTCGAGCATCGAGATAAAATCGTGCAATTCGACAAGGATGACTCACTAATGGATCTTGTAATAAAATTGCCATCTAAAAGCAATCTCATTGAAAGTCGAAATTCATCAAATATCACTTATCCAAATTCATGCATTTTGAATCTTTAATAAATCGCTTAAATGTACATGAACAATCATTCAAGCATGCTAAAGTAAACTTACATCGTTATCTCGCACATTGTGTGAATAAATCACTTTTGATCATAATGTATCCAGTTACACTCATGATGATTGTCATAAGTGAGATGCTGCCTTTACTCAAATAAAATCAAGTCAATCTCTAATATACACTGGAAGCTGGCATTGGTGAGAGGGCTTAAGGGAGGCGCTTAGCCCCTCCACCAAGGACATAACGCTTCTAGTTCAGCATTTGGTTACATTGATTTATAAGAGGGTTTACCTTTACTTCGCTAAGGTACAAAGCCATAACATTCAAACAGCAAATTCGGTCTCTCATTTTCATTATCAATAAGCTTATCAACTATTCAAAGTAGAAGTTGCACAGGCTGCAGAACTGCCCTTCCAGAAGACTTCAGCTACCAAAGATGCGATTCATTCCGTGTAAATAAAAGCTATAAAGCAAAAATACAACCAAAGTTAACAGCTTTTAAGCCTTCATATCTTGACATATAGATCTTTCTGAGCCGCCAGAATAACGCGAAACAATTGTACTTGAGCAGTAATAACTTCCTGACACTTTCGCTCAACTTTTTGGGGATCAAAAAAAATGAACAAAATTCGACCAAAAAGCATGAGGTACCCCTCATGGTTTTCATCGAAAATCAAACGATCGCGTTTTTCACCTTGAAAATGGAGACTTTTACTATGGTATATCTTGAATCAAAATGTTTCTATCGATCCAAAGCGACCTCTGAAATCATCTTTGTGGGACTTTGATATGTAAAATTTCGACATTTTGGCCAGAAACCTTTTTTCATATTTTCGTAAATTATTCAATAAGTGTATTCAAAACATCTATCTTACTTGGTACCATTGGGTGCGCCTTGAAAAGCACTCCAAGAAAGATTAAGGAAGCTTTTTTTTTGTAGGGGAGACGAGCTTCAGGTTTTATTTAAAGTCCTTAAAATGTCATACTGAGGGAAAGAAAAGACTGTTGGTGGACCCAATGTCTGCAATGATGGGGAATAAGATATATAATGAACTAAGTTGGGAAAGAAATCTACTACTAATCAGATGCGACACCTAGAGCCAATACAATTATGCGAATCGTCAAAATATGGATACTGGATAAGAGCACAAAACACCAAACGAGGACATCAGTGCTACGTCAAAATAGTCACCAAAATGCATTCACTGAGATTTGAACCGGGATCATCCAGATGGCATGTTGGATGCTTAACCACTTCGCCCTACCACCACAGGCACACTAAAAATCATAAGAAGATTATCACAATTTTATAGTCAAATCTCGCAAAATAGATCAATCGAGTCGCAGAAAGACGAGATTTATTTTTTTTGTAAGGAAGAGTTTATCTCTTCTGTTTTTATTTAAAGTCCTTAAATCGTCACTAGATATAAAGGAGAGGAGGTAAAGACTGTGGGATATAAAGGGAAGCTTAAATGATAGTATCAAAGGAAAGTTGTGAGTCGAGATGGTGCAGTGCACGATGAATGGAGTGGATGATTATTGACGGAATGAAAGGAGAGTGTTGGAAAACTTGGCAGTAATGAGCAGACCATATGGCCTGTTGAATGCAAGCAAAGACTTGGAAAACGGATAGATCAGGAAAAAGTTCATGAGAAGATCGGTCAAGAGTAAGGCGCAGGTGAAGGATAGCTAAATATTCCTCGTAGGCGAAGTGGGCGAAGCGAGGGGAGATGTAGAGAGAGAGAGAATGGCGCCAAACTTCCAATTTGAGGGGACAGGAGAAAAGGAAGTGCTCTGTGTCTTCGATGGCAGGTGGTGTGGTAGAGGATGAAGACTGACAATGAAGGCAGTACGGCGGAAATTGGTCGCGCATGCGTTGGTGGAGTAGCTGCCTAGTAGTAACTTTTTCATGAAGTATCCGAAACCAAGTATTGCGAGCATTCAAAGGTATCTGGAGGGCCCAAAACTGCTTCCATTTGGCAACACCTAAAGGAGACGAGAAAGAGGACATGTTAGTATGTAGAGGAAGGGATTTATACCCGTGGTTAGTAGGGAGAGACATAAGGAAGGAATGGGACTCAAAGGAAAATGAGGATGACATTAAGGAAATGAGAAGAGTAGAGATATGGGTGATACTTTCGGTATAGCTGGTGATGGTAGAGAGGTCGATGTGGTGGATGACTGGACGAGGGACGAGAAGAAGCCGGTTGAAATGAACGAAGTTGGCGAAGAGTAGTTGTTCAGATTGTAGGAGTTGAAGGGCTCGACGGCTGGTTGTAGGATGAGGGAGGCCGCGTGTTGAGATTCGAACTTGGAGGGCTTGAGTTGCTGGGTCAAAGGTTAAAACATCGTTACCTGTGAGGGTAAGAACGCCAGGACAGCGTACAGTCACTTCCTGTGGGGAGCAGAATGTAGCCGAGAGGCTATGAGATGATGGCAGGCTATGTTCGATTAGGGTTGCAAGCGGGAGGCGCAGACAAGTACTAAAGGGAACATGGCAGACACCAAACTTGCGGGCAATAGCATCGACGGCTCGAAGGAGGTTGTAGAGTGGGGCAGTGATAGCTGTTGAACGGGATGGCCGGCAAGCAGGGGAAAGAAGGGACCAGTGGTAGGTAGGATAAGAGGGAGTAGCAAGAAAGAAGTTGAGAATGACACGTATGTAAGGAATCGAGGTCTTGGTAGGAGGAGTGGGGTTTGCCGGATGCAAAAGAGGGTGTAACCATCGCCACTGAAGAGCATTGATCTGTTTAGCGGGATCCAACAGATTTAGACCACCTTGAGATCTAGGTAGACAAAGAGTGCTGAAAGAAAAACGGGTTAGTTTGGCCTGGTTATTAACAAATGAAGCGCCCAGATGTTGTAGTTTGCGGATATCGGTAGCCGAGAAAGGAAACAGACGGGCGACATGCCACACTTTTGAAAACAAAAGGGAGTTCAGCACCGTAACCCGGCCACGAAGGGTGAGGGTACGAATGGAATGGAGACGACAAAGATCGCGTAAACGAGATAGTAAGTTATTGACGTATGAAACCCGTTGTACCGGCGACGAACAAACAGGGTAGCCGAGATATGTAATGGGACTAGTCGCAGTCTTATCATGCCACGAGGAGATGCCTGTCGCTCTAAGACCGGCGATCCAGGATGCATGTGAGGCGCCAGAGAGAGACAATGCTTGCGTTTTGTGGTAGTTGAGGGAGGCATTGGACGCATCGGCATACCTACTGACTAGTTGTTGAAGCTGGTAAAATTCACCAAGATCGTTGAGGAAGACGAGAGTGTCATCTGCATACGCAAGAACTTTGACTGGATCGGCTACAGGAACGTGATGAGTAAGTGGTGTGGGGAAACGTGAATTCGTGTTAGCAATATAGTCAAAATCAAAGCCCTGAATATTCGGATGGTTGTTGATAGCACGAAGGAAGGGATCGAAAATGATGTTGAACAATAGCGGACTAATGGGATCCCCTTGGCGCATGCCGCGGTGGGTAGTAAACGGGGCGGACAGATTTCCATTGATGTTAACCTGTACCTGAGTGGTAGCCAACAGCGCAAGCAGTGATGATGTTAATTGAGGAGGCATGTTAAAGGCAGTGAGTATAGCGGAAAGGTAGTCAAGATTGACCCGATCATATGCCTTCTCCTGATCTAACAGTAAAGCAATGGACGTGGATTGAGTGGCCGTGGCAAGAGATTGGGCGCAATGTAAAATCATAGCTGGTTCACCAATGAAGCGCTGAGGCATGAAGCCAGATTGAGAGGAACTCAAGCGGGTGCGAAAGTGTTCCATGAGACGAGCGTTCAATAGCCTGGTGAAGATCTTAGCATCACAACAAATGAGACTGATGGGGCGCCAGTTCTGTAACAGTGACAGGTCGCCTTTCTTGGGAAGCAGCACCAGGCAAGTTTCCTGCCAAGATTGTGGGAACAGACCATGTAACAGAGCGTCAGAATAGACTCGAAGGGCGACAGCAGCTGTGGAAGTATGAGTCAGTAGAAGTTGAATGATGGCGTAGGGTATGGAGTCAATGCCAGGACTGGATTGTTTAGGGGCCCGTGTAGCGGCGTCGGCTAAATCATCCAAGGTAAAAGGCTCACATAATGCCGGGTGTTCAGAATCTGGAATTTGGTCAGTAGCAGGAATTTGGTCAGTGAAATACCGGATCGCGTCAATGTCCACCGCATCAGCAGTATATAAGCGGTCGTAATATGCGACTGCGGCTGCCTGCTTGTCAGTTGTCGTCTCACAGGTGGTGGTCGAGATGGGATGTATCAAGGTGGGGATGGCCCGTTGTTGAGTGCGTTGGGTGGCCAACCGCTTGAGGAAACCGGCGGATTTCTCACCTTGTTCTCGCCATTTTATGCCGGACCGTAGTGCTTGGATATCGGTTAGCTCCTGCTGAAGGTGGCCGATCATGGCTTCGATTTGTGGGAGGCGATCGTTGCGTATCTGCGTCGTCTTGTAGAGGCGAAGGTACTTGTTGCGTTTGCTTTGGAGGCGACAGAGCAGACGACGACGCCATTCGGCCTGTCGACGACTACAACTTCTTGCGACTTGACGGGTAATTGCTTTAAGCTGATCCCAAACTTCCTGAGGCCTGATGCCAGCGGATTCGGAGGCTATTTGATCGTGGAACTCGTCAAGTTTAGCAAACAGACGTTGTTGAAAGAACTTGTTGTGAGCTAGTTGGGGGTTGATTCGCCATAGACCTTTACCAAAATCCGGGTTCGCAAATGTCAGTTGTGTAGAAAGTAGAGCATGATCGGTCCATTCAGAATGAACAAAGTGAACGAAGTGATCGGTTCTGAAATCTAAAAGTTGAGGATCCATAAACACGTAATCGATGGTAGAGAGTGTGGTGTTGCGGCGAAATGTGGGCACCAAAGGGTCCTGACTTAATTCATGCGTACTTTCCTGATAATAATGGGTAAGCACCGAGTGGAAAAGCCATTGTGGATGAATGTTAGTGGATGCCACGGTGGGTGGTGGGCGATATTGACGAAAATTGTAGTTGAAATCACCTAACACAATAGAGGGAGCATCAGGGACGGTGGCCAGGTAGTTGTTATGCATCCCATCAGCGGTGTGCATGTTGTTGAGAAGGGCTTGAAAGAGAGGCTGCTGAAGTAGTTGGTCATAAAAGGCATATCGGTCGGAATGAGTGGCAGGTGCGTAGATATTCATGATCTTTAAAGGGGGAAACTTATTAGTAGAATGGGAAACATTGCAATATATAACTCGACCGTCCTCGGAAACAAAGATAGGATCTAGAATAATGTGAGGTTGAAGACTTACTATCCCGCAGTGGGATGTCCAAATGGATGATTGAGCTTGTAGTTGTATGTTGAGGCGGTTTTGGATGGTGGGTTCGTGGGCGTGGGTTTCTTGGAGGCAGAGAATACTGGGAGGCGGGTCGTATGAATGGCGCAGAAAGCGACAAAAGGATTGACTGGCGGGGACGTTGGATGGTTTGGATAAGCTACGACAATTAAGACTACGAATAGACAAGTGAGTGTGTTGAATATTATTTGAATTAGAAGATACCGAGGGGACAAAGACATTAGGAAGAGGAGCCGAACGATTGACTAGAGGAGATAATGAAGGCTCACTCATTGATGAGATTCTTCGGGGTCAGTCGAGTGTGCACTAGGGTGGAATTCTTCGGTGACCTCCATGAAATCGGATTCGACGACATTGCCAAAGAGATCGTACAGCACAGGTTTGCGTAATTGAGATGCTATGCTGGGCTCAAGTAATAGTTGACCGAGGTTGGAGTGAATGTTGGGAGTACGTTTGGGAGGGCGAGGAAGCAGTTCAGCGGAAAGCGCTTGAGCTTTGGCTGTGGAAATCCAATTTTGGGAAATGAAGAACTTGAGAACACCTGGAACAGTATGAAGCTTGACAAAGCGTACTGTGCGGACGCATCTGTCGGCGTGAAGAGCGGCGGCGATACGAACCAATTGAGGGGCAGGCATATCAGCAAATTTGGGGTCGGCAACGTGTTGAGCATCGAGAGGGTTGAAATCAGGGATCGCTGTGAGCCCACCTTCAGTCAAACGGCGAAGGATGTCGTCTCGGTAGTCAGTGTGGATCAAGATGGTAGCGATATTGCGAGCCGGGAAAGTAACGTCGAGGATGCGCTTACTATCGATGCCAACGGCAGCGAGAGTGGCACGGTATTCGGCGTGAGACATACGGTGAGCACGGTGGAGATGAATAACATCATAGGCAGGAGTGTCAGTAGGAGTGCGTGGTGGTTGAAGAACACGGATGGCATATTCGCGGCGGCGTTTGGGGTTGGCAGAAGCAGGACGTTGAAGGACTTGTGTCCATTGGGGTGGCTGGGTACCTGATGGGTGGGGTTGAGGCTGTGGAGCCGGCGTCGTAGAGGCATCCGAGTTGACAGTGTTGGGAGGGTTGGCGGGAGCGGTGGTAGGAGAGCGGACGAGCTTCTCGAGATTGCTGATAACAGAATGAAGGTTATTCACATCCTGTCTGAACTGATCATTCAGGGCCTGTTGAGCCTGTTGCGCTTTTTCAAAGACATCGAGACGAGAGTGTAATGCCTTCACAGATTCCACAAGAGCGAGAATGGCGGATTGGTCGATCACGATGTTTGACATGTCGATCAATCGTTACAATGTTTATTTGTTGTTTGCGATCGCTTTTTCAGGGATTTTTCTTACAGCGAGGATCAAACTATGTAAAATTTGAAAAGCGAAAGAAAGGTGAAAGACGAGATTTAGCCGATATTTAAGCAGAAAAAATAATCTGAGTTTGAATTAGCTTTAGCAGCGGGTGGCCCTGCTGCTGGCTGACCCAAATGCCTTTCTGATGATCAACCAGTATTTTTAATATCATTGCCAACCAAACACTCTTCTTTGGCTGAGCCAAACTCTTAGTAAGATATATCAAGGCCAAATGGGTAAACAGACTATGAATGAACCATTCACCGTTTTGAATCATCGTATCGTATTCAAAATGGTTAAATATTCTTTGTCAGAACCAAGCCGTACTATCCTTGCGATTGACAACTCACAAGTTTCTTTCTCTCAACAAGTGCATCTACTACTGATGTACATCATCAGAAACAACATGTGCTCATTCACAGCCAAGCCCACCTTATCACCGCGATCATACTACAACAATGGCTCCTTCTTATGCTTTCGCCCCAAACAACATCACAATATACCCGCAAAGCCTGCATTGTCCTGCCATCGAAATCATAATCCGTATGTTGAGAGTGATATTTGAATGAATGGAACACTTGTTGTACTGCGTCAGACGCTTCACCCATCATTATCATGCAACATCCATGGCAATTCCCATCACTGCTAGTACCACACTCTCATTATCCGCAACAGATGTACCTTTAGCAACCCAAGCGTCGAAGCTAAACTAGCTTTTCACCTCATCTCAAAGATGCATTCGTTCATTACAACTATAACATATCATTGATTTCATTCGTTGTATCTTGCAATGCCTGTCTGGATGTTGTAGATTCATCCAACGAATGCCATATCCAGAGAGCTAGATCCATAACAGTCCTGCATGCTTGGCCTCGAATGGGTCCCAAATATGAGCAGTTACATGCGTTAGTATCTATAAAATTCCAGAATATTACTCGAGAGTGCATTTAATGCAAATAATTAATGCCAAGCTGTTCATTTGGTAATTGAAGCAGCGTTTAGCTTGGAGACGAAGCTGCGTTTCAATAAATGATGGCTACTACTATTGTTGAGTCGTGTGGGTTGAACACTTGGTGCAATTAGCTATCTTTTGCTCCTTTTTCTTCTTTCTCTTACTTTTTTTTTTAATCTTTTATACAACTCGTTTGGCATATGAAATACTGGAGTCAAGAAAGAGGAGGCCTTGCACGAGCAGTGCTTGCGGCCTTGACCGTATTTACACTCCTGACAACAGTGTTGGCTGATGAACACGACCATGTGGTAAGTGTGCTGTTGATACGCTTGATCAATTCTAACGAGCAGCCAGTATAAAGAAGGCGATGAAGTGGTGGTTTGGATGAATACAGTGGGGCCCTTGAACAACAGGCAGGAAACATACCCCTATTTTCAATTACCATTTTGCCATGGTCCACACTCTTTGGAACATCATCACGAGACATTAGGCGAAGCATTGCAAGGCATGGATCTGGTGAATTCTGGCATCCCAATCACCTATTTGAGTAAGCGCTTATTTGATAGCAGAAAGAACAAGGCGATTAAACAAGCTGTGTAGAAACCGAAGCCAATCAGCTGTACTGCAAGGAGACATTGGATGCAAAAGATATTGATGTCTTGCGTTATGCAGTGGATAATCAATATTGGTATACCATGTTTATTGGTATGACATCAGGGCACGAAATGCATATGCAATGTACTGACTGCTCCGTATTAGATGATTTACCAGTGAGTGGCACGGTGGGAAGAGATGAAAGTGCAGACGAGCCTATGGATCCTCATTTTAAGCCGCTCTATGTCTATACCCACAAGAGCTTCACCTTTGAATATAACAGAAATCAAGTAGGGGAGATGCGTGTTGCATGCAAAATGACACTAATGGCTCTACTCGGATAGATTATCTCTGTCAGCCTACAACACGCCAATCCTGTTGAACTCAAATACAATCAGAAATCACTGGAATTGAGCTTTACATACTCGGTAGATTGGAATCCAACAGATGTTGCATATGAAGATCGTTTTGACAGCTTATTGGAGACTGATTTCTTTGAACACAAGGTGAGCAGTTGCATTTTATGGGGAAGTTTTTCTGGCGCTGGATCCAACAAGAATTCATCACCTAGGTTCATTGGCTGTCTATATTCAGCTCCTTTATGATGGTTCTGTTCTTGACTGGCCTTGTGTCTGTGATTTTGCTGAGAACAGTGAAGCGTGATTTCACACGATATGACCGCGAAGAAGGTCTTACGGATTTCGTGAGTATAGAAACAGGATAGTAGACATGCTTTGTTACTGATCCATGTGCGTGGATGTAGGACAGAGATTTAGGAGATGAATATGGCTGGAAGCAAGTGCATGGCGATGTGTTTCGTCAACCTCCACGCTTGATGCTCTTGTCAGCTTTGATGGGTACTGGATCTCAGCTTGTTATTCTTAGTGGTGTAGTAATTCTGTACACTATTCTGGGCGATTTGTATGCTGAGCGTGCAACCATTTTGACAGCTACCATCTTTTTGTATGCATTGACATCATTTGTAGCAGGATACACCAGCGCAAGATATTATACTCGATATGGTGGTAAGGACTGGGTCAAAACGGTGGTCATGACAGCTAGTTTATGGCCTGGTGCTGTTTCCTTGATTGGCGGTTTCATCAATATGTTGGCAATCTACTACTCAAGCTCTCGTGCCATTTCGTTCTATACGCTGTTATCCGTTGTTGCATTATGGGTCTTTCTGTGTTTCCCCTTGACATTGCTGGGTACAATTGTAGGCCGTAACTGGGGCAGTCAAGTTGATTTCCCTTGCAGAGTCAACCCTATTCCTCGCCCTATCCCTGAAAAGGTGTGGTATGCTGAACCATTGATGATAGTCGCTTTGGGTGGCATCTTGCCATTTGGGTCCATTTTTATTGAGATATACTTTATCTTTACCTCCTTCTGGACCTACAAGATTTATTACGTCTATGGCTTTATGTTTTTAGTGTTTATCATTCTATTAACTGTGAGTGCCTGCGTTGCCATTGTGAGTACATACTTTTTGTTGAACTCGGAGGATCACAGATGGTAAGTGTTGGATGCACGGAGTAAGGAAGAGACCCGCCTCAATAAAGGACTCTTTAGGCACTGGATAAGCTTCATGACATGTGCGTCTACTGCCGGCTACATTTACCTGTATTCCGTATACTACTTTATGGTCAAGACAAAGTAAGTCGTATAGTGGCAAGTGTGACAAATGACATCTAATATCAGAGCAGAATGACAGGCATGTTCCAGACTAGTTTCTACTTTGGCTATACCGCAATCCTCTCCTTGGGCATGTTCTGTATGTTGGGCTTCACCGGCCATTCGGCAGCAAGTCAGTTTGTACGTAAAATTTACCAAAATGTCAAGATTGATTAAGACTGCATTCAATTCATAATAAAAACGAACAACTTGTCCTATTGAACGTCTAACGACAAACAAACCCAGGGACTCTCAGCCTAGAGGCATTGGTCAATCACTCTGCAAATCAGAATCAATCAAGCATGATACGAGCATTAAAAAGACTGGTGTTCAAACATCCATCATGAAAATCTTTTTTCTTTCTTGATTTCAACAGAATATACATGTCTGATACTGCTGCTACTGCAAACATTGAAAGCGCAGATGCCCCTTCTTACTCGTTCTCATCTTTGCAGCAATGGCAGGTAGCTTTTATATACGCTTTTTCAGCTACATTCAACCCACATCAGGAAGTGTCTCCTCAATACTATAAATTGCCCTCCTTTACGCCTCAGGTAAATCTATATGTCTTTTTGCCGTAAGCTGCCGTGCTCACTAGAATGGCGTAGGATCTGGAAGACGAAATACAAAAGCAGGAGAGTGAATTAATACACCAGATCATTTGTGCTTGCATAGGCAACATCCTCAATCGTAATAAACCCGTAGAGTATGTATGTCGACGTTACCTGTTCATCACTGCAAAAACTCAATGCATCATTCATTGCAATAGATCATTCAAGAACTCCCTACAGCAGCTTATTACTGACAAAATGAAGACATTTGACATTGACTTGGAATCGAATCCATTGCTGAAACAAAACTACAATGCGCTCCCTATCGATATCAAGGTAAGCCTGTCAAGGCCAGAATCGAATGAGAACCCAGACGCGTATCCATTATTGATTTGCACCAAAAGCTGTATATATTATATTCACTAGTAGAATGGCAATTGCAAGATAGCTCAGCAGTGAAACTCATCGTGGACACTTACAATTTACAGGATGGTTTGACAGCTGCCAACCCCATCATTGCTCGTTCTGTGGGCACAGATTCCAAGAAGCGTACATATTGGCAATTTGGAGGTAAATGAAACAGGAGTGGGCTAGGAATCGCTGAATGCTGATTGTGTGCGCTCATTAGACTCGCCGTGGATTTGGCGTGAAACCAACAGCACGAAATCTCTGTCTCAATGGGAGACATTGTGTAGAAACCGTCAGGATTTAGAGCAACTAGTAGACAGTTTCTCAGGAACGACATCTAGATTAGAAAAGGCCCTTATCAAGACGATCACGGAAGAAATCTATGACATTGCAGACAAGGAGGAGCAGAAAAAATTACGCAAAGAGAGGGCTGAAATGCGAAAATTAATACCAGTAGAAGTATCCATCACACCCACCACACTTAGATCTAGAGGAAATCGAAGTCAACGAGTGCATTACAACTTTGATGACATTTATGGCATTGACGAAGACGAGTATAACGAAACTAATGACGATGATGATTTTGTGGATGAGGATGAGAACAGAGCAGCGCCAGATACACCAAGAAGACAAAGATCAAAACAACAGGCGTCTCCACCGAGACCTCCCCCTACGAGATGGAGCAGCCGTTTGAGTAGAGGGGCAGCACCAACAACAACAAGAGACGATCATGAGAAGACGTCAGTGGAATTCATGGAAGTCGATGCGCAAAGTGTAGAGACCATGGACACAACCCTACTTCCTTCAGAGCAAATTAACGGTATGGACACATCGAGATCGCCAAGTCTTATGGATACGACTCCCAGTCAAAGTCCTATGCAAGCTGTTTCAAATGTGCATGGTGTGATGAGCGTCAATGATATCTTGAATCCTCAGGGTGCTCATGATTAAGCTTTCTGACTGTGTTTAAGTCGAGTCAAGATATACACTGTATATAAGGATTTATTTAGAGCATTTACACATTCATTGTATTTCAATTAAAGATTGCCATACATACCTCTTTTGCTTCCGCCGTACCTCTTTGTTTGATACCTATGTGAATGTGCTAGTACGTATACATTGTAGTTTGGGGTGTTGGTATGATGGGATCAATAGCATTCTATTGATTTTCGTCAAGCTCCGGATTTTGCAGTTTATGCTTGATAAAAATCAACTTGCGGGTACAGGGAGTCATGCAGTACCTAGGTAATGTTTGGAAGGGTTGTGAGCTATTATGAGTAAAAGTACCCTATTGTTCAGTCATATCACATCAAAAGAGAATAATAGCCCTCTTACACAGCTTTAAGTTATGGATCTAACTCTCCTGCAATGCCCCACATCCGCATCAATGCAGCAGCTTATATACAAGTTTATAACATACTTGTATTCCCTCTGAATACTCAAAACTATGCAAAATTCAGCAAAAAATTGGATGCATTTGAGCCGCGTTTTCTCGCGTTCAAGGCCGTTTTAGATGGTCAGAATAGCAACAAACAATTGCTCTCGTCTAGGAGTTACTTCCTGACACCTTTGCTCAACTTTTTTGAGGACCAAAAAAAAACATGGCGAAAAATCGATCAAAAAGCATGAGGTACCCCTCATGGTTTTCATCAAAAATCAAACGATCGCGTTTTTCGCCTTGAAAATAAAGACTTTTGCTATGGTATATCTTGAATCAAAATGTTTCTATCGATCCAACGGAGTTCCTGAAATCATCTTTGTGGGACTTTGATATGCAAAATTTCGACTTTTTGGCCAGAAACCGCTTTTCATATTTTCGTAAACTACTCAATAAGTTTATCCACATCATCCATCTTATTTGGTACCATTGGATGCTCCTTGAAAAGTACTCTAGAAAAGCATAAGGGAGTATTGAATGATTGTTACACTTTATATAGTCAAATCTATCAAAATATATCAATCAAGTCGAAATTTAGTCAAAAGTGACGAATGGAAATAGAGAATGCAATCGAAAATTTAATTGGGTTTGGCAGCTGGCAGTAGCAGTGCCTGTTTAACGTTGAAAGTAATCGATAGTCTTAAAAATGATATGAAGATAAATGCAGACCAAAGAGGTACTGCAAATTAATTTAGCCACACTGTATGGCTGCTGTTGAGCAATTGGCATATTGTTTTAGTAATGGTTGTAAAATATTCATTCCAAATGCAGATGCTCATGCAATATGTTGGTTGTGAATACCAAGTGGGTACACTGTTCGATTTAATGCAGCCCACCTCTCTCATTCCATGGCATCCACCACACTCTATAGGTATCCATTATGGAGTACACCTGATATAATTGTTGAATTTAGCCAACCAATTTGAGATTAGTGCAGGATGGGCCATCATCCTTTCATTTTATCTGAGCGTCAGTAGCCTCCTGCTGTAATTGCTGCGGTGTTGTTAATGTTGCGCTATGGGAGAATTCAACCGACTCAATGACAAAATGCAACATAAACGGAAGGATCATGACCTCCACCAAACAAACGACATTATCCCAGAATAAAGCTTATACGTTTAAAGCACCATTACATAGTGCCTGTATTACAAATAAATACGCACCACAATCCAATATGGAAGAAAACGACGATCAAATTCCTAATTCAACAAGCAAATGTTTTACCCATCGAGCTCCATTTAACTTTTTGTGAAACCACTCCATACCTTTGATATATAAAAAAAATATTTTGAGCCAAGAACTCTCTTTTTCTTCTTTCTGTGTTCCCCTTTATACTTTGATAAAAAAAAAAAAAATGAGTGAACGTGAACATTTGTTGCCTCATCACGGCCAAGAGGAAGAGGACCTGACCTTCATGTCATCCTTCAAGCATACACTCTCCTCTTCCAAGATTAACTGGCTCTTGGTGTTTGTTCCTATCGCCATCATCTTTTCTGGTGCTTCAGACACTGTTGTCTTTTCATTGAATTTCATTGCCATTATCCCACTCGCCAAGCTCCTTGGTTTTGGTAAGTCTCACATGATGCAGTGTATTTGTATGTGTACACCAACACATTTCACAGCTACCGAGGAAATTGCACTTAGATCTGGTTCTGTTATTGGCTCTGTAAGTGATGGAAATCAATACCAGAGTGCATGTTGGCTAACATTTGAAACCGCTCACTAGCTTTTGAACGCTACATTTGGTAATGCAGTTGAGCTTATTCTTGGCATGATTGCTTTGAAGGAAGGATTAGTGCGTGTCGTTCAAGGTAACGCTAGAAATAAGGGGGTATTATTTAATTTAGAAATTCATCATTTTACTGCTTAGCTTCTATTTTGGGTTCTATTTTGTCAAACATTCTCCTCGTAAGTGTGTAACGGATGGCGATATGGAGTGTTCATGGCGTGTTGATTGTTCAATATAGGTTCTTGGCTGTTGTTTCTTGTTGGGTGGTATTGGTCGTTCCGAGCAATCTTTCAACGCTACTGGTAAGATTTGCCATGTATACATCTTGTGTAAGGGTAACTGATATATTACATCACTTTACATTAGCTGCACAAACCTCCACTTCTCTCTTGGGCCTTACTGCTCTCTCTTTGTTGATTCCTGCTGCTTTCAGCGCAACTGCTGCTCATACAACTGAAGTCGATACGGGTATCGTCAATCTCAGTCATGGTACTGCCATCATTCTCTTGGTCATCTATGTCTTGTATTTGGTCTTCCAACTCAAGACTCACTCCGAGTTGTTTGAAGATGAAGCTGATGAGGAAGAGAAGCCTCACACCACGCTTGCTTTCTCTGTTATTTCGTAAGTCCAAAGGTGATGTGTTATAGCCTAGTAAGCTGATGATACCACTCTAGTTTGTTGGTCATTGCTGGTTTCATTGCTATTCATGCTGAAAGTCTTGTGGGCGCGTAAGTTGATTAAAGTCAATGTTACACTTGCATCTACTCATTTCCTCTCTATCTCTCTCTCTTTTAATTTAGTATTGAAGGTGTGGTTGAGGCTTGGGGCTTGAACGAAACCTTTGTGGGTCTCATCATCTTGCCTATTGTCGGAAAGTAAGTCTCGTTTGGAGGATTTCGACTACATGGATACTAAACATTTACTCAAACCAGTGCTGCTGAACATGTCAGCTCTGTCACGTTTGCTATGAAGAACAAGATGAACTTGTGTATCGGTATTGCCATCTCTTCTTCTCTTCAAATTGGCCTTTTGGTCTCCCCTGTGCTCGTCTTGACTGGCTGGGTAATTGATGTCCCCATGACATTCTTTTTCGAGATCTTTGAAACTGTTGTCTTGTTCTCCAGTGTTTTGGTTGTCAACTACCTCATTGCTGATGGCAAATCCAACTGGCTCGAAGGTGCCTTGCTCTTGGCTTGTTATGCCATTGTTGCATTAGCATTCTTCTATCATCCCATTGTTTAAAAGAATTGTGTCATTTTCATTGAATAAACCTTTGATCTCTTCAAGTGTCGAGCTCTAATCCATTTGACCCTGAGCACCCGCCTTCACCTTCAGCCACGCTTGACACTCACCTGTAAACAATTGGATGCCAGATCAAACGTTGCTTGTCAATCAGCTACATTTCGATGATATTTGGATCGCTTTTGCTGCAACAAACGGCAGCAACATGTCTTGATATCCTATGGCCATGTATATGGTGGTAATGTAAAGCTCTCTCATGTCCATGTTCATGTATAATACGACTCCATGTTGCCATATACCATGTAACCTGAAAAAAAAGGTGACGGCTCCATGATAGCTTTCAAAAAAAAAAAAAAATTAGTATGCAAAATTGGATTCAACGCGTAGACCGTGTGTCCTCTCTCTCTCTCTCTCTCTCTCTCTTTCTCCCTTTATTCAATTCACACATACACTGATATTGGACATCACCACTTTTATACATTGATTCAATATTAGTACACAGTCGAACACTAATCCAATCATACAATAAAAGGTTATGCCACCCGTAGTTCAAGCACAAGGTGTTCCTGTGCCCTATGCACATCAGAGAGCATTAATACCTGCAACGAGAATGGAGTTCCCTACTCAACGTCTGTGGGCATTCTCAATATTCGTCTTATTACAAGCTCTCAAGGTTGCCGACTTTTGGAGAGCCTACATGGCTGCTTATCCCGAACAGCATGGCAGCTCCCTGCTTAAGTGGTGGTTCATTGATATCATCTACTTGTTCGCTCTGTACTTTGCTCAAATCCCTTGGCTGCAGTTCAGTCTGCTCAAGACGCTGCTACTTGGTGTCTTCCTATGCTGGCTTGATGTGCTTGTCTTTACTATTCCCATTGTAAGTTAAGCACACATGCCATCCCATGTCCATAACTAATGTATTATATAGTACGGCTTTGGCTTTGTGTTGTTTAGAGGCATCTTTGGCGAAGCTGCTATCAAGAAGGTCATCGTATCCAGAGGCCAGCTTGCCAATGTCAACAAGATTGTTCACAACTCGTCGCATATTTTGGGTGCTCATACTTTGCACATCCTTCCCTATGGGTAAGCACAGCAAAGGATGTATCTTGCAGCACCAGCTAACAACCCCCTCTTTTCATGTAGTACTGCCAAATTGAACCCGAGTGATGAAGTATACTGTTTATCGACAAACGAAATTGGAAAGAAAGACATTTATATACCCATCATTCTGAACAACACAACGCCTCAATCCATCTTCGTTTCTCGTCTTGATTTTGACACTGGCCTGACCACAGTCAATGAACACACTGGCAAGAATATCCAGAGAGCAACTGAAATCAATCACGCAAAGGAAGGTGTCGAGTACTATTACATTCGCATCAGAAAACCAGGCGCTTACAAAATCGATCAAATCGTTTCAAAGCAAGGTGTCAGCATTCGCCTTGACAACAAGCAAGCTTTCGTCTTCACCTGTCCTTACGCTCATATCAAGCCTGTGCCAGCCACAGATTACTGTACTGGGGATACAGAGAATTTGCAGTTCCAAGTGATGGGTGTTCCTCCACTCGATGTATATTACACCAGAAAAATGGACGACGGCAATCACGTAAAGAAGCTCGAGCTCAACAGAATTCAACCCGATGACTTTGAATCGCCTTTACTACGTCGCATCAATGGCCCCAAGACAATTGAGCCTTCACTCTTTAGCATCAAGCCTGATTCAGATTACTCATGGGCTGCTGTCAAGGAGCTCCATATCAACCTCAATCTCACACTGGAAACCGCCTCCAAACAAGAGTATCAATTATCCAAAGTGAGAGATGGTGCAGGAAATGAAGTCGATTTGTCCAACTTGGCATCGCGATCCTTGCAAGTGCATCGTCGCCCTGCTGTCAACTTTGGCTGCAGTCAAAAGGAGCCCATCAACCTTCTTGTCGGTGAAAAGTCGATTCATTTGCCTCTGGATGTCCAAGGCTCTGGTCCATTCCACTTGGAATATAAGTTTGCTGGTGCTGCTGACCAAGCGTTCAAGGCCAAATTGAAGCCCCATGAAAAGTCTATCCAAGTATCTACTCCCGGTGAATACAGCCTTGTCTCCATCAGCGACAAGTTCTGTCAAGGTGAAGTGAAATTCCCCTCCTCCTGTCTTGTTGCTCAACCCCAGCCTCCTGCTGTCAAACTCCACCATACTGCTATTCCATCTGAATGTGCTGGTGACAACGAGATTGGCATGAAGTTTGTTGCTGAACTGGTGGGTGCTCCTCCCTACACTCTGGAATACACCGTTATCAAGCACAGTGGTCGCGCAAAGCAGGTTGTTGATCGTAAACGTGAAGTCATTGATCGCTCTCGTCACATTTTCTCGTACTTACCGAGCAGCAGTGGTGAATACACGTATGAATTTACCACAGTGGACGATCGTCACTACAAAAAGCGCTCTCTCAACATCCCTCCCATCAAGCAAGTGGTCCATCCTCAACCTGACGCCAAATTCAGGGCCAAAAACCGTCGTGTTCGTACCTGTCTCAATGAGGATTTGACTGTGGATGTAGATTTGCGAGGTACACCACCCTTCAAGTTGAAGTGGACTGTGGGCGATCAAAAGTATGGTGATTACATTGAAGACGAGATTTACACCATGAAGTTGCCTCCATTCGATGTTGCTGGTCAGCATATCGTCTCTTTGGTCAACATCACCGATGCCAATGGCTGTACCAAGGAACTGGAAGCTCGTGACTACACTGTGGATGTGCGTCGTGATCGTCCTACTGCTTTCTTCTTGACTGACAATGAACCCGTGCGCACTGTGGAGGTCACCGAAGGCTCCTCTGTTCAACTCCCCATTGGCTTAACCGGTGAAGGCCCATGGACAGTGTCTTACTACAATGTTGAAATGGGCGAACGCAGCTTGGTCACACGTCGCTTTGACAACGCCAATGCTGAAATTGAAGTGAGACATGCCGGTCATTACGATCTCTTGAGAGTGGACGATGCCATCTGCAGTGGCGATGTGTTGAAGCCCCAATATTTGGTCAAGTGGTTGGACAAACCCTCGCTATCTATTCCCAAGGATCAAGCCATTGATATAGGTCGCAACATCTTTGAACGTGGTGCTGTATGCCAACATGCCAGTGACTCTCTCGATATCGAATTCAACGGCAGTGGACCCTTCTACTGTCTCTACAAGGAGTACCGTGCTTCCATTGGTGGCATCCGCTCTCATTACCTTGGTCAAGACGAAATCACTGCTGGTAGCAAGCGAGTCCATTTGCCTCTCAAAACGCGCGAAGCCGGAAAGTATCGCTATGTCTTTGAGAAGATTGCTGATCAACATTACACGAATCCTTTCAGCATTGACAAATTGGAGGTGCATCAAATTGTCCACGCTACGCCTACTGTCAAGTTCTCCAAGTCTCGCAGAGACCGTACCTTGTGTGTTGGCGAAACACTGGGCAGCATTGATATGGATCCCATCTATCTTGAATTCACGGGTGTTGCTCCCTTCAAGGCCGAGGTGCATGTTCGTTTGGAGTCTGAAAAGTATGGTCGCATTCATCAGATTGAATCCAGCACCACCAAGTACAAGTTGAATTTGGATGACGAGCTCAAGGTTGCCGGCAATTACAAGATTTCACTCAAGAGCGTGGATGATGCTAATGGATGTGGTACTGAGGTGACTGACAGCGAGACGATTAACGTCAAAGCACTGGAAATTGCAACCATCTCGTCTATTGACACCTGTGATGATGTATGTGTTGGTGATAGTATTGATTACAGTCTCTTTGGCGTTGGGCCCTTCACTGTACAATATCTCTTTAACGGCAGAAACGAAATCGCGAAAGCCCATTCATCCAAGCTTTCCTTGCTGGCCGATAAACCTGGTAACATCACTGTTGTTTCTGTTGGTGATCAAAGAAACAAGTGCAAGTCGTACCCCAAGAATCTAACAAAGCAAATCCATGAAATCCCATCCTCCTATGTCAGTGGTGGCAAGAACGTGGTGGAAAGCGTCGAAGAAGGTAATGAGCTTTGCTATTATAATATGAAGATGCACTGTTGTACTGATATTTACACTCGTTATAGGTGATATGGTGGATGTTACAATTGATCTCATCGGTGTCCCTCCTTTCGATTTTGAATGGCGTAGATATCAACTCGTGTGGGATGATCGTACCAACCAACATCAGAAGGGCGCTGTTTTAGAAAGCCATAATGTGTATAATCAAAAGGAACATCAGTACATTATTCGCACTTCAACTGAAGGCATTATAGAGGTATGTTATATGTTGACTGGTCAATCCATGCTGGGCTTACTAACCAATTTGTTCCAATAGCTTGCTAGTATCAAAGATCGCTACTGTCAATATCCCATTTAAATATTTCTATACATATAACGTAAATAAACAATTTTTTTTTTACAAGTTTCACCATAGTCGTGTAGAGCAATGAATGGGCGATAGCAATCAGGATAATCTCTTCTTTCAAAGTCAATGTACAGTTTCCAGTGCTTTTATACCTTTTGAAGCTTGCTTGTTAACTGTATTTTTATTTCAAATGTTGCAATACCACCTTGGATCTGTTAGTCTCTATTTGTGGATGTGGGTGCAACAGTGACAAGGCTATGCAAGCTTCTGGTCGTGGCTAGCCCTTTTTCATCATCTCTTCTTCTTTTACAAAATCAATACCATTTGAGCCACGATTTAGGAAGTCAGTTTGATACAATATCTATAGGGTATGCTTGCTTCAAGTTGATTATTCAACACAAACAGACATGCACTGTGCGTGGTATATTCCCCAAACCATACAGATAAAATTCACTGCTGCAATGCATACATGAAACTAGGTTATTCCTCTCAGAGAGTGGCTGTGGATTCGATTGTGCATCTTCTACGTCTTCCTTGCTCTGTAAAAAGGACTATTCTCATATGGACTACCATCAAAAATCCATAAAATGTATTTAAACGCATCCTTCATTCGTTCATTGGTCAAATGTTCGATAGCTTCTACTATAATTTTGGAAGAATAAAATTCCTTTTGAGTACTATCACTGAAACCAGGCCAAAACTCCTACCAAAAGAAGCTTCCTGCCGTTTGTCAGGTTTTTTTTTTTTTTTTTTTTTTTTTCATGCCTACAGCGATAGGGTCACTGAAGCTGAATCTGTGTGAGTGTGCGTATAATACGCTTTAGGAAGCAGACCGAAGCTTCTAATTTTTTTTCACCTCCCCCTTTTTTTTTCTTTCTTTTTTTTTTTTTTTTTTTTTTTTTTTTTTTTTTTTTTTTTTTTTTGCAACTTGACTTGAAGAATATCCCAACCTTTCCTTTACTCTCTTTGTAATATTGAATGCTCTATGGATGAATCTGTTTCCTACCACTTTGCAACTGTCAAGCAGAGACGAGAAAATAGACACGAAATGTAAAAGAAAACAGGGCATTTAAAATTTTGCTGATTTTAACAGTTGATTGAATAGCGATTACCAACTAACGTTGAGGCAGCAACCCAAGCAATCCAGAATGTGTGGTGTTGGGGAGAAAGGTAGAGTGAGAAGACGCTCTTGAAAAAATGCAAGACTAATTGAACACATGCAATTAGCTGACAGAAGACCCATTGATCCTCCTCGTAAGTAATTAAACAGCAAGGATTTACGCAGTAGCAATTAACACTACACTAGCTATTGTTCAGCTGAAAGTCATCGATGCCAAGCTGCCATCAGCAGAGAAAAAGTAACTACAGTCGTTACCAACACCTACTACATTCGTACTGATTCAATCGTCTAGTGCCTATTTGCAGAATCCATATTATTTCATGTACGCTTCGCTCATGGCAGCTGATTTGGACGAGGAATTGCATCTGTTGAGAGACGGAAAGACACGCAGTACAACAGGATCAGTTGTGTCATCATTATATCATCTCAAGGACATTGATAATACGGATGCAGGCTTCTTTGTTTTTCCAGATTTATCAGTGAGAATGGAGGGAAGCTATAGATTGAAATTGAGTTTGTTTGAAATCATCGGTAAAGAGGTGTTCCATTGCAGATCCATTATATCTAAAAAGTTTTTTGTGTATTCTGCAAAAAAGTAAGTCTAGTGATGTGGCAGAAAAAGGGTTGATATGCTGACAGGGGCGGGATATTCTCTAGGTTTCCTGGAATGGAGGAATCCACATTTTTGTCCAGATCATTTGCAGATCAAGGGCTCAAGATTCGCATTAGAAAAGAATTACGACAGAGGAGAAAGTTGAGCAAAATCAGTGATACAGAGGACAAAGATGCCAATAGCTCCGTCACGCCATCACCAACCTCGACAATCAACAGCAAAAAGGCAAAGACGTACAAAGGGACCAGCGATGAATCGCCACCAACGCCAGGCGGCATGTCTTCATCCAACTCCAATGTGACCACATCCACTGCCTCTATTACAACACCCACGCCGCCCACTGCAACAGTCAATTCTCATTACAGGGTTGATTTGCCTCCGAATCCCACAAGATATATATCGTATAGCTCCAAGCAGCAGCCAGATGCGTGGTCTTCATCGCCACAATCCTCATCGTCAGTGGGCTCAAATACAAATCGATACTATGCACAAGAAGAAAGCAGTAATGCAAATGTGGATCGTGTGCAGCAGCAGCAACAACCATCGCCTTACTTTGTACATTCAGATCCATATCACTCTCATTCAAAAGCATCTTTAAAGTATCCGTTACCCACAGCACCATCACATCCTCCTCCTCCTCCTCCTCCTCCTCCTCCTCCTCCTCCTTCTTCTTCTTCTTCTTCACAGCATGAACCGCAACTCATGTCGTTTAATAATCATAGTGGATCGCGGATGAATCCCCCTCCCTTGTTCTACTACTCATCCAGTTACCCCAATTCGTCGTTACCACCACCACCACCATCACCATCTCAGCTCACATCTACACAGCAACAGCAACAGCAACAACATTATTCACAGCAACTGCCTCCACCTCCCTCTTCACATCCCTCACAACATTGGCCACCACCGCCTTGACGCCCTTCAGTGCACAAATGGATTGGTTTTAGCAGTCCATTTCAAAAAAAAAGACAAAAAAAAAAAAAAGACAAAATGCCCATATCTCTACTTTTCATATTACTACTAGAGCTTTTTTTCTTCCTTTCTTGCATATATGCAATTGTCGCTTGAATGAAGAAAAAGTTTCCCTACCATGTAAATTTATCATTAATAAATAAAAATAGCTTTAGTTTGCTAACTACAATGACTTGGTCTAGTTGCTAGGACTAACCTGGAACAAGGAGCACACATCCAACATGGAGAATGTGTATTGTTACTGTGGCAAAGGCATGAAAGAGTAGGTCAAATAGACGCATTACACAACATGCAACTCACACACGCAGCACAGCAACCAGCCCATGCTACAGTGCGATCAATGCAAGCAGTGGTTCCATCGCAGCTGCATCAAATGTCTGCCGAAACCACTGTTGTTTGGAGACACATTTGGCGTTTTTCGCTGCTCTGTATGCAACCAAGCGCCCGAGACATTCCAGCGAAAGCCCTCTAGCTGGATTACCATCGTTCATCTCGTCATCTACAACCTGATTAGAAACGCTCAATTAGATAATGCCAAAAAGCCCAAAAAGGACAGACGAGATCATTTCTACTTTCGATGGAAGGAGGATGTGTGTGCATTCATTGACGATTACTGGGATTATCTCTGTCCTGAGAAGCAGCGCACATCAGCTTGGCACAACACTATTGCAAGCGTACTATCAACACACAGCAACATTTTCTTATCCGGCTTTGAAAAGTTCAAGCAAAGTGGTAACCAGCAAGTCAGCATTTGACGAATGATACATTTACTAAGCTTTCTTCCTTTTTTTTTTTTTTTTTTATGTTACGCAGCATGGTGGACATTGCAGAAGATAGAGCCTCCTACGGCATCAACGGCAAACGACAAAAAAGCACATACCCGGGTGAAACCAACGCTAAGGAAGCCGTTAAAGAGATCATCAGTTCAAATGGACGAAAAGAGCTTACCGGCCACCAAGAAAAAGAAGGCCAAAGCAGCACCCGTCGAATCAGATGGGGATAATGACTTGATGGATTTGAGCTCACTGTCAGAGCTGTCGTCTGCTGAAGAATCCCTGTCTGATTTTGAGGATACAAAGGTAAAGAAGGAGCCCAGTCAGGAACCAACATTACCACCTACAGATAAAGAGGCTGTATCTTCGCCAGTATCATCAGTAGCCAGAGAGTCCATGGATGAGGAAACACCAACTGCATCAACAGAACCTGTGCGAGCCAAGGAGACAACGCCTGTCATCAAGGCAGAGCTTACCAGTGCTCTGCGCGATGATTCCTTTGATCCAAATACACCACCCACATCTACAGCTGCACCTACACCTACACCATCCGCACTACCTACATCATCCAATATACCCAACACACCATCTCAGTCTGCAGCCAGCACACACAACAACAGCAACATCAACAACAGCACTTCCAACCCCACACTCTCGCCACAAGACGAATGGCTACTACTGCAAAAACTAGAGCACTCATCCAAAAAACTTCCGCCAGCAGCGTGTAGATATAAGCGTAAACTAGGCGTGCGTCGTCTGAAACGCAACTTGGGCATCAAACTCTTTGACATGGACAGCCAACTTATTCACCTACTACGTATGCCAAACCATGCATTAGAGCCTATCCCCAAGGACACGACTATTCAGCCAGCATCCAATCAACAGCAAGTAGAGCAACAGCAGGACAATCAACTCTTACTAGACAAGATTACATGGACACCGTACACATCTTCATTTGCCTCGCGATTGTTTGGCTCTATTCGACAGAAAAACACCTTGACTCGAGATGAGCCATGGCTATCGTCCTGGAATGGCCGTAAATTACGGCCATTTATACGTCGCGATTTCCAAAACAAGCCCAAACGCATGTTGTTGATGGGCCAGATCAAGGCGTGTAATGGAAAGCCGCACAAGAAAGGCCAAGAGGAACCTTCTGGCGTTGTGCCTGGAGAGAGCATCGATTACGTCTACTTTCAAAAGGAGCATTTGCAGCAGGTAAACATGTTGCTGAGTCGATCTTTCTGGGAGGGCGTCGATGTGTCTGAATCATTGCTGTTTCCTGAATTCAGCATTGTTGCCCTGTACAAGCGGCGAGTGATTGGATGTGCCTTCATGACACCAGAAGCCTACATCACTTATTTTGCTGTAGAACCTGGATGGACAAATGCCAGTATAGGACAGTTTATGCTCTATCACTTGTTCCAGACAGCCATCTCCAAGGACATCACATTGCATGTATCAGCCAACAACAATGCTATGGTAAAGTCTCTTGTAGGTAGATTTGAACACGTATACTGACCTTCCCTGTAGATTCTCTATCAAAAGTTTGGCTTCAAGCCAGAGGAGTTTATTGTCAATTTCTATGACAAGTATCTTCCAACAGACAGCGTGTTTAGTAAAAACGCCTTTTTTTTGAGATTGAGAAGATAATTTTTCTATTGTGTGCAATAAATTTTTTTGACTTTAAAGAGTGTGTTCATTGCAGGTGCTCATGATGTATGGGCCAGATGCGTGTACCACTGGAATTGTTTGTAACTTGATCTGCCGTTCCATGTAGTCGATTGAGGCGATGAGAGCTGACCCGTACAAATGTACTCCAATGCCTGTTTGATGGTTAATTTGGCCGTGCCATTTGACTTGATTTTCAAGGAGATCATCCTTCTATCTGTATTTTCATTTGCTGAAAAGCTCAATACTTGAACCTGCATCAATTGAACCCTAATTGTATTGACAGTTTAATCCAATCACATCCTACATTTGAATGCTTGACAGATGAATCTATTAAAAGAAGAATGAATATGGACATGAGTGAGTATATATAACTCGATAAAAAAAAAAGCACTTTGAATTCGCTGAAAACCTTCAACAAAAGGCTCATGGGCTAGAGCCTCAAGGCATTGATCGATTTGAATGCAAATATAGCCACTTGGCAGCTGCCGTATGCCCCTTTGTCAATCATTGCACCATACTAGATCATGCAAAAAAAAAAAAAAAAAAAAAAAAAAAAAAAAAAAAAAACTTGTTATAAAGGTGCCATAAGGGCTTTATAACATCATTGTTCTATGCTATGTAAATAAATAAATAAACAATAAATTAACACCTAAAGTTGATCTACTCTCTCACCCTTTCTTTCTTTCTCTTTTAATTTTATCATTACTGCTACAGTAAATAATGGATACTGACACCACTACAAAACCACACCCAGAAAAGAGCATCCCCAGCATGACAGCATTCTCTATCATGTTTGTCAGCATTGGTATGTCATGCTTCATATGGCAATCAATCACAGCAGGGCAAATGTTCTACAAAGCAAGAAAACCCATCATAGGCCTTGTATTTGCTCAAGCTACCTTAGGCATCGTGGTTACGTTTGTCACCCTACTCACCTCATTAACTCCAGACTTTGATTGCACCTTTGTAAGTGGCAACTCTTATAGCAACTTGAGCTAATACTAAACGTTTCTGTGTACAGCGTCTGCTATTTTCAGTCGTAGGTGTCAATGTTGCCGACATATCGCTGCAATTTGTGCTGTTGTGGAAAGCTTATTTGGGTAACAATCGATCCAAACTGATTCTGGGCGTTGGCTGTATACCACTGGCAGCCATTGCAGCCTTTATCATTGCCAACATGACTTTTGGAAGGTCCATATCAGAGCAAGGTGTTGGATTATGCGATACAGATTATCGTAAGTAGCTCTGTTGAACACAATTAGCTACGGTTAACTCACATTTGACATGACATAGCCACATACATTGTGATTGCAAAGGCTGCCATTGATTGTATATCAAACACATTCTTGTCTAGCTGCTTTGTGCTAGTTATTTACAGACATTACCGTATCTTGGGAAGCAGCATTCAAAAGACACTGATCACAGAAGGCCTTATCTACTGGTAAGTGCATCATCTTGTGCTGCTTGACCTTAAGTATTGACCAAATTCAATAGTTTTGGTGTATGTTTGTCAAACATTCTCACTGGTATCTTGATGGCAAAGACTGTGTTAGGTGGCAGCACACCCATCTTGTATACAATTGACTGTAAGTGTATCAAAATTAGATACTTGAATGTTTACTAACTTCAGTCAACAGGGTATCTTGCTTCCTACCTCATCATAAAACAGCTTGAATCTCGCCATAAGCATACTGGATTGAAAGAAGATGAAGACGAAGAGGAGGATGATAGTAGCTCAAGCATAGCTTCAAAGTGCGACAGTCAATCCTATCGACGACACGGCGACGAAGAACGTGCAGCTCAAGACAACATTGACTCATTTCACAACAAAGCCAGAGATACATACTATCAGTCTATTGATGGAACAGTGGTTGCATCCATAACTGCTGCAAGCACACCTCATCATTCATATCTGGAAGGAGATGATGGAAAACTGTGCCCCTTGCCGAGTTTGCCTCCATTCGAAAAGAAGATTTGCGATTATACAAGGAAGAATTCTGCAACACAGTTACTAGAAGAAAACGACACGACAATTGAAGCTCTAGCTGTACGCGAAATTGCACCGGAATCACTAAAAATAGCAAACCCTAGAGCCACAGACGAGAAATAACGTCGCTAGCATCACCCTCTTTATTTATTCCTTAATATTACTAGCCACTCAATTGTAATCATCACCATTATCATCACACACCAAGCTTATATAGAGTAAAAAAAAAAAAAAAAAAAAAAATGAAAAAAGCTGCAGAAAAATAGTAGATTACAAATGTCGTATTACGAATAGTGTGATTAAGGTTATCTGATGGAAACAATAGACATACAAGACAAGCGAATCAAAACCTGAGAAGTTGATTGTAAATTTGCTAAAATTTGGTATGAGATGCCTTTCTGGATAGATTTTGCATAGCCAGTTAGGATGATTGCAGGATCGCATGTACAAATGCTATTCAAAGAGCCTCTATTTTCTTCAATGAGCATTTTAAGTGAAGGCATTGCAAAATTATACATACTGTCATCCGAGAAAGCATGCTCCAACGCTATAGCAAGCATTGCCCTTTATTAATCTACTTTCCTGTTATGTTTCAATATGCAAGAAGTCAAGGCTGCAGCTTGTGTTTGTAAGCGCTTGATGATAAACATGATGAGGCCATGAGTCACTTGTTCTTTATCAGATTTGATCAAAATCAGATAACGGATATATTCAATTGAAAGATGAAACTTGGTTAACGGTAAATATAAACTTTAAAAGCTTTAAAGATAGGCCCTATCGTGTGCATGTTTGGTGTGTCCATGTGTTTTATCTGCCAGTGTGTCACATAGAGAGCACCATGATGGCTGATCCAGCAAGAGAGATTTGATTATCAGATTTCACGGCGGGGAAACAAGATGTCTCTAAGGAGGCCCAATGACAACTGGACTTTTTGCGCCTAAAGGGGAACAGGGAACCCTGTTTTTTTTTTTTTATTTCCCTTCTCTTTCACTCTCTGTCTCCTCTCTCTCTCTAGTTTTCTTTCGAAACACATTGAAAATGCATCATCCCGAAGAAGAAGAGGATTACGACTACGAGTCGCTAGGAAGTAACACCACCATGTTACAAAACGCATTTGCAGGTGCTTTAGCTGGTATCGCAGAGCATTGCGCCATGTATCCAGTCGACAGTATAAAGGTAAAATGGAGAGCCATTCAATAGATGCAGTAGGGTATCTGATGGAGCAATTGTACTAGACAAGGATGCAAGTGATATCGTCCAACACCAAAATCATTCAACAGCAACCACCAGTGACGCTTCGAAATTTATGGAAGGGTGTGAATTCAGTTGTTTTGGGTGCAGGACCAGCACATGCTTTACATTTTGCAACCTATGAATTTTGTAAAGACTATTTTGGAGCTAATTCGAGTGGTCATCATCCTCTGGCTTCTGCTGCTGCTGGTGCTTGTGCAACATTAGCCCATGATTCGCTGATGAATCCATTTGATGGTAAGCTATACATGTATCAATATAGCCCGAGATCTTTCATTTATTCATACGGTGCTCTTTTATGCAGTCGTCAAACAACGTATGCAATTGCGTGATTCAACTTATAGAACGATCCGAGAATGTGCACGCAGCGTCTATGTCAAGGAAGGCATCACAGCATTTTATATATCGCTACCAACAACACTTGTCATGTCGATTCCATTTCAGTCGATCCAATTTGCAACATATGAATTTTTCCGAAAAGTGCTTGGTACAGAGACAACAGGATACGATCCCAAAACACATATTTTTGCTGGTGGCCTAGCGGGTGCAGTTGCATCCTCCGTTACCACACCTCTGGATGTTGTAAAAACGCTGTTACAGACCAGAGGCACCAGCAGTGATCCTCGTATTAGAAATGCAACAGGATTCAGAGACGCTTCGAGTATTATCATGGAAAGATATGGATTAAAGGGCTTCTTCAGAGGATTCAGACCTCGTGTATTAACACACATGCCAAGTGCTGCCATCAGTTGGAGTGTCTATGAGTATATCAAATGGATGATCAATGTGCGAAACACTTCAGAGAAGCAAGAACAAAACCAGCAAAAAGAAAACTTTGTCTCTCTTTAAGAGTTACACTCCATTAGATATAGCTTTTTCTCTTGTATTATATTCAACTTTTATTTCCCCTTCTTACTTTCCTGTTCATCCCCCTCTTACAAAAAAGGTGTATATACTATATATATTATTTAACTATCATAATGAAAATCATTTATTTGAAATCCATTTGAATACACTCGAGAAGTCTAAGGATTCAAAATCTTTGGTAGTGCATAATTTTTGGTAAACATTGCTGGCCATTGTGCCTAATTGAGGGCTGGTGTCGCAACTCTCAGCAGCCTTCATGGCCAAACGAAGATCCTTGGCCATGAGTTTGTTACTGAATCCGCCTTGGTAATCTCTGGATGCAGGAGCAGTAGGGATGACACCGGGATAAGGATTATAAGTATCGGAACTCCAGCAACGACCAGTGGAATTGTTCAAGATGGAGGCCAACAACTGAGGATCCATGCCCAACTTTGTGCCTAAATGCATCGCCTCAGAAACGCCAATCATGCTTATACCCAATAGCATGTTATTACACAACTTGGCTACCTGACCAGAGCCATTGACACCACAGTAAATGACATTTTTTCCCATGTGTTGCAATACAGGCCTGACTTGATCAAAAGCTTCCTCAGAAGGACTACCTACCATGAATGTCAAGGTACCTGCATCAGCACCCAATGTACCGCCGCTTACAGGTGCATCAAAGGCAAGGCCGCCCTTTTGAGCTACTTTCTCGGCAACTTTACGCGATACACTAGCATCAATAGTACTGGAATCCACCAAAACACTATCGCCATCCACGGTAGGTAGAAGCTGTTCATAGACAGACTCCACATGCGAATGTTCAGGAAGCATGGTGATCACGGTAGATGTTTTTTCGCCTAATTCTGAGACGTCGCGTACAGTCTTAACATTGGGGAACTCTTGAGTAATGCGTTGAATAGCAGCTTGATTCAAATCAAAGACATAGACTGGACCTGAGCTCTTTAATGCAAGGTTTTTGGCCATTCCATAACCCATTTGGCCTAAGCCGATGAGACCAACAGATGCTTTGCGTTCCTGAATAGATGACTTAGTATATAAAGATAGATCTATGAAAATGGTTTACCCTTACATTAGCTATGGTAAAAGCGTTAGTATATTGATAGGTCACGATATTTAGATTACACGTACCTGTGGACATAAATCTTGAGCCATTTTGGCGATGCAACATGAAGAGCTTTGCTCTGCTTCTAGTAATGAAAACCATTTTCTACTATACTCGCGTTAAAGAAACAAAGAGAGAAATAGGTACAAGGAGTCAACTCATTTTATAGTGCTTTGTTTGGTGGGGTTTTTCCCACGATGAGAGCTGTTTCTCACCCGCATTTATGTGAGCGTTTTTGGATGAAACCTTGCTACATATATGATCCGCAATCGACTACGCCTTCAAGCATCCATTTCTTTCTTTTTTTTTTCCTCTCATCCATTGTGAACAATGAGCGACAATTCATCTGTGGATTCAGATATGTCTAACACGGAGCAAGAATTGGTATTCATGCTGAACACATTTATGAAAGGCAGAAAGCCACAGCATCCCGTCAAGCAGATACCGCACACAGTGATAATTGAAGAAGATGTTACAAACAACTCCTCATCAGCACTGTCAACATCATTCTCAACATTGGCCATCGATAATCAAGCAAAGGATATTCCAAATGTAAGTTGCACATTGCATAGTCTTGTTTGTGTCACTGTGTAACAGTTTTCTATAGGAAATCAAGGTTCGTTCCAAGAGAGCAGTAGAGGAGCATATTCGACTGCTGTCATCAGACATGATCCGCTACTTGAGAAAGCATGAGTTCAAAGGTAAGTTTGGCTGGACTTACGTGTGCATGCTCGTCTTCTGATAGCGTTTGTTATAGTCAGAGGAACCACAGGCAAGGTGCATATATACAAATGTCTGTACTCAATCCATATAGGATACTCACCATGTTGAGCAGGTTTACACGGTTATCATTGGAAACCGATTGGAATGCACTTGCCGGGATTATCAGATTAGGAAATGCCATTGCAAGCACATACTCTACATTCTGTTGAAGGAATTGAAAATTCGAGATTTATCAATGGAGATATTTAAAACCCTGTATCCATCTGATGAGGTAAGACAATGACATTTGTGCATTGATAAATATGACATTGAGTTTTGTGACAATAGATCTTGAAAGAGGTATTCCAAAAGTACCACACATTGCCTTGAGCGAGTTACATTTACATTCAAACTATTGAAATCCAACATACTATCTAGCATCATCACTTATATATTAAAAACACGCGTGGCATCTCATTAATAAATTTGTAAATAACAATGTTAAAATTCACACATAAAAGCCAATGTTTTACATGTGCAGAAATCACTGATAAAGCTCTGAAATTAGTGCTATGTTCTCCAAGCAATGAGGTGTAGTTGATGGATGCTCATTGCGGCTATGAAATGCTTACTGCAAATTCTAACGTTATTTACATGGCATTTGGAACCATTGTGCTTAAATGCAACAAAGGTTCAAGATATGCAAGCGGATACAAATCAAGAGTTTTCAACCTTTTTCGTTCCAACTTTCAGATTTAGTCGACTGCAGAAGGAGGGCAAACACACGAACGAGACTACCAAATGTACTCGAGAAGATTGCTTTGCAAGGCCACAACAGTCGACAGAGATGAAAATGGCGCCTGGAGCATCGCATTGATAGGCTTTTTCATGGACTCGTTTGTCGCTGCTGTTATGAACGCAAGTTACCATTTGAATGAGAAGAAAACAGGCAATCTCAGTACCAGCCTCATTTGGACGTCTATGGCGGACAATCAGAACCCATCAGTTGGCAATCCCATGACAAGAAATAATCTGCAGACGATGGAGCCTATTGCATACAAGTCGACCAGAGAATGTACCGGAGGCAATCCGGAATTCGACTCTAAATTATACACATTTCCACTTTCTATCATACTGAAATTTCAATAAAAAAATGAATCCGTATTGCTCAGCAAAACTTAGATAGCTATACCAAACATTTATTAAGTTTGAGGTTTGACATTTATTATTATTATAAAGAATATTAGGATATGAGTATTAGAAATGTTGATAATAATGTTTTAAGGAATGATACCAGAGTAATTGGCGGCAGAGAGATCACAGTGATCCAGCTCATTACCCCACCAATCCGCCTGCCATCCACTACCTGTACTGACACCAAAAATGATGATACCTGCAATTGCTACACCTGAATCGAAAGCAGCAGACGTGATGTAGTTGTATTTGGTCCACCAGTCTCTGTGGTACTTGTGAACGTACCAGCCAAAGACAAGACCGGCTGTAACCCACATGGAGAAGTTGAGAGGTACAGCAGGAGGCATCATACCAGTAGAGTTAAAGATCAAAGGCAAGTGAACATACTTGATCAAGCTGTTGGGATATTTCTTGGACAAGTACCAGAAGGGAATAGGAATGAGAATACCAATGAGGAAGAACCAGAGCATGGAGTTGTAAGGGCTTTCTGCTCCAAACATTCTTTGTGGTCCAATCGCCTAAAAAATAGATCAAAACATTAGTCTCTACGTATTCAAGTCAACAAGCAAATCAACTTACTCCCCAAATGACAGAGGCAGAGTAGAAAGTACGAGCACTAGGGCAGGTGAAGGGATAAGCAGCAGGAGTACAAATGTGCTCGACAGTATCCATAAGCCAGGTAGCAGTTGCTAAATTGATGAGGCCAGCAATGGCAGTACCAACAAGCTGAGTCCAGAACATAGCCTTAGGAGGAATCTTGGTATAATGGCCAAGCTTGAGATCACTGACAAAGGTGAGGCATTGGGCCATGGAGATGTAACCATAGGTCTTGAATGTGACATTGGCAATAGGATGACCAGGAAGAGCAAAACCAATGATAAATTCAGTAACGACATTGAGACCAGGTTGCTGGTTAGTAACAGCTTGAATAATACCGATTGGAAGGATAAAGATGGCAGGAATAGCAATGGCAAGAATTAGACCCCACCATGGCAGATAGATGGGCCATACGTAAATGACAGCAAAAGAAACAGCAAAAGAGATGACAAAGATGGCGATATACCACCAGTGAGGGACTTCAGGGTAAGCGCGCATCAATTTGTGGTGGATATCTTCGTTGTTTTGAGTGCGAGAGTTCTTGAATTGTTTAATGATGTCTCTACCGTGATACAAAGCAGTGTGGGTCAAGATACTAGTAACACCGGCAAAACCAATACCATAAGTGAAGGCAAAGAAAGAAGACATACGGAGAGGGCCATATTGTTCATAGAGGACGGGGTCCAGGATCTTTTCGGGTGTCAAGACCAAACTATTGTTCCAGGGTTCACCTTCAGCATTGAAGAGACTTGATGTGAGAATGGGGAACTTTTGAGCTTCCCAGACATTGGTATAATACAAAGCAGGGACAATAATCCAAGCAATAAGGACAAAGCCAACACCGATGTTGATAATGGCAAACAGAGGCACAACGAGAGGCGAACCGAGGTAAGATGTAATAGTAGCCCAATCGAATGAGACAGCCAACATACCAAGACCACTGTAGGAACCAGTCAATTGAGCCAAGACGAGATTATCAGGCTTGATCCAGCAAGCCCAAGAGAAGAAGGTCAAGATTTGGAAGAAATAACCAGGAAGCCAGTAGTAGACAAACATGGCGCTGAAGGCATATCCAAAGTAACGAAGACGAGAGGGACCACTCCAGTTGGTCTCATTCTTGTGGAAAGAGGAGAAAAGAGAGATGTTGGCCAGATTGCTAGGCCACACCATGCTAGAAGGATAAACAAGGAAGGGACGAAGAAGACCAGCCATACCGTATCCAATGAATTGTGTTGTCCAGATCAGCAAGATGCCTCCACCCCAGCCAAGGTTTTGGTTATAAAAGAGACGTTGAATAGTAATGATATCCACAGCATAAGCGGTACTGTATGAACAGTTGGCCATGACAGTAATCAAAACATGCTCCTTCATGTTGAATGGACCGGGATTGAAGAATCTTGACTTGGGAATCACCTTTTCCATGAATTTACCAACAGGGAATGAGAGCAATTGAACAACCAGAGGTGATAATGTCAGGGCATTTTGTCTGTACCAAAAGAACTGATTGACAAAACTGAGCAAACAACTAAAGATTAAACCAAGAGACCACATACGGAAAGTGTATACTGGCAGGCTTGGGTCATCAGTGCTGTTGAGAGAGATTTGTATTAGTCAAACAAGTGTCTGGCAAAGTACGCTTACTGCAACTTACTTGTCAACTACAGCACGTACTGCTTCAATAGGGGAGTCTTCTTCATCTTCAAGGTGGCTCAAAGAAGATTTTTCAACATCGTCGAGTTGATGCTTTTCATTGATATCAGTATGTAAGAAATCTTCGACTTTTTCAGATGTCACCACGGTCTCTGAAGTGACATAATTGCCATGACCATAATCCTCTCTCTTTTCAGAGGAGGAAATACTTGTTCCTGCCATTTGTGAATGCAATACAGAAAAGAAAAAAGCAGAGTAAAGACGCAACAACAAGAGAAAAAGAGCCTGTATTTATAACAAATCTGCTATCAAGTGTATGGTGATTGATGGGTTGCAATGTGTACATGTAACTCAAATTCCTTTTTGCACATTTTTGCTCTTGATAAATCACAAGAACTGCTTGCCCTATTTGGCCAAAAAAGCCAATTTAAGAAGCTGTGTTTACCTAGTATAGCATATTTAATTTGAGGCACCAGATGTCTGTTTCTTGAATGCACCATGCCATGATTTATAGGTCAAATACATGCAAAAATATCTATAAACCTACGCGTGATTGATGGAGTTTTTGTATGCATATAAATAAAATCCATTTGGAAATCAACACTAGCTGTTCTATCTGTATCATCTAAGAATGAAACAGAAAGAAAAATAGGCTTGATATTTTAAGCGTTTCTTTTGCTTGCTTCGTTAGGCATGGTAGTGCAAGTTCCAGTTACACCAGTCAAGCATATTTATCGACGAAACAGTTGTATAATTCCTTTTTAGTATTTTTTGCCCAGAAAGTATCGTCAACTTCAGATCATAATCCTCTATCTCTGCTTTTTTACATTACTATCTATCCTGGGAATATACTTCCATTTCTCACTTGATATTTGATATGGTCATATTATAGATAAATGGAAAATATTGCTATTCATGTAAAATATACGTGTACATCTCTGGTGTGCGCTTTTTGCTGCTATCTCTTTTGCCCCGATATCATATCTCCTTGGTGCCTAATTGTCAAATGTAAATAATTTGACGCTCAGATTACCAATGCTCTGCAACGACCAGTTCAAATATGGACAACTCCATCAGGTGATGCAAAAAAAAAATCAACTTAATTAGGGGATGTGGTACACATGCAGGTCTGCTTTCCGAAAAACCTTCTCATTGCAAATGGATTTTCGCTTTGTAACAAAACTTGCTAGACATTTTAAGACTTGATCCCTGCTCCGAGTCCCAAAAACCAATAAATAGGAGTTAATCTTGGTTGCATACAATGTAACATTTCATTCAAAGGCAGTCGAACCCATCTTGATGTGAGATGTTACATTTAGCATTGCAAACATCTAAACCAATGAAGGTTACGTGAGCCTTTGTTGGCATGGCACGGGGCTCAACACCAGTGATATAGTATACTGTATTCAGTAGGTGCCAAGGTTCTCTTCTTGAACACATCAAACATGCCTGCTCTAAATGGATTAAGTGCACTCTTTCGGTATTATGTTGTGCATCGCCTTTACAGTCCATGTCTCCGATTTCATCAATGCCATTCACCAGTCGGCGTCTTCTTGCTGTTGCATGCAAGCATGTACTCTAAATCACGCTCACTTTCTCCTCGAGTGATTTCTGCTTTGTAGCAACACAGATGCTGCTGGTTATATCACACCACATTCATGTTTAACATATGATTGTGTGTGCATGGATGTCTTGAGATGGCAAAGCAAAGATGCAAAACCATAGCAATCAAGCAGCCAATGTAGATTGTCATTTCCATTCTCTACCAACAACAAGAGGTATTAAATTTTACATGAATTACCTTTACTAAAATCAATATGCTTTCTATTCGAATCAAAAATTGCACAAGCTACAGAACTGCCTTTTTGAAGAAATTCAACTACCAAAGAAGTAATTTATGTCGTGTAAATAAAAGCTGTAAAGCAAAGATTCAACCAAAGTTGACAGTTTTCAAGCCTTCATATCTTGACATGTAAATCTTTCTGAGCCACCGGAATGACACCAAACAATTGTGCTCGAGTAGCAGTAACTTCCTGACACCTTCGCTCAACTTTTTGAGGACCCAAAAAACATGGTGCAAAAATCGACAAAAAAGCATGAGGTACCCCTTATGGTTTTCCTCGAAATTCAAACGATCGTGTTTTTCACCTTGAAAATGAAGGCTTTTACTATGGCATGTATTAGATCAAAATGTTTCTCTCGATCCAAAGCAACTCCTGAAACCACTCTTGGGAGTCCTTCATATGCAAAATCTAGATATTTTTGCTAAAAACCACATTTCAAATTTTATTAAATTGCTCAATAACTTTAGTCAAAATACTTATTACAGCTAGCGCCATTGGAAGCGCCTTGAAAAGTACTTCAAGAATGTATTAGGAAGCGTTTTTTTTTGTAGGGGAGTCGAGCTCCAGGTTTTATTTAAAGTCCTTTAAATGTCATACTGAGGGATAGAAAAGACTGTTGGTGGACCCAATGTCTGCAAAGAAGGGGAATAAGAAATTTTGAACTAAGTTGGGAAAGAAATCTACTACTAATAAGGTGCGACACCTAGAGCCAATACAGCCTTGCGGAAATCGTCAAAATATAGATAATGGATAGAGTACAAAAAAACACCAAACGAGGACATCAGTACTACGTCAAAAATTCAGACAACTTGCGTTCACCAGGATTTGAACCGGGATCCTCCCGTTGGCATAGTATTAGGAAGCGTTGGATGATCTTTACAATTTACATAGTCTAATCTTGCAAAATAGATGAATCAAGTCGAAAAAGGACAAATTCTGTCCAATCTGGAATAAAAAAAAAAAACTGAGTTTAAATTAATTTTGGCAGGCTTCGCTGCTGCTGGCTGACCTAAATGCCTTTCTGATGATGACAATGATGATGGTAATATTGATTGCGATACTAATTAAATGGAGATTATGGAATTGAAAGGACAGTTAATTAACCTGAGTACTTTTTTTTTCTTGGGAGTTTTTCCTTGTAAAGGTAGCATTTGCAATGTCAATATCTCAAAAAAAAAGTCGCTGTGGATCTTCTACAAATCTAGTATTTACACATGGCCAGCTTTATGTCGCTACCTCAAGAGCAAAATGAACGAATGAATACCTCCCCCTCTTGACTTTGATATAGCCTTTTTTCTTTACTAATAATTCATTGTTTAAAATCTACTTTTATGCCAGATTTCTATTATGTCTGATTTGGAATATCTTCGGCGAGAGCCCACAAAGCGACACTGTCATCGAGCGTAGCGAGATTGATCGGGTAATATCCGTTATATCGAAATATTGTTATGAAGGCGCAGTGAAGAGATGTAAATTACCTGAATTTTCAGGTAGTATACACTTATTCAATTATTCAAATAATTCCTTCACGTCAAGTGGCTACTAAAACCAATACAACTTCTATGGTGCCAGGAAAGAAAGCAAACAGAAAAATAAAACTTAAAGGGGATTAAAGAATCATTGGTATTGTATGTTTGATATTTATATGATATATTTTGTTTCTTTGGCTACTACTTGATTTGATCTTAATGCGGACACTGCTGCTCACTACAATATCAATGTACCAATACGATAAATTAAGTGTCTCTGCTTACAGATACCTTCATGGCAACTACTCCTACTAATACTGCTACAAAAAAATAAAGAGTATTCAAGCAAGCCTTGTAAACCACATTTCCAGCGTCAAGAAGATCACACGAAGATGAACTAGCTATTTTCTCTCTTAACACTTGAAAAATCCACTCTCTGCTAATCATAATAAATTTATAGTACATAGACGCTTTTACAACCCTACTATGGAAACTAAGTTGCCAGGCATAGTTCATATATGACTAGAGATTTTATATTTAATTACTATGAATCAACAACCAAGTTTCTCCTAACATTTTAGCTATAAATAATTTTGCAACATTAGCCAAAGGCCCATGGCAGCGAGAGCCACCTAAACGGAGGTTGGTTTCCACCAAAGCGAAGCGTAGGTAAGGAAACCAACCGCAGAGTCGAAATGTCCATCGTAACGTAATAAATACAGTATATAGTCCTAGACACTTTCAAAGCCTCAAAAAGGAAAGAAATCCTTCTAATAAGTATTTTGATAGACTGGCGTTATTATATATAAAATGGAATGAAAACAGCATGACCAACAATAGCGCTATGTAATTTGTCATCTACTTTCCATACGCTTCAAAAGCATCTATTACTATATTGCCTTCATGATTATTAGTAGGGCATTCGGTTTGCCAGCCTATCCCCTGAGCCAAAACTAATTAAAACTCAGACCCACAGTCTGTTTCAGATTGGCCAAATCTTAATGGTTTTTGACTCGATTGAACTATTTTTGCAGATTCGACTACGTAAAATATGACGATCACCCTACGCTTCTTTCAGCTTTGTTGGAGTGCTTTTCAAGGCGTATCCAAAGGTGCCAAGTAAAATAGATGTTTTGAATAAACTTATTGAGTAATTTACGAAAATATGAAAAGAGGCTTCTGGCCAAAAAGTCGAAATTTTATTTATCAAAGTCCCACGATGATGCTGTAAGGGGTTACGTTAGATCGATAGAAACATTTTGATTCAATATGTACCATAGTAAAAGTCTTCACTATCAAGGCCAAAAACGCAATTGTTTGATTTTCAATGAAAACCATGAGGGGTACCTCATGCTTTTTGGTCGAATTTTGACCATGTTTTTTTGATCCCCAAAAAGTTGAGCAAAGGTGTCAGAAATTAACTGCTAGATAAGAGCAACCGTTTGGGGCTATTCTGACAATCTAAAACAGCTTCTAACGCAAGAAAACGCAGCTCAAATACACTCAGGTTTTGCTGTATCAGGGTCACTGAGGACTAAAAAGTGGAAATACCAGTATGCTGTTTGTTCGTATATGAAATAGCTACGTGTATATGGATGTAGAGCATTACATAAGAACCAGAACCACAGATAATACGAGGGATTTTCTTGTATACGTGGAGGATCAAAATGAAAGTAGCAGTATTTTGATAAGCTACGCAAGGGCAATCGGTAGCGCAAGCTGTCGCTGCGAAGGTTGGTTCTCACCGAGGCGAAGCGAAGGTAGAAAGCCATCCGAAGCGTAAACTCGTATAATAATAAAACATCTGATCTTGAAGTGTGTGTCCATAAAAGCAATATTAAGGAACAACTTAGTATATATATTATATCTTTCCTTCATCTTATATTGCAGAAGATGATGGAAGGAACTATATTAAAAGGTTAAGCTGTAGATGTTTGGGAATATTCATACGGTTCGAACTTGTTACGACTAATTGAGCTGTGATGCTGTAATTACTAGAATACCAATCTCAATCGACCAATTAGCCGGATACTTCCTGAAAAGTACTCTGTTATACAAAGATTGTAGGAGCTCTGTCCTACTGGTTCCTGATTGCTAAAGGAAGGTTGACTTGTTGAACGATGTTGATTTGTATAAAATGATCCCGTAATGTCTTTCAATAAAGGCCCTTCAGTTTTAGTGTCTAGTCATTTTCTATACGTCGCTTTCCAAGTGTCTGTAGAAATCTTCTTAATTACTGTATATTTGTAGCTTCCTAAGCTTGGATACAACAAATAGACATTATGTAATACGAATTGACGACTCGTTTATCGCAAAAGGTAGTTCATGCCCATACAACGTGCTGGGTGCTAATGATAGCTGGCAAAACACACAGATATGATACTTGAGTTAAGATCATCAGAGCAACACATGATACACATATAATCTGATTTACCATCATGGTCAAAGTGCACGCTACAAAGGTATATGTATTTATTAGGCATTAATTAATTTTGAGAGGACTTTTTGCTTATAATCCAGACTCTTTCAATCTTCTTGCAATTGTATCTTCGCCACGCTCTCTGTTTCCAATATAAATGTTAGCGCCCGTCTTGTAAACACACACTTCATCATTACCTTGGCTCCAATCTCAAACTGAGGTTATATAACTCTTCCTCTTCTCTACTGGATTGCAAATGAGTCTTGATGAATTCCTGAATATCTGGCACTGCAGTCAACATGTAATGCGTGGATTGATACTGTTGCAAATCTCGAATGACTTCAGCCGTCTTCATACGCTTAGCAAAATTGATGAGGTTGTTTGATTTTTTCAGAAAGTTGGCATTGCCATCCTCGATGAAGGTCAAATCTTGCAAGTAGATGCCCAAGAAGGGAATACATGGTGGATTGACCTTGTGTATGATGTCTCTATATTCACTGAAATTTCTGTTGGCACCCATCAACCGTCTAATGTTTTGTAATATTTGCATAGTGCGAGCGCTGATCAACTCCCATGTGCGTTTGAGTCTGCCAATGGAGCCATTATCAAATGCAGATAAAATAGCCATGCAGGTGTTGTAGTTGTTTAATAAGCGACATCGCTCTGCCACGAATATCCAGTGCTTTAGTACCACAGCTCTCTTCTTGACCTCTTCTTTACTAAGGATGGAATCTGTCACCCAGGCAGTAACTTGATTGGAATGCTCGATGGACGCCTTGACATTGGCTGCAATGTGGTTTTGATCCGAATCAGGTTTGCCCCAGTTTTTATCCAAGCATTCTACAGGCTTGATTTTGTTGTAGAGTCTAAAGTCCATGATTGTCATTTGTCTTGCCAGTTCATGTGGATCCAGCTCCAGCAGTTTGATGCGCTTCATATTTTTAGGCAGAATAGGCACCGGCATATCTGCTGTGCGCACATTCAGCTTCATTTTACGGATTTGACTCGAGTCTTCTGCCAGCATGCGCTTCTTGATTAGTTTAGCCAGCTGCTCTGCACCAAACTTCATGGATTCAACAATAACATGCTCGGTAAAGTGGCTGATTTCGGGCAAAATGGGTCGATCTTCCTCCTCGTTAAAGTATGTTTCCAGCCACGATTTGATGACATTGAACACTCGTAAACGCACCAACTTGAGCTTCTTTTCCTTCCAAAGCTCCAGTTCTTCTGGCGTCAATTCCTCTGGTGCTGGCAATTGGTATCGATTAAACAACTCGTTGAACAGTTCCTGTGTAGTACAGAAGGATCTGTAGGTCAGCAAAAAAGTGGTATTGAATTTTGAATCTACATTATATATATATATATATATATTAGTATTAGCCAGAGAGAAAATATGCTTTCTATGGTTTGTACATACCCAGTTGGTCATGCTGTGTCAAGCGTTGTACCAGACAATGCAGAGTTCCTCCCTTGACATTGCCTTCCATATTGAATATCATCTCTGTTGTGTCCACATCCGACTGCAAGAACCATGGTGTCTCTGTAGTGGCTGCAGTGCCAATAGCTGAGGCAGTGCTGGTGCCAGTCTGCAAAAGAGAATTTGTGGTGGGAGAGAGCGATGCGTTCGTCATGGTGGGTGATGTCAATACGGTGTCTCTACGACGTGCTGCTGCAATGGTATCCTCGCCAAAGAATTTAGCAATCTTCATGTCCTTGTGTTGACGCACTGCCTGGCTTGCTGTCATGTCGCTATGGTAGCTACTGCTGTCACTGAGCACATCATCTGCCACTTCAATTGGGTTGGCCATGAGTGTGTTGAGCCCTATATCCAATCGACGGATATTGTTGGCCAGCTCTTCTGCAGACTGATCTTCTTCATCGTCCCGCGATTCCAATGATAATGCGTGTGTAGTGGCTGTTGTGGTAGGAGACAATTGACTGGCATTCATGTAGAGCCTCTGCGTGGGTGTAGGCGTATCACGTTCTTCAGCAATGTGTGGTGGTTGCAATGGCTGTGGTATCTGAGACTGCTGCTGGCTTGGCTGATGCTTGGCCATGTCCACCACGTCTTTAATACCTGATTCAATCGTGCGTAAACACTCTTCCAAGCGTTGACGTGCCATCTGCACTTGCTCTTCATTCAATTCCGAGCTTGTAATGGATTGTGAGACGACAAACAAAGAGCCCATGGCAGCGTAGATGGGTTGCTTGCACTGGGTCAATTCGGGTGTTGTTTGGCTCATTTCTTCCACCGTGTTCAAGAAATGGCTTGTCGTGTTGCTGAGGTTACGAAACTGAGCTACCAACAGTGGCGCATTGGCTTTGAGGGTCTCCAGTGTCATTTTGAGGTCTTGCTGGTGAAATGTCTCGCCCACACTTTCACTAAAGGATGCCATGGCCCCTCTGACATTGTCAGCCAAGACAAGGGTAGCAGTAACCATGTCTGATTTACCCATCATGGAGGTCAATGGGCTGGTTCTCCAAGGGCTGTCCGTCAGTACAGGCTTGACATCCTTCAATTGGATTCGCATGTCTTGCGCACAGGTCATAAAATTACGCACAGCAATCAGCACATCATCGGAATCAGACTCTAGTTTGGCTAATGACTCGGGTGTGGGCCAAGCACTGGAGGCTACTTTGGTGGACAAGACGAGTTTGGCAACTGCTGCCAGTAAGGATCGATGCAAACTGCGAAGATTCTTGTGTTGTTTGAGATGTATCGACGTCTCCTTGTCCAAACACTGACTGACATAGAGCAACATGCGAATACCATGCACAATTTGGATAGAATCCTGGCAAAAGTACTTGGTGTAGCCTTGTCTTACAGAATCCTTGAGGCTGTGGATGGCGTGTGCAATGATGGAGGACAGGTTTTGCCATGTCACTGGTCCCTGAAACATGATTTCACTGCTGCCGTTTTCTACGCTACTTGATCTCGATGTTCTTTTGTGTGGTGGTGGTGCTGCTGTTGTCTGCTCATGGTGGTTTTCGTCTTGGGATGGATGTGTTGTGGGAAAAGCAGATTCAGGCACAGAAGACATCTATAAATGTGTTGTGTGTGTATCATATAAGCAAATGTGCTACATGGAATAAATTTTTCCTTTTTGTCTTACCAAGACGCCCGTATCAGGATCAATGTTCTCCAGTGCCCAAGTGGTTTCTTCTGTTTTGATGTTGCAATAGTAGAATCTTCCTTTAGGAGTAACTTTACGTACCCAGTTTGGAGGCAGCTACAGAGTGTCAGGAGTAAGCTTATAGTCACTACACACGATAGAATACTCACCCTTTCATCATCTTCGAATTCAAGCTCGAATTCGTCTTTCAATGTGGGTGGTGGGATAACAGTACGAGTGGTGTTGTATGTAGGGTCCTCTGTCATGGCTCGATTTGCTGCACGTACCGGACGCACAGGAGGGCGCTCAAACTGCTCGTGTATGTCGTTATTTGATGAGGAGGTGTCTAGGTGCCCGTTTGAAGAAGCAAGTACCTGCTTGACTTTTTCATCCATGTAAATCTCAGGGGGGATGGAGTATCTCATTTCCTGTGTTCGAGTGTTGTAGTAGTACTGTTCTGACCCATCTTCGGTGGTTTGCACTATCCAGCCAGAAGCATCGTCTTGCTGCTGCTGCTGCTGCTGTTGTTGTTGTTGTAGTACTGTGTTGTTGGAGGGAATCAGCATATCGGCAGCATGCAGACTGAGACGTAGTTGTTGCTGCATTTCCTGATCCAACAAACGTTGACGGTGCTGATGCGTAGGTCTTTGTTGCTGCTGCTGTTGCTGTCTGTATTTCCACTGCTGCTGCAATTCCCATAACTATAGATATTGTATCAATCGAGTTAGACCAAATGCATTGCATAGAAACTGCAAATTTACTTCATTCTCATCCTGTCCCTGCTCTTCTGCTTCATACAGCTCTTGTGGCTTTAATACCTCGACATAATTGCTTGGAAACCAGCCTCTCTTCCCATTTGACCTGATTACTCTCTTATTGGTATTTGCTATACTTGGATGCTAAACAAACTTACCAGCCATCCCACCAACCAGACTCGAGCTGAGCCAAAACATCAATGATGGCATTTGGTTTAAATGACAGTGAAGAGGGGTCATTCGACTCATATGCGTACAGTGCTCTCACTCGACATATGACTTCCTTTGCACTGCTCATGTTGTATGTAATGTGAAAACAGAAAAGGTGAGAGAATGAGAGAAAAAGAGGGGAAATAGGAAAAAGGGGTTTGTAATTATAGTTTGTGTATAGTGGTACAAGAATTAAAGATTTCCTAGAGCCTAATGTAGCCATAGCGAACAATGCGTGTGTCAAATGTTCCAGAAAGCGCCTTGAATCAAATCATACAGACTCAAGTATAGCACCATCCTATGATTTCTCTCCTCTCTTCTTTGTCACTCCCTCCATGTGTCCCTGAATAGTAATATGAGCACACAAGCAAAATTTATCGAATTGCGACAAGTGACACCAGATGCTATATATATATACCAGTGTTCGGGTGAGCGAGCGAGCGAGGGTTCAATCAACAGATTGCACTGCCTAACATAGAAGGCACCGTTTTCATTTATCTGGCTATTCATGCATTTGTTTCTCTTTGCATCATTCCTTCGCATTCCCTTGCTGCCAATACTCATTCTCTAATCAGCGTCTTGTTGATGGGTGCTGCTGTAGACTTGAACAAAAGATACGGTATACTGAGAGGTTACGGAGGTCAATGGGGGCGCAAGATCAACACTCCCTTTCATGCAAGAATCAGTCATTTGCTGCTTAATTTCAAAGTTACCTACACTGAAAGCCTCTCGATGTGCTTCAATTCATACAAGAGATGGACGGCATTTAATAAACATGTCTATACTATATAAAAGCTGCACTCGTGGCGCTTTCTCCTCTCAATGCTTCTCTCTAAATCGATCTCAATAGTGGCCTGTTTATCAGAAAGGTATTTATCCAGGCAAACATCAAATGTTCTTGGCTTTTATACTCAAAATGCATTTCTAAAATGATGCAAATACTGTAGCAATACTCTATGGTTATCTGTTTGCACTGAAAGGCTTGCAGAATTCGACTGATTCGTGATACTATGTAAAGAATCAAGCTTGTCTTCTTTCGGCACCACCAAAGACAATCCAAAAAAAAAAAAATCAGTCCATGTTAACATCACTGCTTATCGCTTCAGCTTCGTCAAGGTTTGGCAAAGGGACACTCTCAGACGTTCGCATTCATACTGCGTGGAATCAAGAAATGCTCTAGATATACATATTGCGCAAGCATGGACGCAGATCCTGCTAGTCATGGTGAATGATGCTCCGGACGATTCCATTAAAGATAGCTACGTTCACCACTATCTTTCTCGTTTACTGTCATCTGTCTTTGACAATCTGAAGCGCTCTCATTCGGAATAGTCAAGCTACAGCTTCAAGTAAGTGCTCAATCGAGAGGTACTGTCTCTTGTACACCCAAGAAACAAAAGAAATAAGTCTTTTCTTTCGTCAGTTAATGCCTATTGCGATTATATATTATCAAAATGCATAAATAAAGTGATTGCCTCAGCTATAGCACACTGTCAATAGCATACTGAATATCACCACTGAATCATACCAAACTAAAGATGGCAGCTGGCATCATGCATGACAGCATAGGTGCTCCTTATTTATTTAGTTTATACAGTGAATTCTTCTAGTAGTGCAGCCCGAGATCCATTGTTTCTCCTTGCAGCCAAACGGCTTCTTGACGTTGAGGGCGATCCTCCTGTTATGGCGTCATTATCAGATTGAATGGATTTCAGTAGATCCTCAGCCAATATAGCCACTGATTCACTCTTTTGCATGCGCTTCTCCCGCGATGTGTTGGATCTCTCGTTATTTCGAGTGCGTTTTATGTTGGTATCAATCTCTCCTGCTCGTAATTTGTCGAGCAGATTGTCCATAATGTCTTCATCCAGTCCAGATTGGTTTGCTAAAGGGAATAGTTGGTCAGTCAAAGCCTGTATCTACATAGCATGCCACATTTTACCATCACTTGTATCCACCCCACGCAGCTTTTGTGCCTTGATCCGCTCTTTGCGCTCTTCTTCTGCTCGTCTTGCCTTCTCCATGTTCTCCAGTTTCTTTCTAGCAGAGACATTGTCAGCCATGGCACGCTCCCAGCTCGATGTGAATGTCTTGAAGATGCCAAAAAACTCGTCAGGCTTCATCTGATCCGGGTTTTCACCAAAATAGGTGACCACATCTCTGTAGGCCACGTCCATGGATGTGTATCTCACTTCCAGCTCCTCAAACTTTTCAATGGCGTCGTTTCTAAAGCTGCGCATGATTTGGCAGTAATTGTCAATATCGCTGGATGCATTGTCGTCTTGATCGTCTTGATCTTCTTCCGGATAGTGGTTTTCCAGTTCCTCAATCAGCTTTTGTAGTCCCACGCGAATCTCATTGTAATCCTTGACCATGTCCTGTAGTGTTACTTGTAGTAGAGAAAAGTCAGTAACATGTATACACACACACGTACTTTTGACATACCTCGGCACGCGTTGCCACTTTCTTGAAGATCGTCCAAAAATCCATGGAGACGAGGGAACTTGGACTCGACTGAATCTACCAAAAAGTGAAGCAATGTAGTATTGCCCTCTGTACCCTTGGTGTCGACCAGTTTATTGATACTGGCAATGCGGATACCAAAGGCACCGCCTTGGAATGTCGTGCCATTCATAAAGTTGCCCATCACCAGGATAAATTTGAGCAGCTCTTTAAACGATTGCGAGTCTTTGATGGCAATGGATGCTTCCAACACAGCGCTCATATTCTACAAATCAGGGGAGATTCAGTATATAGGTTTCATCAAGCTATAAAGACTACATACGCGAGACAATTGCTGGTGTTTCTCTGCAAAGGTGGCACGGAAGAGCATGTTGTCCACTCTTTCCTTGTATCGCTCAATCTTGAGCATCTCGACACAAAAGGTATCTGGCTTGGACAGTTGCTCCAAATCCTCATCAGACGCCTTGTTGACAAATACAGATAACTTACCTTGCTCTTCGGGCGTAGGTATATTTGCTTGCAAGTTGATGAGCAGATTCTCAGTGATCACAACGTCATCAACCGCCAAAAACGCTTGTCGTACCTGAGCAAAAGACAAGTGCTTTAGCTTGGATAGCAAGGCAATGTTGATGTTGTACGCCTTTTTTGCATCCAAAATACGAATCTCCTCCTTCTTTTCTTTGAACATCTTCTTTTTGCGTTCAATCACCTTTTGTGCAAACAGCTCTTCGATGGAATTAAAGATGCCCAGTGTGTCCAGCTCATCTTCCAAGGCGACTTCATCCACATCACTAGCCCCCCATACAGTCTTTCCAACAAAATTGGCCTGAATCTTAGTCCATTGCAAAGCTCTCGTCTTGACATTAGGTTGGTGACGAAGTATTTTACGTGAGGGCGCAACCGGCATAGGTGGCGCGTTGGGCCCACCAGGTCCTGGAGGTGGTGGTGGCGGTGGAGGAGCCATGCCACCAGCGGATGTGGCAGGTCCCGATCCTGGGGGTGGAGGTGGTGGTGGTGGAGGTGGTGGAGCGGCTCCAGTAGCGTTTGCTGTGCCAGTGCCTGGCTGTGGTGGAGGTGGAGGTGGAGGTGGGATGCTCGTTGCGTTTGTTGTGTCGGGCTGTGGAGGCGGTGGCGGTGGTGGAGGCAGTGTGTTGGACATGGGAATGTCGCAACGTGATGGTGCTTCTACCTTGACGTGATTCGACACCATCGGTGGTGGTGGTGGTGGTGGTGGAGGTGGTGGTGGTGGCAATACAGCATTTGGCGTGTCTGATGTTACGATGCTCGAGTTACGCTCTGTGTTGGTGTGATCCAGAGTGACAGCAGGCTCGGCCTCTGTAATTGAAACTAATCCGCCTGCTTCTGGGAGTGTTGTGTTATTAGTAGTGTTGTTGTGTTGTCTTAGCTTATGTTCCAATTCTGCAGCCAGTGCACTAATCGGCTTGTCATCTTGATAATCTTCTACATTGCTATCTTGATCCTTCAAGAGCTGGTTCAGCTGATCCTTGTACTCGATATTCATCTTGATGCCATCCTTCTTTTCAGCATCACCTCCCAGCTCTGTAGCAGCTGCCTCTGTTAGCCAATTCTTTCGTCCGCCGCCAACAGGCACACGTCGAGTGGTTCCCATCAAGGGCGCTGTACCAGGTACAACAAATCCAGCTGGACCACCACCCAACTGACCTTGTAACGATGATTTGAATGTGTCTGACAATCCTTCTGCTCGCGGTATGGTTTCCTACATGTATAAGCTTGATGAGTAGACATACACTTGGCAATTGACTCGGCTGACATTACCCCTCCTTCGTCTTCTCCTGGCTTTCCCTCTAAAATGGCCTGCGCCTTTAACCTGTCGTACGCTCTAGTCACTTCCTCTCTTCCCAACACAAAGTGTCCATTCTGAGTATCTTGTACCACACTGTCCTTCTTGTTGGCATCCACTGCTGTCGTGTAGATTTCCTTGAGCTGTTGATCCAGAGCAGTAATGTTCATTTCGTATTCTTGCTGTGTGTCTTTTAGTTTCCGTTGTAAAGTGGCAATTGTATGACGAGACATGCGTAACAGGTCCTCTAGCGAGTTGGTCTTGTCGCGCAACACACCAATCAGCCCCTCGCCTTTGAGGTTGATTTGGGTCTCCAACTCCTGCTTTTCTTTGATGGCTTTCTCGTACATTTGCTTGGTCTCTTTGGCGTCTTGCAATGCTTTATCCAGCTGATCTTGTTCTGCAAATTTGTCAATCAGCATGGAGACTGACCATCCCATGCCTCCGCCAGATAAATTTTCCTGCGTCAATCCCTTTCGGTCCATCACGACTTGGGTTATTAGTTTGTCCAAGATCTGAAAGTACCGCACTTGAACATCGCCCTGTGCCTGAATCATCAGCATGTGTTGTAATGCGCTCAAAAAGAAGTTATAACTGCGTGTCCCTTCCACTCTCTCCAAAATGCGCTCGAAGCAAGCGCGAGGATCATTCATGTTGGTCAAAATGGTCTCGTTGTAGATTTCCATAATTTCGTCCACATCATTCTCGCTCATCTGCTTGTAAATGTTGATGTGTCGTTTTAGCTGTTCATTGTTGAAATCGAGCATCTTTTCCGTGATAGAATCCAATCCACTGGCGTTCATCTGGTTTCTCAGGTGCACTCGCACTTCCACATCTTCAATGACTGTAACAAGCGAGTTGATCAGCATCATGTTGGACAAAGCGAAATCAGCGAGATGATTATCAGGAGCACCACTGCCAGCCAATCGCTTGACATCTTCACTTGCGCCTACCAAACTCCCCATTCTGCCTCTACCGTCTAGTGTGGCATCTAGCAATTTTAACCAAGCATCGAATCTCCCAAACTCGCCCAAATGTTCGCTGAGCTTATCCAGACCCTTGAGTACAATTTCTTGCCCCTTTGGTAAATCAACGTGACACACAAACGCTAAGATTTCACAAACCAATTTTCTTGTTTGAATAGGTGGTGATACGAGTGACAGCACAATATGATAGATGCACTCAGGATGAGAGATGACTTCACGAGCGCCCCACTGATGATGCCCCAGTATTAGTATATAGTTTGTCTGTAGCTGTCTATCCTGTTCCATTTACTCACTCTATTGTTGATCAGCGATTTAAAGCATTTGAGAATTTCGACTTCCATCTGAAGGTCCGCTTCGGTTCTATTAGCATCACGATTAGCGAAGAGTCCAGCCTTCTCCCTCTTTTCTGCGAAAACTCACTTTTGGTCTCTCTTGTTCAATATCCCAATGATGTTGGTGATGATTTGCAGCCCTTTTGACTCGATAAATTGCCTGACCCAGCTCAATGGCATTGTTCTCAAACTCACTGCTAGATGAGCCACCAATCGAGGAGTGACACCACGCATATCTGGTTCCAAAAATTTGTCGATATAGAAATCAGGAGAATTCTTGTCTGCAATGGCATTCTCTGTATTGCTGTTGGCAATGATGGAGGAGGAAGAAGATGGTGTGGGTGCTGTGGAATCAGCTTGTTTGTCCTGCGATACCATTAACCACTTCTTTTCTGTGGAGAAGCCTAGCATGACAGACCGAGCAGAGGTATCATGAATACCTCGACGTGTCTAGGGCAAATAGCAATTTAGTTACGTCGCTCTAACATGGCTTGAAAGACTCAATGTATCTATACCAGCATCTTTTCAAACAACTCTTGCACCTCAGCTTCTGTGAATCCACCATAATCCATTGAATTCTTTCGAGAATCGACTACATAGGAGGTATTAGTTTATAACAATGAATAATGATTTTCAAGGGATAAATACACGCTCAGGGATCGTACACTTGTTTACACCATGGATACTACCGCGATCTTCAGTTGATATAGACGACGATCTAGAAGCGTAATTCCACTGTGTTGTTGGTGGAAGCGAGTTCTTTTCCGTGCCTTGCTGATTTGGATTGGAAGACAATCTGGGTAAACTGGGCGTTATCGAATCAACTTCTTTACGCTTATTCTTTTTTGAAATACTAAACATTTACAAGAGAGAGATAAACGTAAAGTGGGGGAAATCAATAAGAAAAGAAAAGTACAATCAAGAGAAAGAAAAAGGGAATAAATTGCCAAGGGTTAAAAAATGTTTAATTAAATTATGGTGTCCATAACAAGATTCTGCTACAATAAGCTTCAAGTATGGGCACAAAGGACGAATGCTGTGTAACGAGTAATATGTTTGTGCTCACATCTATTTCCCGTTTATAATGCTTGTCTGTCCTCAAAGTACAATGTATTTCTTTTCCATAGTATACATCGTATAGTAGTGCCCTATATTCCTGGTAAATTTACATTGCCATTATTAGCAATTCAATTTACGATGACTTTCGTTGTCATATCGAGATGTGTCAACTGGCATTGAATCTTACCGGTCTCTACCTATTGTGCTTGTATCCTGATGAAGGGTCTAGAGTGTTTGCTCCTGAGAAAATGTCAAATGGACATCTTGTTCACATCCATTCGTTATTTGTTGCTCGTTTAATCGCTATAAAATTACAAAAGGACTTGCCATGGGCAGAAACTCACATTAGTGCATTGTTAGCCATCGCTTCCGATAGACGGAATATCACTTGATTCAATGTATTCGATACCTTCGAGATCACTCATTGTCATACATGATCTAAATGGCTCCAATCACTGCAGTCGCTCTTCAGTCGCTGCAGAAAGCTGATTAAAACCCTGGTCTTTTTATCTTCTTGAGATTAATCAAAATCGACTTCATTTAAACACTCTCTGATCTTGTTTGCTGATTTCGGCTTTGTTTGTTATAAATACCATATAGAGCATCTTTATGCTTTTTTGTGGCATTTTTTAAGGCGAATCGAAAGGTGCTACTTCCTCTACACTTTTTTTTTTTTTTTTTTTTTTTTTTTTTTTTTTTTTTTTACCAAAGTTAAAGAGCAATCACCGAAAGTATGAAGTACACATTTTGACAAAAATGTCAATTTTTCGTGTATCAAATTCTCGCAAAAACAAGTTTAAAATGTTCCGTTGGATCTTGCCGGTCATTTTGATCATAGAAACACTATAGAAGAAAATATCATTTCAGGGTGAAAAACGCGATCGTTTGATTTTCGAAAAAAAAAAAAAAAAAAAAAAAAAAACCATGAGGTACCCCTCATGGAAAACGAGAGGTATGTCGACCATGTTTTCATGAGCCAAAAAAATTGAGATAAAGTATCAGGAAGCAACTATTGATTGAGAGCAATCGTTTGGTACCAATCTGAGCGTCTGAACCGGCCTGCAACACGAGATATCAGTGGCAGAGAATGACTGAATATTGCTATGTTTTGATGTATATCTGTTTGAGCGAGGCATCGTTTTGATAAAATACGAAGACAGAAGTGCATGGCAGCAATTGGCCATGAAGCTGTGCGTCGTTTCAAGATCGAGTATTGGTCCTAAACCTAATAGGACAACAGAGAATGGCGCGGAAATGCGCCATAGTGTGGAGAAATACCTTGATTTAGCGCAATTTCATATGGAAGATTGGTATCTGTTTGCATATCAAACGTGTTTGAGATCGAGACTAGCGTTTCCATCAATTATTCCCGCATTATGACAAGATTGTATCTAAATGCCTATTGGTTTGTGTGTTTGTAATGATGAATCGTGAAAGTGGGCGATCGATCTATCGTACTGTCATTTGGGAATACCTTGTAACCGAAGTGTTGATACAAGCAATTGAAATAGACATGGCAAACCATATGAACACTTTGGAACTCATTCGAAAGCTTACCTAAAATCAGGTACTTTATGTATTTGCAATGTTTATCATTCATTACAAACACCTAATGATTCATTCAATGTTTCTGATCGAAATGTAGCCATTTATGTATGCAAAACTAGGCATTTGACAGGTTTCACTGCATGGTTACGTAGAGTTTTTATATAGATTTTATTAAAAAAAAAAAATTGAAAAAACTGATAGCGTCATTTAGGTGTTGACAACAGTGCCACCATTGGGATGAACCACTTGACCAGTCATGAAGGAAGAATCATCAGAGGCCAAAAAGACAAAGGAAGCAGCAATCTCACATGGTTGAGCGGGTCTCTTGAAAGGAGGGAAAGAACCAAAGTTTTGGATCTCTTCACGCGTGAATGTATTGGGGATCAATGGAGTCCAAACAGGACCAGGAGCCACAGCATTGACACGGATACGACGAGGAGCCAACTGTTGAGACAAAGCACGCGTAAAGGAGACAACAGCACCCTTGGTAGCAGAGTAATCAACCAGAACATCCATACCACGGTAAGCAGCAATGGAGGCCGTATTGATAATGACACCACCAGCAACCAGATGATTACAAGCCAATTTGGTCATAAAGATGGGGCCAAATACATTGGTGCGGAAGGTTCTTTCAACCGTGTTGCAATCGAGATCTTCCACACGAGTCACCTTGTGCTGTTCAGCAGCATTGTTGACCAGGATATCCAGTCTACCAAAGGTGTCCAGATGAGATTGCAGGATTTCTTTGCAGGTGTTTTCATAGCCAATGTCTCTTGCGATTAAGTGGATCTTGCAGTCAGATTGCGCTTCAATAGTATTCTTGGTATACATGGCATCAGCGTCTTCTTGCTCATCGCGATAGACGATGGTAATACCAGCAACACCTTCCAAAGCGTAGAGAGTAGCAATGGATCTACCAATGCCGCTATCAGCACCAGTGATGAGAGCGAACTTGCCTTGGAGTTTACCGGATCCACGGTAGGCCTTGAAGCATGGATTTCCCTTTGCGTCAAAGGAGGGTAGATGCTGAGAGACTGGAGGGGGTTTCAAAAGAGATGCCACGCCAGACTTTTCCCAATCCATATTCTTGCGAATTTCATTGTATTCATATACATCAGCAGGCAAGTCTTGGTCGAATCCGATAGTCATTGTTAAGAGTAGAGATCTTGATGATTTAAATGCTGGAATTCGAGGTTTGCTTTCTTGCTTTTATATCCAAATCTCGTCGGTTTGTTGTCAGTGCTAGCAACAGTGTTTCTTCGCTTGCTTTCTAAATGATGGGTTTCAAGCTGGAATTTTCCGTGCCAACAAATACAAAGCCAAAAAGGCTGTTTCAAACTAACATTTACATCATTTGCATAAACTCAAACAGAGGAAAAAAAAAAAAAAAAAAAAAAACTTTTTTTACGGGTATAAAGAAGTTGCGATTTATTTGTTTTTTCCTTTTTGTTTGCTTACTCTCTAAACTGTAATCATGTCAAACCGTCGACAACAACAACAACAAGCAAATGTATTACCACATCTGTCAAAGGGGATTGCAATGCCTGAGATCCAAGTGTCCAATCACAACGATCTCATGATGCCAGGTCAGAAAGCATTGCCCTCTGCCGACTGGAAGAATTCAGATGAACACGGCCAAAATCAGCAGCAGCTTGTACCCGCTTCAGATCCTGGTCCCAACAGAAGACTCAGTGCCGCCAGGCAAGGTGTGCCTTGGACTGACCGCCAATCCAAGCTTCAGATCGACTCCTCCAACGAGCCACCTCCCATGTTCACTGCTGCTCCAAAAAAGATGAGCATCCGACATCCTCGTGAATCCATGTCGTCCAAGCACATTTATCGCATGGACAATGGCATTGATCCTGTTATATTGCTGACCAGTCGATTGGAGGCCTGGAGACTGGCTATCAAGAATTTGGTAAGTGTGTAAGTCGATAATAGTTGCTATGGACATGCTATTTATCACTGTTCATTGTGATTAGGTTGCTCTGTTTAAAAAGGTCATTGCCGTTGAACTCAAAACCTCAAAAGGTCTAGTTCTCGCCTCCAGGGATATCGTGGTTCCATTTGATAAATCCAATGGCCAATTTCTTGAAATTGGTATGGGTGGCATCCAAGACGTATGGGCTTCTATGCGTGATTATACAATGCAGCATGGCATGCTTCACCATGAATCTGCTGGATATCTCGAGAAAGCTGTGATCCCTGCTCTCCGTGCCATCAAGAACGACATCAAAACCATGATCATTGCTATCCAAAAGGACAAGGCGCTCAAGAGCACTGACATCTTTGAAAGCCGTATGCAGGTAGACAGGCTGATCAGTCGATTGGACAAGATCATTCAGTCCTGCAACCGCTCACCCCAAACAGCCAATGACAATACGGATCCATTCTTGGTCAACTTGGGCGTCATTCATGCAGTCCGTGAGCTGTGTGATCATGAGAACCGTCTCCATGACAACATCTTGAACCTCCAAAAGGAAACTGGCATCTTTGAGCAAAAGATTATTGAAAACACGCGCTATGTCATTCAAAAGCTAGAGGAATTCAGATTAAAGAACAAGATGGAGCACCAGGATTTCATTGGTAAAGTGGTTGAAACATTCAATGGCATCAAACCTACGCTGGAGTGGAACGAGTTTGTACGTCGCAATCAGTACAACTTGATCTTGGAAAACTCTGCCTACAAGACCGAGAACATGGTGGAGTATCCCAACCAGGACAGCAAGTTTGTACGTGCCTTGAAGATTGGACCTCTTCAGATAAAGGCCGGTGTCATGAAGGGCTGGACGGAAGGTGTCTACCTGCTCACACCTGGTAGGTTTTACATAGCATCTCTTGTTTCATAACATGTACTCACATCCATATTAGCTGGTTTCTTGCATGGTTATAAAACGCCCAAGCATTTCCAAACGAATCCTCTGCGCCCCAACTACACGGTGTTTGTACCTGATTGTGCTATTGAACGTTTTGATGACGGCTCGTTTGATCTTCATGGTAAGGACAAGCGTTTATCCATGGGTCAGGGCACTCGCTACACATTCCGTGCACGAAATCCTCGAGATAGTCAAGGGTGGTTTGAAGCCTTGGTACGCATCGCAGACCAGTTCAGAATAGTTCCACTCTTTGATACGGCGCAAAGTGGTTTCTCATCCACTGTTCCCAAAAACAGAGACTTGCCTCCATTACCTGCTAGTACCTTGCCTTTGATTCAGCAGCCTCCTTCTGCGCCTGAAAAGGAACCCAGACCTGCTGGTGCCATTCAATCTACCTACAACACGGCTGGTCCTTCTGGTACGCGTCAAGACGACTTGGATCCCGTTTTGGAGGAAGAGCAAGACCCTGTACTCGGTGATCATCAGCCTTTGATGGAGGAGCACCACACCGACGACGATGGAAGTCAAACGCCCGTAGCAGGTAACTCGTTGCATAACGAGCACTTACCCCATCCTGCTGTTGCTGTAGCTACTGGTGCTGCTGCTGGTGCCGCTGCCGCAGGCGCTGTGGATGTCAATCAACATCTGCACTCTGAAAAGACGCTGGGACAAGATCAATCGCGAGGCTTGACGGAGGATCCCGCCACTCCCGTGACACCCACTGCTGCTTCTGTAGGTCAATCTGGTCAGTTTGTCCCTCAACAACAGCAAAACACCCAAACCATTCACCCTCCTCAGTCTCAGTTAGCTGATCTCAGTGAGCAGCAAGACTTTGATAAACGCCCCTTGGAAGAACAGCGAGGACTGCCCACCAGTGATGTACCTACGACAAGTAACAAAACGGCTGCAGCAAACGAGGAATTCAACGATGGAAGTAATGTTGATAACTGGCAGTCTGTGAACGGCGGTGCCTCAAAGGCTGAAGGTAGATTTGACACTGCCAGCCATCACTCCAAGATTGCTGATCATTTGAACGACGAGGACGAAATCAACCTTGCTAATCAGCAACTGCAAGCTTCTGATGCGTATACTCCCATCGAAAACTATCATCTCCAGCAAACGCAAAAGCAAGAAACAGCCGCATTGTAACCTTTCTCTTCTAGCTTTTTTCTATAGCCTATAATTTACTCCACTATTTAATTTCTTGACTAATAAAAATAACAATTTGCAAAATCCAATCCCTCCAAGGTCTGTGCATTTGTGAAACTATCTAAACCTTAAATCAAGGAAATAAAGAGGGTTTGAAGGGCATCCATTTGAATGGTAATGATGGCATTGTTCATTCATACTTTTACGTCAGTTTGAGTACATTTCAAGCCTTGACCCTTTCCATGTTTCAGGTGCATAGAGCAGAGACAGTGGGGAGGCATCCACTTTGCCTGGATGAACCACACACACACACACACACACACACACACACACACACACACACACACACACACACACACACACACACACACACACACACACACACACACACACACACACACACACAAGCCCAGTCACTGGCTAAGCTGCTGCTCCTGATTTTTAGTGAAAACACCAAAATCAAGGGATGCTTCTTTTCTTTGTTCTTTGTTCTTTTACCATGTTTTCTCCATATCGCTCCACGCATGTGTTTTCACCAACAAAAAGCCCACGAGACAGGCATAAAAAGCACACAGAGAACATGGGTACTTCTGTAAATAGAGCAACAGCATTCTCAAATTCAAAAAACAACAACTACAATTTCAGAATTTCTGAGGACGAAGACATTGGCACTACAGACTTTCTCGATATCAGCAACATTGATCACGAAGCCATACGAAATGACCCAGAACTGCGAGGTAAATAGCCCTCTGAATCTGTGCTTGATGGACGTCTAACCATTGCTTTCTATTACCAGAGCTATCGCGCAATCCAGCTGCTTTCAACGACACGTTGCATCCTGTTGGTTTTCACAGTATGAAGCACACACACATCTTGGGCCAAGAGGAAGAGCAGGACGACGACGACGACGACGATGACTTTGGCGAATTCAATGATGTGGAGATGCTTGTGCATAATCCTTTAGAGGAAAAACGACAACGGCAATTGGTGTCTCAAATGTCCAATGTCTCATCTGTGCAGAATGTACCAGCATCACCACGACGACAGTTTCAATCAGAATTATCATCTGCCTCCTCAGCGTTTGACGTCCATGAGACCAATCGATTGGAAAAGAAGATTGCAGATTCTGTGCAGTTTTCAAACAGCAACTATCACGGCTTTTACGCAGTAATGAAGCCTATTGTGTTTCTCTTTTTCATGGCATTCTGGATCACCAAAGAGCCCATTATTCGCACTGTCACGTTCTTCACCATGGTCGTATCAACAGTAATTGTGGATCCTCTCTTCTATCTATGGTCTCGAATTTCCAGCAACAAAATCAGCAGCACAAACACACGACGAAACATCACACATTGGTGCACAGCAGTGTTATTTGGCGTGTTGTCCATATTGGCCGTCAGATCTTTCTCTTTAAGCAAATCCATCCTACCTGCTTGGACTACCAACATGGAATTCAGTCTACCATTCAGCACACCATCACCGTTCAACAGCCTCGATCGGCAGCAGATTAAAATCATCAATAATGAATACAAGGCACTGTCCTCGAAACTTGGTGACTTTCAGGATCAGTTTCAAGCGTACATCAAAGGGGTTGATAGCGAACACACCAAGCTCTGGTCAGCCATTCACAGTCAGCAGGCACAGATCAGCGCATTGCATAACAAACTGGATGCTGAGTTGCGTGAATTACTGGTCTCTCAACAGCAGCAACTACCTGACAATATTCTCATTCCAACAGACAAAGACAACACGTTTGAATTGCCTGCCAATTTCTATGAGCACTTGCACAATGCCGATTCCTGGAATCAATTCCTCAAGCAAAACAAGGCTGCCATTGACAAGTACCTGGAAGGACACATGGATCGCTACTTTGCCAAGCAGCAAAAGAACGGCGCAATTATCAGTAAAGACGCATTTTTATCGCTGATTACCAACGACCTGATGAAGCGTACAAAGGGAGGCAAACACGACCCTGAAGCGTCACTGTCTCTCAGTCAGCTCGTGGCGTCTGCAGTGGAAAAGTACCACCAGGACATGTTGGATACAGCTGATTTCGCTCTGGAATCGCGTGGCGCCCATGTTATCTTTACAAAGACAAGCCCCACATTTGATCCAGTGGGTCCCTGGAAACGACGGTTGCGTACATCTTTGGGCCTCTCTATCATGATTCGTCCTCCAGAGATGGCTATCCGTCCAGACACTCACGCAGGTGCATGTTGGTCAATGGCTGGTCAGCGAGGGACTCTGGGCATCACTCTCAGTGAGCCAATTCTCATTCAAGGTGTTACCATCGAACATCCATCAAAGAATATACTGTTGCATGACATTGACAGTGCGCCAAAAGACATGGAGATTTATGGAATCAGCAATTATGGTGTCTATGGCAAGGAAGAAGAGTTAGTTTCGCTGGGTCGAGTCTACTATGATATCAACAGCAGCAGCAAGCCCGTCCAAACATTCACCATCAACAGCAATCCCACAGAAACTTATCGTGCCGTACTGGTCAAGATCAAGTCCAATTGGGGTAATCAAAAACATACTGACCTTTATCGTATCCGAGTTCATGGTATCCCTCTCTAAATGACACCCATACCACTATTCCCTCTTTTCTAGTACACTTATCCATTTCCTACTTTTGCATCCATCTACAACCATAACCCACATATAAGTAATGACTATTCAATAAACTTGCATTTCAAAGTAACTGTGCGGGCACATTGGAGTGCTTTATTGCTAATAAGGGTGCATGATTAAGATATACGGCTTGCTTTATTGAGCAAGAAGCTTTTGGAGGGTGCCATCTCTTTCAGCCTTGGCTAGATCATCAGAACCACCAACGTGCGTCTTGTTAACAAAGACATTGGGAACAGTGCGTTGGCCTGTCTTTTCCAAAAGATAGGCCTGGATTGCCTCACCTTGGGCTACATGGCAAGAAGAAATCAGCTTCTTTCTGCCGTCTTGTCATAATACTGACCCTCACTTACGATGTAAATCCAATTCGATAACTGCAAACTCGATATCAAGGGAGCTTAATAAAGCCTTTGCCTTTTTGCAGTAAGCTATATATCCACGTGAAGGTCATGATATGTCCATACACCAAGTTTATGTAGCGTGGGATACTCACGACAGTAGCTTTTGCTAAATACAATGACCTTGTTGTTTTGAATAGCTTCTTCAGCAATCTGTTGAGGAGATGACATTTTTTTGATGTTGATATAATTTCAGATCCTAGAAAATGTAACATGCTCGGTACTTTTATACTTTTTTGAGGCTTCCATTGCTGAATAATATTCTGGTCAAACGTAATCTGGCACATCGATGGTATCAGCTTCACTCGCCAATGGCATAAGCGGCTTGTATCAGCTTCATCAATGCCCTGCGCTATCAGATGTGTAAGCAAGAGGAATACTGCACTCTTATTGGCGAAATCAACATTGTCAGAAAGCGGTTGAAACATTGGTATGCTATGGAGACGTACACGTCTCTCGGGTCATTTCACCGGATACGTTGTAACAGGAAATTTTATTTCAGCAGGAGAATTACCACTTCATAGTAGGAAAGAGAGGAAGAGAGGGTATATGTACAATTACGAATACCAATAAATAATAGATATGTATACAAACAAATTAAGGCTTTGGAATACGGAGAGTCTTTGAGATCATGAGGGTTCCACTGATGGCATACACAAGAACCAGAGGATGAATGTCCCAATCGCTTGTGATTTTGATCATTTGTCCAGGCAAAGTATCCAAATACATGTCATTTGCAACGAAATAAGCGATCAAAGCCACTAATGATAAGGAAGTAGGAATCGGAGTTCCCTCGAAATGGTGAACCTTGCCTGTGGCATCCTTAGGGGCCAGGGCTACAGTGGCATTGTAGCGTGCAAGACGTGCAATACCACAGCAGACAAAGTAGGTCAAGGCAATGGTATCCAAGTAAGTGCGCATACCAACTAATGGATCATGTCGTTGAGTTTCTGGTCATCACCCTTCTTCCGCTACCCTCCCCCTCTCACACACACACACACACAAAACTAAAACTTACCAGCATATGCCAATGCAGCGGGAGCTAATCCAAATGAGATCTATCCGCAAGTTAGCCCTAAGGTTCTATTGTGTTGCCATTGATGCAACTTACTAGATCAGCCAAACTATCAAGCTCTTGACCCAACAAGGATGAATTGTTTCTCCAACGTGCAACTCTGCCATCCATGAAATCAAACAGCATACCCAAAGGCATGAGGTACATGGCAGTGTATAAATCTCGAACATTGTTGGATGTCAAGTAACGCATGGAACTTAAGACGGATTGAACACCACACACACCATTCATCAAGGTAATAACATCAGCCAGGTAAAAATTGCTATAATATGCAGCAAGGGCGCGTTAGTCAATGGTGGATGATTCCTTGCTTATCGCATCCACGACTTACCGAACCATAGAGAAATGGCCATGTGTGTTCTTTGCCAAGTTGGCATCCGCCTCAGATAACTTCTTTTCGACTTTTTCAGCAACGTGATCCACTGCAGACATTTTGATTTTGATATAGTAATGTGAAAGAAAAGAAAATCAATTTGGAAGGAAAAAAAAAAGTTTTAATTTATAGCAAGACCTTTTACGAGCTTGTCCTCAAATTGACCAGTTACAACGGATGATGATGTAATGATTCCGTTTCGAAAATAAAGATATCATACACATCACACAGAATGTATACAGATCAAACCAAGACAATAAAGGAGCCATAAAGCTTGGGATCAACTAGATTGCGTCTTGAGACCAGGATCTAATGCTGGGCATAATCCAAAGATACTCTGCTTTTTTTAAACTGGCTTGGCATTTGATCCGGGCATGATTGGGTAGGCCTAGATTCCATACTAACTCTATTTTGGAACAAAAATCACAAAACCAAAGTGTAACTTGACATCAGTTTATCATTTCATCATTCCTGAGTAGGCCAATGCTAGTGGCGGTTGCCTTAAAATGACGTGAATTTGAAATACAACCGGTACAAAAAAAAAAAACCTGGATTAAGCTTGCATGGAACAAGATGGTGTATGTTGGTTGCTTCTTGATTCAATAGACCCCATGTTAGAGTAAACCTATACATTGTTCAGGGCATGAAGAACCAATGCAATATCAGTCGTGTCAAAAGAGCCCCTTCATTTCTTTTGATTTGTAACAATGCTTAATTTTGCACTTTGGAGAGATGTACGTCTCTTCCATCCTTATGGCTTTTGACTTTCGGATCCTTTCATTTTGATCCAAATCTTTAATTGATCTAGAAATCAAAAACGCTTGAATTGAAGCAATTGGACAATTTACATAGCAGGTTTCCAGCAAAAGAGCAAACCCCTTTCAATCAATTAAAGTTTTATCTCCACTTGTCTCATCGAAAGAGCCGTTCAATCTTCAACTGCAGGGAGAGACTTCCAAAGCTTATTACTGAGGCCTTCTCAGCAATTCTTGCAAACTATTCTCTCGTTGTAGACCATCTGGTATATTGTCACTGTATCTAAGGCTATTAGTTGATATATTTAATGTATATATCAAACGTCAGTGCTACCCGGAGATTGTCCATAATGCTTAGAATCGAGATTTACTGGTTTGATTGCCACACAGCCGACAAGTTGTGCATTCCAATTTCAGATGTGTTCCTGATCTCCTAGCATGAAGAGCACATTGCACCAGTTTGCAAAAGTTTGTTTCAAATCATTCAGGTTTTCAGAGGCTTATTCATATGAGATCAAGCATTATTATTAGAAATACAAATTTTCGTAAACTTAAAGGGGACTTCTCCAATAGAAAATGCAGCCAAATTTTTGTGTTAGACATTCATGCCTTTTTACGGCTTCAATATCGATTACTATTTTTATTCAGAATCATACCAAAAATTCAGAGAAATTAAACATCATAGATAAGAGGAATCAATAATACACATTTACACGGACATTGACACTGGCTTTGCGCTTGAGCTTGACAGTAGCAATTTGAAGCTCTCAAGATTTTCCTTACTAGTGTGATCTAAATGTATACCAGGTGAAGTATTTCTGACATCTAAATTGTAGACAAAGCTTGGACGCATCGAATTGCATAACTTCTGTGATAGTCAATTGCTTTATATCTGAAATTTTTCTTTTGGGTTGATCTAGAATTATCTGTCAAATATGGAGTTGGTACATCCCGCTGAAAGGTTGTTACATTAATTCTTTCTCAATTTACAGAGAATATATTAATTATGTGGCTAATCCACATTGAGTAAATGACTATGCACCTGTGTTGCTTTTGAGCCTGTTCATCTTATTTTTTTAGCAAGATCATTCACAACCATGTTCAGTTTCAAACAAAATTTCTACAGGAGAGAATTATCAACACAAGCCGTCAGTATCAGCGGGAAAAAAAGTCCAGAATTACACTACTAACCTTCAGAAATAGAACACCAGAGAGTAGCGTATTAATACCAGTCTCTAGATCTTCAATAGTTTGAGGGATTCGCACCGTGAAAAGACGCTTGAGAACGTAAACCTTAGGATCTTTCATCTTTAATACGAATACTTGGCTTTCAAATCTCATTATCAATACAAAAGGTACAGAAAGTTGTTCAATTTCAGATGGCCTAATATGAGGGCAACGATTGATAATCTTGTTGAGGAACGCCTTCGCACAGAGAACGGCTCTGTTCAGAACGTAAAAATAACTGGGCTGATTTGTCTTTCTTGAAAATTCGTTAATGGCGACACCATTAACAGTATTTTGAATTGGTTCCCAAGCGATAACGCTCAGACAGAGCTTGCTGGTTACAAAAGACTCTCCAGCCCTGGTCTTCTTTCCAGAATGACCACGGCCGATATCTTCGTGTATGGCTCCCCTATCATAGATATAATTCGTTAGACTACAGGGTACCAAAATAAATGTGCAACCTACCACTGCAAAATGATCCCTGATTGTCTAAAGCATTTCTCAAAAAGCGGCCCCCACACCTTGACTACCAAATTTGCCTCATTCAAGAACGGCTCGAAACTTGAGTCAAAAATAAACTGATCAAAAATGTGTAATTCAAGTCTGATGTCGATTAGAAAACATAAGACCATTTTTTTCATTTGGCAATGGCAACAACTTACATGATCTGGTAAACACTGGTTATAATTTGAGGGTCATTCTCTTGAAGCAGCTTTATCAATTTTAAAGCCTTCTTTGGGTTTGTATGTTTCTACAACAATGTAATTGTCGATCCATCAATTAGAGATCAAAATATTCATTGATAAAACTTACCCTCTTCATAATCTTTCCGCACTCTACTGCTATTTTTGACAGTTGCAATGAGGACTTTAAATAGTATTCCTCGTTTTCATTGTACTCAATGTGATTATTTCGAAGTCTAAAAAAGAAATCACACATTCTGATTCAATACATTTGCCATGTTTACCACTTGAGAAAATGTCTTTACATTTTTTCGAAATTCACTTTTTGTTCTTCCTCTTCAGAGACAGACTATATTTGTCATATTTAATATCCCGACTGGTGAAGGCCTAATTGAAGCTACATACAACTATCAATCTTCTTCGCATTAGTGGGTATTGGGTTTCGTTGTTCGCTCTATCAGCATTTTCTCGATTTTCGGATATCAACATTCCGTTCCAGAACGACACACATATGTCACTTTCCAGTATCTAAAACTTGTATTATTGTTTTTGGAGGTTCCAAAAAAAAAAATGGGTTCCCAGCAAAATTGGAACCCGATTGGAGTGATAACTTTTGTTATAAGCCAATACTTTGTCAAATAACAATTGTTATTGATCTTTGGGTTCCAGTTTTCGTTCCAAGTGTGTATATTTGACATTTACATAAAAAATATTAGGATTTAATACATTCTAATGATATGTGCGTTATCCAAGGCCTTATCATAAAAAATATATGTATTCTTTTGGTTAATTAACACCTGAAAGAACTTTTTTTTTTTTCGCTTTTAGTTTGTACTTATGTTCCTGAAATTTAATCAGAAACCCACTCTTTCTAGAATTTCAAAGGTATAAAGCTTTTTTTTTTTTCAAAATGAAAACTATGTGTCTGATCTTTTTGCTTTATTTATAGAAAAGCAAAAGCTCACGTTGAAGAAAATGAAGTGCCCCATTCATTAATTATTGAAAGATTTGCGCCTGAAGTACAAGAGCAGCTTTCCAGCATCAACCGAAGTATAGCAAATACAATGCGAGAATTGAAAGAACGTCAAAAGAAGTCGGATGAAATCCAGCAGCAAATGCAAAAAGTGTTTGACAATATAGTCACCGGAAAGCAGCAATTGCAACTTTCTTTTAGAATGGACCAAGGGAACCAAGCAGTAGCGACAACAGGCGCTGTCGCAAAAACCTCTGCCTTGCCAAGATCAGAAGATGTATCGCAATCAAAACAATTTTCGGAAGAATCCCAACAAAGCCCACCACCACCAGGTTACAACAACACCGCAGTTGCAACTATTTCACTTCCATACAATCAAGAAGGTGTACCGTTATACAAAATGAGTCGACAAGTAACAACTGTGTGTGATCTTTGGGACGAGTGGACAATAGGTCGAGATGGATTCTGGTCTGTTCAAGAATTAGAAGACAAGTGGGGCGCTAAATGGAGAAAAGACGACAGAAAATGGTTCAATATCCGTAAAAAAAATCATTGATTCCGTTGAAGACCTTCAGCTGGATCTTGGTCTCTCCCCCACTTCTGCTGTAGGCGCCCTACAAAAGGTGCTCAACACTCGCCACTGGTCTTTGGATCGCTTGGGCACCGAGCTCCAAAAAGGCGCTTTTTTTCCTTGCGAAGAAACGAAAAGAAGAAAATTGCAACACTTCTAGCTGAGCCTTTTTTACCATCAATAGTTGCATTTTCATTAATAAATATCTTTGTTTTCCTGTGGATTTTGTAAAAATCGCTTAAAATGTGTTATGTAAATCTGGGTCCCAAAATAGCAGGGAACCCCAAATGGCACCCACTATTGAGAGTTGGTAAATAATCCTTTATTTTACTTTGCATCGTTGGAAGTGCCTTGAAAAGTACTCCAAGAGTGTATTAGGAAGCGTAGGGTGATTATCACAATTTATATAGTCGATTAACAGAAAATAGATTAAAGACGTCGACAAAAGACGGAATTTGGCCAATCTTGAACAGAAAAAAAAAACTCGGAGTTTAAGGTAATTTTGGCAGGCGTCGCTAATGCTGGCTGACCCAAATGCCTTTCTGATGATGGCAATGATGATGGCAATGATGGTTGAGATGCTGATCAAATGGGGATTATGGAATTGAAAGGAAAATTGCTTAGCGCAGATACTTCTTTTTGGGGAGCTTTGTCTCATGAGGGTGTCTTTTGCAATGACAATATCTCGAGAAAGTCGCTGTAGGTTTTACACAAGTCCTGTATTTACACATAGCCAGCTTTATGTCGCCATCCTATTAAGAGCATTAGCAGCGAATGGTATGACCAGAAGAAAATGGAGATTGTGGTGTACAAATACTGCATAAAACTTGAATTTTCTTTCACATCGTTTCAATAATAGTTTCCGTTGATACCAGTGTATAAGCAACGGGAGGAGGATGCAGGAGGAAATACCTCCCCCTTTCTGACTCTGATATAATCTGTCTTTTGTTACTGATAGTTTGTTTAAAATCTACTTAAATAGCAGGTTTTTATTGTCTCTGATTTGAAATGTCTTCGGCGAGAGCCCGCAGGGCGACGCCGACATCGAGCGTAGCGAGATAGGTTGGCTAGTTCTCCTATATACTGTAGTTTCCTCCCCCACTACTTCCGGTTTTAAAACACTCCCATTTGTCCCCACAATCCCCAATAATCCTTCTATTCTTCAATCAGCAAAATGGCAACAGTTTTGGGCGGCTCAGAATACCTCTTAATGCACGCAATACTTGGTACAGAATTCTTCATCGCAAAATCGCCACCAGACAACTCCTCCATGAACTTCAACCCTCTATCTTCACCCCTTACTGTCAACTTTGTCGACCAGTTCGATATCGACGCCATGGACATTCTCCCATCGAAAACAACCAACATTTCCTCTTCTCCTGCCCAAAGAAATTACAAGTCTGCACCACAGCAGCCGTCCACTACATTGATCCCTCATTTGCTCACTTCTCTTTCCTTCACTATTACGACATTATCAAGTTGCAACCACACATAACTCGCACATCCTCTGTACCATTTCAACGCCTCACCCGATACCAAGTATTTGCATGCATTTTACAGGCCCTCTGGACCGCTCATTACCAAGCTGCTTTTGCTGACATTCCTTTTGTTCCTCTCTCCGTCCTCGCCAAAATTCAGAAATTCCTCGCCAAACTCGATCACGAAGAATCCTTGTCCATTTCACCATAGAACTCAGAACCCAATTTACCCCGTCTTACTATTTCCTTCGCCAATGTCGTGTACAGTAATAGGGCGTTAATGATTTAATTACAATAAATAATTACTTCCCTATAAAAAAAAAGAATATTAACTTACAGCCTTGACCTTGAGTGATTGTATCTCTACTGAAGATCCATTTATCTCAAGATAACAGAATGACTTCGATCAACTTGTATCCAGTCTTGCTCGCTCCATCTTTTGCCTAATTACTGCTTCTGATGTGCAACGTCAAACGACAAGTATTATTCTTCATTAACAGTGACTGCTTTTATAAGCTATGAAACGGAAAATAACAGTTCCCTTGACTACATTCTAATTCTTTTACGCGAATTGCAATATTGGAATGTTATCAAGATGTACTCATGATGGTAGCCATTCGTGATGAGTAATCTTGATCGAAGGTCTAGCTTCGGTTTTTACTGCATTCTTTACGTTGCGATGCTATTTTATTTGCTCTAAGGGATTTATTATGTTGTTTGACACATACCTGGTAATCATTAGATGTTGGCTGCTAATGATAAAGGCTCTAGAACAGCTTCCTGTGGGCCAGATATATGATCAAACACAACGGCTTTTGTCTTGATGCTTAGGTAAATAGCAAGCTATATACTGATCTTTATGAATGACTAACAATTATCGTGGGCTGTCTTGCCAATGTGGCAGTAGGAAAAAGCATTGCAATATTGGAATGTTATCAAGATGTACTCATGATGATAGCCATTCGTGATGAGTAATCTTGGTCGAAGGTCTAGCTTCGGTTTTTACTGCATTCTTTACGTTGCGATGCTATTTTATTTGCTCTAAGGGATTTATTATGTTGTTTGATACATACCTGGTAATCATTAGATGTTGGCTGCTAATGATAAAGGCTCTAGAACAGCTTCCTGTGGGCCAGATATATGATCAAACACAACGGCTTTTGTCTTGGTGCTTAGGTAAATAGCAAGCTATATACTGATCTTTATGAATGACTAACAATTATTATGGGCTGTCTTGCCAATGTGGCAGTAGGAAAAAGCATTGCAATATTGGAATGTTATCAAGATGTACTCATGATGGTAGCCATTCGTGATGAGTAATCTTGGTCGAAGGTCTAGCTTCGGTTTTTACTGCATTCTTTACGTTGCGATGCTATTTTATTTGCTCTAAGGGATTTATTATGTTGTTTGATACATACCTGGTAATCATTAGATATTGGCTGCTAATGGTAAAGGCTCTAGAACAGCTTCCTGTGGGCCAGATATATGATCAAACACAGCGGCTTTTGTCTTGATGCTTAGGTAAATAGCAAGCTATATACTGATTTTTATGAATGACTAACAATTATCGTGGGCTGTCTTGCCAATGTGGCAGTAGGAAAAAGCATTGCAATATTGGAATGTTATCAAGATGTACTCATGATGATAGCCATTCGTGATGAGTAATCTTGGTCGAAGGTCTAGCTTCGGTTTTTACTGCATTCTTTACGTTGCGATGCTATTTTATTTGCTCTAAGGGATTTATTATGTTGTTTGACACATACCTGGTAATCATTAGATGTTGGCTGCTAATGGTAAAGGCTCTAGAACAGCTTCCTGTGGGCCAGATATATGATCAAACACAGCGGCTTTTGTCTTGGTGCTTAGGTAAATGATAAGGTGTGTATTGAGCATTGTAATTCACTGGCCTGGTCTTTCTTATATCATATTGATAACCTCAGCAGAATCACCCTACGAGAATTGAATATTGGGTCATTGTGCGCATTTTAACGTAATCGAAACAGGGTCTTTTAAGCAATCCAACATCTTCGAACCATTTCTCTTCCTGTTGCAAAAAGGCACAATTACCTATTCTTTAGTACGGCCGCCTACGACGTAAAATTTTCTGAAAGAAGGCTTGAAATCAGTTTGTGCTCATATGTAGGTAAATGATGTGCAATTGTCAACACAAGTACAGCCATTCAAAAATAACCATAGTGCAGTTTTACATAATTGTATTTATTGCCAACGCAGTAATATATACAAAGAATAAAAAAAACACTATTTTACATGAGCTCTAATATGAATATAAATCGAATTTCATCTTTATTATAATTTTATATCAAAGAATTACTGGTAAATTCACCTTGTTGATAGTGACAATCAATTGACAGACACCAGGGTGAAGGCGTGTTCATGGGTTTAGCCATCCTTGCGTGCACTAGCTTTTTTGTAGTAATATCCAATAAAAGGAGCTCAAATCTGATTGCATCCAGCAGAATTAATGTACGAGGAGACGGGAGGCTTGGTACTCCACACCTTGGAGTCCACCCATTTTGCGTAAATGCTTTCCTTGCTTTCAGGATTATTGTCTCTTAATCGATCAATGTTGTTTTTTCTTTCTTCAATCAACTTTTCCTTTGTCCGCAAGATACGGTCCAATCGCAGTGAGATCTCCTGAAACAACAATAGGTCGATCAGTTACACTTACTTCCTGAGATCAGTAAAAGTAAGGGAGAAAAATACTATACCTTGAGTCTGGCTAGACCAGCTAGCAAATTGTGGATTCCATCCTTCTTCATGTCATCTCTGTCTGCTGGAATATTCAAATCAAAGAGCTTCTCGATGCTATATACTTTTGGTGATTCCATTTTGATAATGTATACTTGAGCTTGAAATTTCATTGTGATCACAAATGGCACCTGAATTGCTTTGATCATCTCAGCGGTGAGTCCAGGGAAGTTTTTAATGATTTGGTTGATGTAGGCTTTGGAACATAGGCACATTTTCTGCAAATCGTAATAGTATTTGGCTGTCTTTGCCTCTCTAGAGAACTCATTTACACCGAGTTCAACGATTGTATCCTTGCTACCATCCCATGAGAATAGCCTAAGATCCAGTCTGCTCTTTAAACCACATTCTTTGATAGCATCTGGCGTCGCGTCGCCCCTATCATTGATCACACAAATGAGTACAAGCTAAATGTTTGATTACTAAAAAATGAATACCATTGGAGCATGACATTAGATCCACGGAAGAGTTTTTCATACAGAGGTCCCCAGAGCTTCACAACCAGATTGGCCTCGGACAAGAGAGTTTCGTAGCTTTTTTCAAACAAGTATGCATCATAGACATGCAATTCAAGTCTATTTTAAGTTTTGTATGAGAAGGCGAATTAAAGTGTGAAAGAGAATATCCCATCATACATACATGATCTCATATACGTTTTTAACCATGTCATATTTATCTGCCTTATCATGCACTTTCTGGATGAGCTTTAATGACTTTTTGGCGTTTCCCTTTTTCTATGAACACGGCGATTAGTAAGTACAGTGCAAGTCAAACCGATATTGGACTTACTGCCTTCACAATCCCTTTACACTCATTTGCAATATTTGACAATTTTCCAAAGGACACATCACTGCCAGCTGGTTTATCGGAAACTTCTCTGATGGAGTTCATACCAATTCTATGAGCAGCATGTTAGATGGTTGATCTAGCCATTGAGACACACTACATGCGTGATCAACATTATAGCTGCACTTACGTTTTCAAGTAAAAAGATTTCATATCATCAACTGCGATTTTTTTGGTATCAGCTTTCAATTGAGTATCATTCTGTATTGAGCATGTGATTGATTAGTTTATACATTAAATTTGCTACTTCGAATTTTTCACTTACGGGAGGAAACACTGTGAGGGTGGTTTTTCTTTTTTTGGTTCTGTGTACTGTTTCTTCATAAACGGCCTCATCGACTCTTCTATTTTCAGCAAGGAGTTTGCTATGCCAGAAGTTTGTACAGGAATCATTCTCAAGAATCTATAAAGTATGGTGATATCAGGTTTACGCTTGATGCGTCGCAATGAGATACTTTACATAAAATTCTTTTTCTTGAACTTCTTTAGCCCATGAAGCAAAACTTTCATCGTCGCTATGGGCTGCCTCTGCCACTGTGATTTTATAATCTGAAATTGCCACGTCCTTGCTGTTATAAGAATATTGTCCTTCGACAAAGAAGGCTGGAATCCCATGCTTCGATCTATAATTGCTCTTGAGCCAAGATAGTGCTTCCCTGTATAGATTGGCTTAGTATATACTTTTCATATTTCTACAAATACGTTTTTAGATGTTACCAAAGCATTGTGAATATAAAGAAAAGGCGACAGAATGTTTATATCTTGAGATATCAGTAGTTTTATGTTGTGGATTCCTTGTCACAATGCAACGTGAATCTTGCCCTCACCCGCATGATGAAAGCTGTCAAGCAACAACGTGATATAGGCCAGAAAGCCAGTGCATACACGGTGCCCCTCATTGATGGCAAGGCCATAAAACTCATAGTAGCATGATTATCCTGGCACAACAAGAGCCAGATATAAACAGGCTGATAGACATGGATGTGGAGAAAGACCCATTTTGAGTTTAACCCTATGGAGATTGTTTTGCGAAAGCAAAGAAAAACTTAAGGAGAGATATTGACAAACGAACATCAAAACACAACAACACTCTGAAGTTTGCAATAACGTTGGTTTCTGTATATACAAGGCAATTGAAAAGGTTTTTTGCTCATCTTCAATCAAGTAGCTAAAAAAGTAGCCCCTCAATTCGGATGGACTTTTTGACGCTTGCTATGAGGGCCAAATAAACTTTAAACTATAAAGTCTGATTTTATTTTACTCCTTTAAATTTTGAATCTTACCCCCTGAAAATGTGTTTACATTGAAGGTGGTTTTTCCCGTACTAGACGTAATCTCGTGTATAAAATACAATGTTAAAAGAGACACCAAAACAAATGTAAGGCCTCTGTTACCTTGATTTAGGAGATCTCTACTTTTTTTAAGTTCAAATTGTTGGCAATTCGAGCGATCTTCCCCCCTTGATTGTAGGCAATCCTGTTGTAACTCTGAATTTATGATACATATATAACCTTCTTTTCTTTTCTTTTCTTTTCTTTCTCTCGCTCTCTCACTCTCTTTTTCTCCCTAGTTTTTTCATCACCTTTTTCGTAATTTATAATGGCAACAACGCATGATGTCCACAGAGTAATGGAAGAGAATCTATTTGGCGCATTTCAAAGACCAACTACATCCTATCGCTCATTAACAGCTTCCGATCTCATCAGCTTGCCGGGTCAACAGCGTCGCCATATATCGTCTGTAACAGGACCAGCAAATTCATACCAGCAACCACCAGTGCAACAGTATAAATGTCGACCATCATCTGATATACTGCAAACACAGCCAACCATGAAGAAGAACACCTCGTCTCCGGAAGGTAAGTACAGGCAGTATGAGGCATGCCAATAACAGCGCCTAATATGAAGATAGCCGAGGCAATTGATCAGTGGTTTGAAAACATTCAACGCTATGAGCAAATGCTCGAGCAAGTAGCGGCTGCCAGTTTAGATCAAGGTTTCAAGGACGAATTGCAACACATTAACCAATGGTTTCAATGCCGATCCGATGCTGAGAGAACAGCTGCATTATACACAGTAGTCCAAAGTGCTTCTCAAATTCAAATTCGATTTCTGATTACTGTGCTGGAGCAAATTGCAAACGGAGGAGAGCCTTACCCTGCTGGACAGGAAAATAGTAATAGCACTGGTAATGTTGAGGCTTGATTTTAGGGAGTAAAATGTTTATATTAAACACATACTATTTTCTAGTGCAACATCAGATGCACATGCCCTTCAACAGCAATCGTTCCATCATCTCATCGTCTGAACCGGCATCCGACTTTGACAAGCGAAGACTGCCTCCATCAGCAAGAAGACGTCCATTTGTGCCATCTTCAGCCTTGAGTGAACCTGACGATTTGCGAAGACGCAATCGAGATTTATTCGTATCTCGACCACTGGGATTAAGTCATCCTGGCCCCTTGTATGAAAAGGCGTTGGCTGCTAGAGCGCAGCTTCAAGCATTGAATGGCACTACATCATCGTCATCCTCTACTACTACTACTACTACTACTACTACATCGACATGCTCCACGACATCCTCCCGTTCTAATTCTGGAATCAGCAACAATGCAAATAGTGGTACAGGGGGCTTGTTCTCCTCTCCGCCTCGCCTTCGTACCTCTTGTTCCACCACAGATCTCACCTCCAAATCACTCTTCTCTAGCGCAGACTGGCCATTCCCCATCAATACAGCTAAATCAAGCAATGCCAATGACGATAGTTGGTCTTTTGGTTCTCTGGGCACTAAAAAGAAGCTGACATCTGCGCCTGGATCTACTGTGGGCTCAAAGAAGAAGGATGACATGCTGCCGTGGGCAATTCAGGAGGAGGAGCAAGAATATTCCAAACTGTCTGCCACCATCACATCGAGCTTATCTGCACTAGAACAAGCCCAGGCTAGATTACGACAAGATGTGTCCCTACCAAGCCATAAAAAGGTGATTATGCCTATTACCCAATGGACCCCACCACCGCAGCCACCACAACCTCCTACAGCTACTACCAGTTGCATTGTCTCTCTCCCTCCTGCTCCAGCTGCTCCAGCAGTGTCTCCCATATCTAGCCAGGCTGGACTTTCGCATTCATCACAATCCCAGTTTGGACAATTTTTGACACCACCTACATTTGCTGCACCTGGAGAAGACAACAATACGGATGATGACCAGAGTGATGACGCCTCCAACAAGGAAGAGAAGCCACTTACCGGACTAGCAAGAAGGCGCAAGAGATCATCTGCCGCAAGAGCACTCAAAGACAAACTGGCAGCTGAAGCAGTTGATTTCGAGTTAATGAAAGGTATAAAAAAAAACGGATTAAAACGGCGAAATGTAGCTATAAATATACTCACATCTTTTTTTTAAATAGATGTTCAAAATTGGCTTCGAAGCCTGCGATTACATAAGTACGGCCACGCATTCATTGGACTCGAGTGGCAGCAGGTGATCCGCATGTCTGATCAGGACATGATTGACGCTGGTGTCAATACGATAGGCGCAAGACGAAAGCTGCTCAAAGTGTTTGAAAACGTAGCCAGACATTGCACCGAAAATGTAAGTGTGTTATGGTTGGAAAACAGGGCTTGTTTATTGACCCTATTTAAATAGAACATTGACTACTAGGCTTCTTTTGGATAAAATTTTCTAAATTCAATTATCGAAAGCCTCATCTTGTACAACGAATAAAAAAAGACCCCCCGTCCAATTTATTTATAAACGAAACATTGAGGGATTTGCTATACCATCACCTTTCTTTCTCATACACACTTTTTTTTTTCTTCATAAAATGCTTTTATTAAAGAGTATTCCCTTGCTCTTGGTGGCAGCAGCCTACTCTGTGTCTGCCTGCGAGATGGACTGTCGCAGAGGTCTTTCAAGAGATTTCGCTGGATTCTACGTGCCTGTGATCAAGGACAGCATTAGTGATTTGCACTCACAGTTAACCAAATCTATCGAGAAGGTGTCTATTCCTGCTGCCATCACAAGTCAACTGGATAAGTCTGAATTATTGGATGATATCGAGGAATCTATTGAAACCAGCTTGAACGAGTTTGTCGCCTTGGCTACCTCGCAATCTAGACTCGCTGAAGGCTTTTATCAAGTCATGTTCAACGAAGAGCTCCCTTACAAAGGTGATTGTAACAACCCCAAGAGATTGACCAGAAAGATGCCTCCTCCTGGAGAGAGCTGGACCATGGATGAATGTCGCAAGATGGATTACCGTTGTGGCAACCCTCCCTCTATCTGCTACTTTTTGGAAGATGTCAAGCAACGTTGTATTGGACGTATGCGTCGCCAAATGACCGAATACGCTTCTTTTGATAATGGTGCCCTCGTCAAGAGTTTAGTGAGAGATACTCGCAAATCCATCTACGACACTCTTAGCAACAACGGTGTTGGTAAATTAAGTGAGGATAACCAAGTCGAGTCTTATATTGCCAAGCTCGTCAGTGCTACTATCCGTACCTTGGATATGTGGGTTGCTGATGATGTGAGACAATTGTGTGAAAAGCCCTCTCAAAAGGAACTTTGTAACAGTTGGGATGATGCTATCAGAAAGGAGATTCTCAAGTGGCCCTAAATCATACAAACCTCGGCATTGTGAATAGACAAAAATTGTATATATTATTATTTAATAAAGTACTTCCCTTGACAAGGGATAAATTTACATGAAACGGGGCGATAGGCTGTATAAAACTTGACTATTATGCCCTTGATCTCGGTTGAATCAATGTGGTTGATGTTCTGAATCCCCATTGGTAGGATTCACATTGACAAGGTTTACCAAACGCAAAGCTATTCTTATTTGATCTGCCCAACAAGATGAATTCTGCGTGCACTTGGCACGAGAGTGCGTCATGCTGCTGAGCTAGATTGACCCTAGGTTCCCATAGCGTCAACCTGGTGCTGATACCATTAAATATGCATAGTATATATAATAGGGTATGTTCCCTGGGCAAACCAAAAAGGCAAGAGTAACATTGGCAGAGCCCAAGCACCTCAAACCGTATTAAACCCTTCAAATTCTGAATAAAAATGGTATTACCTATTGAATAAAGCTTCATTTTCCAGCTCTTCGCATCCACTTTGCTATAATGATCATCGTACGTCCAAAGCACATACAAAGTATACTGCATCTAAATTTCACTAGGTACAAAGTGCACGCAAAATGCTTACCTATAAAAATACTCCCTACAATGTCAAATACCTTATGAAATGAGCTATGATTTGATTAGATTGCACCTCAGCATAATATTGACAATGCTGTTTATCTGTTTGGAACAATGAGATGTGTAGGAGGAAATGTTCCCTATTTGATGCTGTGCACTGCAAGTTGATTTGTAATATAACAAAGCAAAGTTTTAGCGGCGATGACATTCAATTGGCTGTTCACTGAGGAAGAAAGCTATTTGACAGGGTTCCCGTTACAATTTTCTTTTTCTTTCTTTCACTATTGAATACTATATTTTACAGAACATGTCTACTGTTACCGAAGGAAAGGACACCATCAAGTTTGTCGATGAAGAGCAAATCAATCAAGCTGCTGCTGATGCCGCTGCCTCCACCCCAAATGAAGCAAAGGAGGCAAAGGAAGAACAAGAAGATGCTGCTTCCGCCTTCAACCCAGAGACTGGCGAGATCAATTGGGATTGTCCATGTAAGTAATTAACCAGTGTTGGATCGATTCAAGTAGGCTTAATGTGATGATAGGTTTGGGTGGTATGGCACAAGGCCCATGCGGTGAAGAGTTCAAGGCTGCTTTCAGCTGTTTTGTCTACTCTGAAGCAGAACCCAAGGGATTGGATTGTGTCGAAAAGTTCAAGGGCATGCAAGATTGTTTCCGTCTTCACCCTGATGTGTATGGCGATGAGATTGATGATGACGATGAGGAGGAGGAGAAAGAGGAGCCTGTTGGTGTTGTGACAGAGGAGGTTGTTGTGGTAGCTACACCCAACGAGGACAGCAAAGAGGAGGAACCCACAACTGTCGCATCCTCCGCATATGAGGAGGAACCAGCAAGCTCATTCTCTTCTTGGGTTTCTTCCTGGTTTTAGATAGAATTAGATAGATGACACACGCAATTAGAGTCTCTTGTTGACTGACTACGCAACAGCCATCAACCATTATTTGTACAATAAATCAAGCATATCATCCTTTACTCTACTCGTTATGTTGGATTGAAATGTGTATCAGCAGAGACATTGACGGATTCGGATAAATTACGGATTGGAATTTGCCGCTTCATGAGAGGATTGTCAATGACAAGAGGAAGTCTTCAATCAAGAAAAACACAAAGATGCTCGCCTGTACAAAGGCTGATAAAAATCATTGGATTTGGACTTGAGATTACACATTTCAAATAATGGCATGCGACTTTCATAGACATTTGCTTTTGTTCTGTAATTACAAGTCTAAACAGCAATTGATAAAGCATAAATAGAATGCTGCTTTGGATGACGATATATGCGCTTGAATGCTCGTAGTAACATATGTGAGTCTAGCCATAGGTCCTAAATCTATTACGGATCTTGAAGGGAATTTTTACAGTTTATCAAAGTTCTGATGCTCTGAACAGGTCTCCCATTCAGATGTAAACGGCGTGACACATACAAATTGTAACGTCAAATCGCTTAAGAGACATGTAATTGACAGGATCCATCCATAAAGCTGCTTTGTGTTCATTTTCAGTGCTTCATACATTGCTAGCTAGCCTTGTAACCAAATCATCAAGCACACCTTCGGCTGTGTAAGGCGCATATCATCTAGATCAATGAATTCAGTATGCTCAATCCGCACGCCATATCGTTTCCATCGCCCTGGAGCCAACAGTGAACCGAAAGCAACAAAAATTGAAGCAATTGAGCGCTCTATTTTTTCTTTCCTGGCCGTTTTAGATTGCGAGAATGATACCACACGATTGCTCTCGGCTGATACCTGCTTGCTTTAACATTAACTCAATTTTCTTGGGGTCGAATATCATTGACCAATATCCTCGCACTTTCCATGAGGTACCCCTCATGGTTTTTATTGAAAATCAAACGATCGCGTTTTTGGCCTTGATAATGAAGACTTTTACTATGGTATGTATTAAATCAAAATTTTTCTATCGATCTAACGTAGCCCCTGAAACCATCTTTGTGGGACCTTGATATGTAAATTTTCGACATTTTGACCAGAAACCTCTTTTCATGTTTTCGTAGATTATTCAATAAGCTTATTCAAAACATCTATATTACTTTGGTACCATTGGATGCTCCTTGAAAAGTACTCCAGGAAAGCTTAAAGAAGCACAGGGTGATTATTATATTTTACTTGGTCGAATCTGCTAAAATAGTTCAATCGAGTCGAAGACCATCAAGATTTGGCCAATCTAGAATAGAACATGAGTCTGTGTTTAAATTTATTTTGGCTGGTGGGGCCGGCTGGCAAACTCAATGACCTTTTCATCATGAAGGCAATATTAATTCCATATTCTTTAGTAAACTTTGACAACACTGAGCAGAGGAAAGAGGGTAAAAAATAAAAGTGGTTTTTGTTGATTGATTGTAAAGTCATTAATCATATATGAGCCAGGTCTGACAGATGATGCCTTGCACATCAGCTTCCATATTAGGGTTGTAAAAGTGTCTAGGGACTGAACATTTATTATAATATTCCTTCAGTACTTGTCTACGCCTGCCATTTTCGACCTTGGTTGAACATAACCTTCCACCCAACCATAGCTTATCGCCTACATTTCGCTCACCAAAGGAAGTGGTAAAACACTACCCCAGAGTGCTTCAACTTACAGGTAATGATGTTTTCATCTTTGATACCACCACTCAAGCTCTTCAACTTCGCACTTCGGTCATTGGCCTACCCCACCAACCCACCAGCTTACGCGCTATCAATTTTCTTCAGGCTCAAAACCTACTGCTCACCAACTTCATTCACTTCAACATGTTGCTCCTTGTCCCTCGTCCAAACATCACACATATCGACCTCTCCACCATCACCAACTATTCCGATAGTATCAGCCTCGTATCCACCCTTCTACTCTCTTTATTGGCAACTTCATTTTCTTTTGAGTCTCATTCATTCCTTTTATCCCTCCCTACTAATCAAGGATTCAAATCCCTCCCCCTTCACACTAACCCTTCCTCTTATTCGTCCCCTTTAGGTGTTGCCAAATGGAAGCAGTTTTGGACTCTCCAGATTCCTTTGAATGCTCGCAATACTTGGTTCCGGATCCTTCATGAAAAAGTTACTACTCGTCAATTATTACATCAACGGCTTCGCGATTCATTTACCCCGTACTGTCCTCACTGTCAGTCTTCGTCATCCACAATCCCCACCATCATCGAAGATACTGAGCACTTCCTCTTTTCCTGTCCTCGAAAATTGGACGTCTGGCGACAAACTCTCTCTCTTTACATCTCACCTCGATTCTCTTACTTTGCGTACGAGGAATACATTGCCATCCTCCACCTTCGCCTCGATATTGACCGCTCATCTCATGAACTTTTTCCTGCATTATCCGTGTTCCAGGTCTTTGCTTGCATCCAACAGGCTATCTGGTCTGCTCATTACCGCCAAGTTTTCCAGCACGTCCCTTTCATCCCGTCTACTGTCATCCACTCCATTCATCGTACTCTCCTCAATTTAGACTCCCAACTTTCCTTCGATACAATTATCTGAGCTTCCCCTTATATCCTCCAGTCTTTATATCCCCTCCCTCTATATTAGGTGACGATTTAAGGACTTTAAATAAAAACAGAAGTGCCTACTTCCTTATAAAAAAAAAACATTTATTATAATATCTTACAGCTCAAGTAATAGGTAACAATATAATGCTGGGTTTCTGTAATACTGATAAGCCTTGATTATTTTATTACACATTTCAGTGGAGGACTAGCACGACGCAATAATTGCCTGTACTCTGCGTATATTTTCGCATCTAGTGAATGGTAAGATACAGATTGGAGTGGTCAGTTATACAATTTTGGACCAAATCCATCGTGTCACAATATTTATGAGATTTATCAAGCTCGTGGGTATCCGATCAATGTATGCTAAGCAGTACTTTTTTTTTTTTTTGATTAAAACGTAATGTCTCTGCTCACACGACATGTCTATTTTTGACTATAGTATTAGCATAGCGATGCCAACAACAGGCGATTTAGTTTGACGAGATCAAAATAGGTCCGTCCTCGGTCGACAGGGATCTTTTGTGCATTTACCAAGAAAAAAGGAAATTCAAGAAACCGAGTGTAACCAAAACGGTTGGTACCGAGATGTGAATATAGTTTGGGTATGATCACTCTATTTTTTATTCAGTCGATTGGTTTAAAACAAATGTAAATGCAATGCAGGAAGTAAATAAATAAACAAGTGTGGTATTAGTGGATTAAGGATAAAATCCCACTACCAACAGCAGTAGCGGAAGCAGCTGATCCAGCCACCACTGTAGGCTGAGCAGCAGGTGAAGAGCAGCGTTTGATTTGGTTAGCAGCCAGGAAATAGTTGTGGCGTCTCTTGTTGTAGTAAGGGATCCAAGGGTAATGCGTTGATGGTGTTGCGCGCTTCAGTGATTTCTTTGTGACAACAAGCCTAGCAGATGTTTCCAATGTTGATTTACTAGTGTCTTTGAGCTTGCAATCCTCTGAGCAATAGAGTGCATCAGTCTGGAAAATACATGTTGGTTTAAAGCCGGAAAGCACAACATTCTGTGTATAGATGTGTACCTACCTTTAACAAGGAATCACTATCATCCATGATACGCTTATCGCACATGATGCACCAAGAGAGATCCATTTTGACGTTGTATTGTATAGGAGACATTTGGAAAAATCAACCACTCCTTTATATATTTGCTGTAGCCATATTGGAGAAGCCTGTGGAAATTGCTCGACGGTTCCTTTTGAATATGTGTGGCCATGTGTTGGCTTTGAAAACAGTGCGAACATCAGCAAATGTCGCTTTATGCAGTGCTTCGAATTAATCAAACGAATTCTATAGCGATAATGATGACAGCTGTCAATGATTTGCCAACACTCGCTTGTAAAAGATGAGCTGATATAAGTTTTTAGCCGACGTACAAAATAAACCTTAAAACCTTGGTTTTTTTTCACTGAGACCTTGACCCCCCCGCCAAATCCTACAGAAACATCTAAGTACATTGAGGGCAGCAGAAGCAGCAGCAAACCCCAATGCTAATTTAATAAATCCACCACAATGTTGTACACGATTCATGTAGGAATTACAATATAATATCAATTACTGAGGCATCTAATTTTAATCCTGAGATTTCAGTCGCAAACCAAACCGTCGAATGGACGCTGCTTCTGTAACAATATGATTATTGCAATCTCTCACTTGTGTACCCATCAAACACGGTTCCATGGAACTGAGCCAACAATATATTTATATCAAACCCCGTGATGATATAATGAAATCTTTGTTATTTTACACCACTGTATGTTTTTACCGGTTTTACATGCAATTGGACATTTGGCATGTCACATAGCCCGAGGCGCTTTTTTATCTCTCATTTGCAGGAATAAATGTAATGTTATCTCATATATTATATTGATTACCTACAACAAGGGGCTGTTATTCTCGTAATTCCTGTTTGCAGAGCAATGCAATAAGGGGGAGGGGAGAGAGAGAGAGAGCGTCAAGTTACCATGAGGGGGCCGTTAAAAAAAGAATCAAAAATAGCCTGGCGGGTTAGGCGTAAAACAAGGTTAGCGTGCACACCCACAGACGAAAAAAAAACGAGGTTTTCCAATTTTAGAGAACACAAGAAAAAGCTATATATGGTACCGCGGAAACAGAGGATGTTGGGAAATATAAAAGGAAACCATTTTCTAATATTTATCTCTTTTCTTTTTCCTCATTATCAAATCTACCATCTAAATCGACAACATTCCACCAACTTAATCAATCAGTCCAAAATGAACAAGAAAGTACAATTCTCTTGCGATGTTGAATTCGTCTCTACATTCGCCAATGAAGACTATGGTAAGTTTTACAATAAACATTGGAGCTGGAGCAATGATTCTAACATTGGGGTCAATTAGATCGAACTGCTCAAGAAGTAGCCAAGCTGACATACAAGGACATGTTGGAGCTACTCACCATGAAATCACAGTGGAGACGAGATATGGAGCGCATGATGGCTGAAAGAGCAACTGTTGAAGAGGAGGACATTGTTGAAAGCACATCAAATAACTCGACATCCCGTCTGTACAATGTACAAGAAATTTGCATCTAGAGAGCAAGAGCAACTCCTTTTATTCTTTACCACCCAAATCCATACACACACATACACCCATACCACGCGCACTACTGCACCTACACCATTTCACAAGCAAACCGATGAAAAAGTGCTTTTCAATCATGCTATTATATCCAAATGTTGTCCTCCCACTTGCTCCGAGCCCTTATTTTGCATTTTGCTTTCTCATGTACAATTTTTATATTCTTTATTGTAAGAATACCTCAAAACAACAACAACCCCCTTTAACGGCCATCCCCTTATTTTATCTTGTTCTTCCTGCATTTCTCACTCCATTTTATATCATGTAAAATAATACCTTCTTTCTTTTTACAATCCAATTCCCAAAATAAATATTTCATTTTAGTTAATGTTCCACACATCAAATATTTTTTGAAGCCCGTGTTATCTTTGTTTGAACGACGAGCATTTGAATCATAACTCTGATTCATTCATGATGACATTTTTTTTTTTCCCTAGTAAAAACCATGGTTTGTTTTGGGGGAGTGGAGGGGAATTTTAGTACTTATCAAATACCCTTGTATGCACATGAATGATCGTCATATGTATATAGATTACATCGTCATTGTCTTACTATTTCACCTAGGTGGATAATTTTTGTGTTTGGTGCCTGGTTGCTATGCTGAAATTATTGAGGTTTCCCCTGGTTGCCATGTTTGTGAATGCAATCCTAGAGCATAGGTTCTTTTGCTGTCCATGATAATTGGTTTTTAGACTGAAGCGCGTCTGCGTTTCCACAGCTATTTAGGCTCAGGGATACATTATTTACACGCTGGTCGATGCATTACATCAGATTCATTCATCAGATTGTACAAGTATGCTTTTAGTGTATTGTGATAGCTATAAAAGAATTTGCTTGTGAATGTTGGACATCAGGACAAATATGGATGAGAAGAGATGTTGATACAGTAAAAATGTAAAATTTCAGTGTCGAACTTCATTCATTCTAAATCTTTCGTAGTCAATTGAGAAAAATGCTATTTTGACAGATATGTGCTCGTATTATATAGCCGTTGCTCAGTCGTACGCATCATAAAAAATGTGATGTTGCTAGGCTCTTGCATATCCTCCACAAGAAGGAAATAAAGCTAACATAAATTTCGGCGTTAAACCAGGTAAATGGCATCACCATATATAAACTTACACAGAAAAAAACAAAAACAATATATCCAGCCTACGCTATAGTAGATTTCCATTTGCAATTCCCTTCTTATTACCTTCAAAAGCAGCGATCATTCATGACAAAAGAGATGCCATTGACTTGTCAGCCAAAGCTAATTGAATTTCCGCTAAAGATTTTTTTTTACTCGATTTGTTAATTTTTTGATCATTGTCATGTCTTCGGACCTCTGACACATTAAAATTTTTTTGATCATTTTGCGACTTGCTCAATCTATTTTATGAAATTCGACTATATGAACTGTGCTGATCATCCCATACTCCTTTATACTTTTCTAGAGCTCTCTTGGAGGCGCATCGAATGGTGCTAATTATGAAAGGTAATTTAAGAAGGCTTACTGAGTAATATTTAAAAATATTAAATGAGGTGTTTGGCCAAAATGTCGAGATTTTGTATATCAACGTCTTGCAAATGAAGTTTCAGGAGATGCTTTGAATCAATAGAAACATTTTGATTTAATATATACCATAACGAAAGGCTTCATTTTCAAGGTGAAAATTACGATCGTTTAATTTTCGATGGAAACCATGAGGAATACCTCATGGTTTGGAGTCGATTTTTGGCTCTATTTTTTAGATCCCAAAAAAAAAATCGAGCAAAGGTGTCAGTAAGTAGCTGTTAGATGAGAGCAATGATTTGATGCTACTCTGGCGATCCAAAACGGCTTCTAATACGAGAAAACACAGCTTAAATGCACTCAAACTGCCATGTATTGTGCCAATTTTTGACTAGTAAGAGCTTCTGTAAACCTGCTGCCTGTCCGTATACGGATCGTTTTCATTGATAGAGACATAAGGTACTTTAGAGAACTCAGATATACAGTTAAAAAAAGACTCTCGTTTGAAAAGGGAAAAATAACGACCTCTACATTAGCAGTATTTCGAAGAAGCTAAAGAATTTAAGTGATATAGTTCAGAACCACAGGTTAATTTTCACCAAAGCCAAGAGACACTGGTATATTGATAAATTAATGTAAATAGGAGACCAGCTACTCGGCATATATGGCGCCATGCTTCCTAGATACAAGGTTTGAGACAAAATCTTACACATAAAGGCAAAGACAAGAATATTCTACATTTCGGCAATTTCAATCCGTTTATTAAATATGTAGGATCTACCTTTAGATTGATATATAGTGGTATGATTATTCAATCAGGGATTAACCCTTTCATTGATAAAATGTTAATTGGGATACATGTATAGCATTTAAGTTGAAAGGTTTGAGATGCAGTTTGTAAGAGAAAATGAAGATGAAAGAAGCAAATATAGATGAAATTATACTTTTTTTTTGTGAGAGTGTGTAGGGTGGTATAGCTGTATATAAGAGAAATGTGTAAAGGGTAATTAAAGTATAAAATAAGAGAAAAGCATGCAGAGTAAGAATAGATAGGGTGGTTGAAATGTCGTAAATGTGTAAAATGCAATAAGTGAGATTAAATATATATAGAATCATAAGTAATTTTTTTAGGGTGTTTTTGTTGTAAAAAAAAAAGTGTGTTAGAAGATCAGTTTTAGTTTTCGCATAACCAAGGGTGTGTCAGGACTTGATGAATAGTGGGTCTATGTTCAGGGTTCTTTTCCAGTAAAGAGTATATCAAATGCTTGCATTGATTAGAGACATGGATCTTTGGCTTCATGATACGGCCTTCAACAGCAGATTTGGAATCGGGAAAGGGGATCTCACCAAAGAGCAATGTGAACAGCAGCACGCCCAATGACCAGATTTCGGCAGGCTCGGCACGGTAAGGTTGCGATGTCAGGATTTCGGGAGAAGCAAAAGACACAGTTCCATAGAATCTTGTAAAGAGCTTTCTTTTTGTAGTAGCGGAATGACGAGGTAGAATCACAGAAGAGCCGAAATCGATCAACTTGACCTTGTAATCTTGATCGATGACAATGTTTTCATCCTTGATGTCTCGATGGCAGATGCCCACACAGTCGAGATAGGCAACGCAGTCCGCAATTTGTCTGAAGATGGTCTTTGCAAGTGCTTCGTCAAAGTGTTTGTGTTGTTCAATGCATTCAAACAGATCGCAAGATGTACGACGCACAAACTGTCTAGCAGCCACTTCCAAATCGTGTTCCTCTTCTTCTTCATCAATGGTGGATGTTGAGTTTTGTGACAGAGCAGGTGAGTGCATCGAGTAGGATGTATTTGATGGAATAGCAGTAGCAGAGGTAGTAGTGGGAGGAGCCCATTGCGTGCCGTGCAATTCCATGACCAAGTAAAAGTAGGTTTCGTCCTGGTATGAATCGCAATAATGAATGATATTGGGATGTCTGACATGTTTAAGTGTATAAATCTCCATTGGAATGGGACCCATTTCAGGATCAGTGACCCAAGCACTAGATGGCACTTTTTTGCGAATGATAAACTTAACAGCACGCTCAACGCCAGTCTTCTTCTCATACGCAGATACAACGAATCCAAAACCTCCGCTTCCAAGTTCCTGACCAAGAACATACTTTTTGGTAAAATCTGCATTAAGTGTGTGGTGCATGAGCAATCTTGCGGAGACGGTGAGTTCTTGCTTTGGTGTGGCAGGTGGAGTGACAGGCAGGTTGCCGCTGCTGTTGTTGGCCAGAGGGTGAATGGAAATGTTCATTTGTGGTTTTGGTAGAGAGTTGTGGCTAGAAAGTTGAATTGGTGAACAAGACATTTGAGTGGAAATATAAAATGAAAGAGTTGAATCAAGAGATCCAACAAGGGCATTTTTATATACAAATAGAAATTAAGGGGGGGGGGGAAGAACTCAAGACTGTCTACAAGATGGAGGAGGAGGGGGGGGGACATTATCATGTAATATATATGATTCGATCGTCAGGAGCATTTTTTATGTATTTCACAGTATGAAAAAAGGGTCGAAGTTTCGGATTTTACCATAGGAATGCCCTTCTGGCCAAGCGTTTATCTCCTTCATAGCTAAAAAAAAGTCGCACAATGATGATATATCGCAGAGAAGGAGTACATGATAACGGCAGCATTATCGGTTCTCATTTCATACACGCTTTATATTTTACACATGTTTGATCTCATTTCTCCTGTATTTCTCTTTATTATCTTCTCCTGCCCCATTTAAACACCCCTATTCTGACATATTTACTGCTTTTAATCTCGTTATTGTTGTTGTTGCTGCTGTTGTCTCTGCTGGGTCATTCTTGAGCAGTGGTCCTTGATGGTACGCACAGTGGAATCGATATTGTAGACGCTATACCAGCCTCTGGGCTCATGCGGTGGATCTACAAGTGTATGTCAATTTATATCATACTATAACACAGGGCACCCGGTGATATTACCACCCAACCACACCATGCCAAAGCCATTAGGTTGGTCCGTTGATCGACCCAACCCTCCATAGGCCCAGAAGTTAGTACCTCCGTGACGGAATTGAGATGCTAAATGTTCAATCTGTCGATAAAGCCCCTCGTAAAATTGATCCTTGTGGCTCGTTGGTGTAGACGGATCGTATTTGTATGCACTGTCAAGAGGCCTGCGCCATGCGTCTCTTGCCATGCCAAATTCCTCCAACACAATCGGCTTGTTGATATCAAAAGCCCATTGCGCTCGACTGTTTATGAATTCTTGCAAATATGCTTGCGCCAGTTTCAAATTGTTGGGATTTGGATCACTGGCATCATATTTCTTCCAACTATAAAAATGTTGATAATTTCCGAATTATTAGCTATGGGGGGGTTCAGTCATGCAAAAATCTTATAAACAAGGAGCAGCAACGTCTATATATCATGAAATCAAGACAGAGATGTGTGTGTGTGTGTGTGTGTGTGCGCGCAAAAAAAAGGGGGGGGGGAGAACAGCACAGAGAGAAAGGGAGCTTTCATAAAGCAAGGAGAATGCGTGTGTTCAAAAGGAGAGAGAAACTTACTTTTCCACCCAACAATGACAAGTGCAATAGTCAATGGCATCTGCTGAATGTGCATTCAGGAAATCTGTCTGATCCACCTTGCTTTCGATGCCTGCAGACACGAGCTGATGAGGTGATCCCTGCTTGATGAAATATGCAATTTCATTAAACCACTCTTTGGGTGCATTCTGTGGTTCGTTTGCAATCTGCCAGCCTATACAATCCATGAGTCATACATACACACACACACACACACACTCTCTCTCTCTCTCTCTCTCTCTCTCTCTCTCTCTCTGCATCAGCACGCACTCATGATGGCTGGATCTTGGTTGTACACTTTGCCATTGACTGTGTTTCTTCTTGTTTGCACTGTCCTGATGTGGTTCTTGAAATGCCGGTTCACTTGCTCTTGGACCACAGTGTCTTGATTGTTGTAGAATGTGCGTGTAAAGTCTGTGAATGCATCCCATTTGTCTCGTGTTACGGGATAAGGAATTTCCTTGTGTGTAATCCATGCAATGTATTGTGAGAATCTATATGTTCATTTATTTAGCTTGTAAATAGACCACAATCAAGGAGAAGCGAAACTTGCCCTCCACTCCAATGCCAGAAATTACTCAGGGTCACTATATATGATATGATACACAATGATGAGCAGTTTAAAAATAAATTTCTTATTATATGTAAACCTTACTAACGGCCGTCATGTTTCTTTTGGCAATTGCGTCCAAGAGGTAATCCAGACCTTGGAACATGTTCTCGTTGTATTCGCCTAAATTTGGCTGTAGGCTTGGTCTCATTCGATAAGGCTGGTCATCCGGTCCTTCAGATGAAGCCATAATACGCACATTATTCACTCCCATTTCCTGCAACTGGTCCAGTTCGCAATTCAATCGACTTTTGTCTCCACCATGCGCTGATTCAGCTGCAAGGTTGATGCCCTGCCAGTAATTGGCCCCTCTAATAAAGTAAAGTCGGTTGCCTTGGTAAAATTGCCTATCCCTGACAGTAATAAAAGTCATTGTGTTTTCGCAAGAAAATAAAAGAAAGGGGGGGGGGGAAATAAGGGAGAATGAGAGAGAAAGAGAGAGGGGAAAAGCCTAGCATGAAACAAGTTGCTGGTTACACACTGTGTGATCCATACAACATAGTGTAATAGGGCTCATTTCAAACACTACTAATTGCCATCATAGACACTCAACCCTTCAACTTGGTACATTTGGTATAATCTTGTTTTTTATAAATTTCAATAGTGTAAACTAAATATCGGTTGGTAGTAGTTCCTTTTATCTTCTATGCAACAATGACAAGATGGCTATTTACATGGCATATTTCCCTTAATTATTCCCATAATTCAGAAAACATGATTTCGCGGTAGTCCTTCATTTTCTGCTTCAACACACGCTTCAGCACTGTACGGAAATTGCCAAGCGTTTCATCCAAATCCCAGCGCTCGTCATTCTTTTGATTTTTCTATGAGTACAACAGCGTGAGTGGAAATGACATGCGTGTCTCCGTGAACCAACTTACATATAGCACGTCCATCATCACATCGGGGTATTGGTACAGACTCTTCATGTAATGCAAGCAGAACACACCACAGTCTGTAAAGTTGTCTTGGCCAGGACATGGCGCCATTACAATCTCTGGAGCCAGAAAATCGGTTTCCTCAATGTTCAGTTTGGAGATGGCTTCCTTCTTGAGATACTGCACGACACACTTTGCTGTAGTTTGCTTGTTTAGTCCAAGAGGATCCAGTGCCATGATATAAGGTCTAATCAATGCAACATCGGTTACTGATGTGTGTATACACAGTCTATGCAACCAACTTACTTATTTGGATTCAGAGCAACTCCAGCAGTGATGATCTTTCGTCTGGTCGGCTTGGGACTTGGTTCCTGCTTTGGTAGATCAGGAAACGCATCGTGATACTCCAACCCCTTGGATCCTTGGATGCAGTAGCCTGGATTCGTCACCAGCAGTATAAACCAGTGATTGTTCTGAGCCACAGGAATGATAATGTACTGTTTCTTGAAGATGTCTATAGATGATGTCCAGCGCTGAACGAGGTCGTAATGAATACTGCTGTAGGTGCCGGCTAATTTGGTGAAAAAAAAGGAGCTGAAGGTGTAGATGGAGGCGTCTGCGTACTCATCAGCCCAGATCTTTGGGAAAATGTCAATCAGGGTATCATTCAAGTAGGTTTCATCTTCTAAACGCTCAAAATCCCTTTCGTATACTGTAATTGACTTTTTCTTGTTGAAGGGATAGTTCAAAATGTGTTCATCAGAGCCTGTGGGTTCAATGACATAATCGTCAATGGGGTCTGGCGATAAAGATCGTTTTACTAGCTGCTTGGCGGCAGGCTTGGGTGAGGGAGTTGTACTGTTGTCTTTGTCTGCTGCTGCTGCTATCTTGCTGGCCGATGTTTTGTCCTCCTCTTCCTCCTTGTCTATCTCATGTTCAGGGTAGAATTGCTCTTTTCCAATAACGTATTTCTCTCCCACCTTTTCTTTGCTATCGCTTGCCTTCATTCTGGAATGCAGTATCAGCTGTGATTGATCAATGTCTGACTTTTCGGCGTGCACCCCTGGCTCTTGCGGCTCTTCCTCCTTCTTTGATGATTTCGTTGCTGGCTCGCTGGCTTTTGGCTTTGCAGACGCATTGGTGGGCTTCTGGAGCTCGTGTCTAAAGTACTCTTGAAAATCGTGTCCACGAGTTGATAGTCTGAGCATATCTTCTATCGAAGTACCAGCTGGCAAACTGTTGAAAGGCTTGCTGGGAGTAATGTTCAAGGGCGAATTGGCTGTCTTTTTTCGAAGGAAGGATCGAGGCTGTGGCAAGACGAAATCACTAGCGTACTCTTCAGGATCAGGCTGTATCAATCTTCTCTTCCTCGGCTTGTCTTCGCTGTCAGAATCGATCTCAATCACAGCTTCCTTCTGTTGCTGCTCCTCCTTCTTTCTGGCGGGTGCGAGTCGTGAACTTGTTCGTGTTGGTAGTGGCTTCTCTACTCTCTACATGACGCAATGTCAATCAATCTTTACTACTAGGCAGTGTCAATGCTCTGCCATACCTCTGTGCGTCGACTCTGGCTCTTGGTGTGCATTTGACCTACAACCAAAAGATTAATAAGATGGGCCTCTACAATTCATGTATGCTTTTACCTATCAGTTTCTGTTTTGTGGCGGTTTTGTTCATGACTTTGACTTCCTATTGCATGCTTATGAGATGGTGCTCGTTTTCAATCAGAGAAAGCACTTACAGTGTAGCTATTGCTAGGCACCTGGATTGGATTCCCTTTTGTCGATGATCTCTTTGAGTTCCTTGAAGTGCCAACATTGGGAGTGTCGGTTTCTCGATGCAAACGTCTCTGAAAGAAAGAAGGCATTAGTGTGATGAGCTTCAGCACAATGTCAGTCATGCAAGCTACCTTTTGGTCTTGCTCAGATCTTCGCATATGAATAATTGCAATTAAGGAAAGGAAAAAAAAAAAAAAAAGGTGCAAAGATGATACATTGTGCATTTTGAGTGAAGGTTTTTATTTGGTTTTATTAACGCGTCACTTTAGATAATGAATTTAGGCAGTACTGATAGATGTCGAATGGGCTCTGTATCGTGTAACTCCAAGGCATAGAGCAAACACGACTTGACTCTGTCATAGTCACCTTGCTGCTTCTTTGCTTGAGCATACTGATACCACGCTTCAGAGGAGTCCCATCCCAAACCCAGCGTAATTTGCTCCAAAAGTCCCAGGGCCAGATCAGGTGTCAAGATGCCTGCTTTAGCAACCTGACTAGGCACATGGTCAGGATCAAGTATCAATGCCTTTTCAAATGAGTCAGTGGCAACCTGCTTCATTTCACGAATCGCCTTGCCATCTTCCACGCTTAATTTCTTCTTCTGGCTGATCATGTCGCCCACCTGGATGCTCAATTGACCGAGATGCCACCACACATTGGGATCGCCCAGACCGAGTTGCTCAGCTTCACCCAGCGCCTTGTTGGCTTCCTCCAGTAGATTGGCCTTCATAAAGGTCTTGGTAGACATGAGCCACAGTGTTACCAGTAGACTGTGCCAGCGCGTCTTTTTGCGCAACTCAAATGCCTGATGGTGTTGATGGAATGTGCTGACCATGAGTCCATCTTTGGTGACCACATTGTTGCGGCCTGCTAGCACTGACGAGGATCTGCTACTGACACTGTTGCTTCGAAGACTTCCCATTGAGTAGGATGGCGTGAGCATAGAGGCCAATGATACTGCACCCTGGCTTGATTCATTTGTAAAGAAGGATCTACTGCTGCCATTGTGCTTTGCAGGATTAGCAGCAGCTGTGCCAATACGTCGAGCCAAGCCCAAATCAATGAGCTGCAGACTACGCTTCTTGAGCTCGGCTGCTTGTTGCTGTTGTTGTGCTACTGACTTGAAGGTAGGTTGGCGCTGCTTTTTGAGACGACGCGAGTAGGATGATTGTCTTGACGCGTTTGAGTCGTCCGAGATATCATCTGTATCAGACTCTGCACGACGGGCAAGCGATGGCGGTTTGACGCTGCTTTTGGATTCAACAGAGGAAGATCTTGGACGGCCACTTGCTTTGATGCTGGAGCTGCTACCACCACCATTACCAGTGATGCTATTGGCGATGGATGTCAACGATGTACGCCTGATCAAAGAGATGCTGGATTTTCGTCGAGGACGTTGGAGAGTAGAGGACGTGCTGATGCCACTGCTGGTAAAGTCAATGGGTGTGGTTGGTGTCGACATCGCTTCCAAGAGGCCTAATTGCTGCGTCAGTTGAGCATACAGACTGAACAAGTCTTGGTACTGATCTATTACACTCTCAGGACCATCTTTTGCCTCCAGCAGGGCCAACTGAGACATGCGCATGGATATCAACGACTCTGCTCTTTCAAAGACATCGTTGGCATTCACCTCCTCTTTGGTCCAAGAGTAGACGGGTATAGCACCAGGGGACCACATGGATTGTTGCTTTTCGGCTACCTGAAGACCCAATTCCAATGTTTGAGAGGCCAGCGACAAACGATCTGTTCTCTTGCAAGAGTACAGCAAGGACAAAAGATGCCATGAAGAAGCGTAGTGAGGGTTGAGCTCGATTGAACGACGGATGGACACAATAGCAGCATGTGTGTCTCGCATGTAGGCTTGCTGGAGACCCAGTGTGTAGAAGCTCTTCCAGCAAGCACGGTTGTGTTCAGCAGCATTTTGCAAGCTAGTCAAGGCTGTTTGATGATGAGAAACGCGGTCGTTAGGATCCTCGCATTGCGATGCCAGCAAGCTGTAAGCACAGCCGCGAGCACGGTACATTTCGGTCCAGTACGCCTTGTGCTTTGACTGCAACAGCAGATCCAGACCCATATCAGAGAGGTGTGCTGCAAGTTTGCCATTCTGCTCCTCGTGGCCATACAAGTAAACACCTGCGAGAAGAACGGAAATGACTGAATCAATGGTTTCATCCTCCAGCTCTGTTAAACGGTGTAGAATGGCGATAGACTTGGCAGTGGTGGTCAGTGGTGGTGCAATTGATGTAGCAGAATCTTTTTCATGAGGATCGTGTGTTGCATCAGATGCCTCGGTGGCACTGCCCACAAAGACATCATCGAGCAGGATGTCCTGGTCAAAGTCAGGCACTCCGACCAGATCAAGGTAAGCACGCAGAGCATACTTGGACTCTTCCAGGCTTCCCAAGCGTAGCAATGTAAAGAAGATGTATCGACTGATGGTAGGGTTGTTGAAAGTAACCGCCTTGACTTGATACAGATACTGTGAGAGTGTGAGCAGCATAAACTATTGTTAGTGTCAAATGTACACAATGCTTACTTGTAACACTCTTCGTATACAGTAGTCGCTCTATATAAGGCTACTTTTTTGGCGAGGTTTTTTTAGCCTTATTGCCCGCATAGCCTTAACTGGCGCGCGTGACTTCTGTCAAAAAAGTCGTGCGCGTAGAATCTATTACTATAATAGTTGATCAAATAAATCAACTTGATACCTCCCCAGTAACATTCATTTATCTGTTTATTTTACTTCTATTGAACGTAATATCCTATCATGTGCCTTAATCAAAGATCAAGAGATCGCCTCACAATCGAGCAAAAGTATCGCATTATTATGCACAACATGCACTTTCCTAATCTGACGCAAATGCAACTCGGTCAATGGGCTCAAAAGGAATTCAACCTTCATCACTCAGTCAAGCAAAAAACTGTATCGAACGTCTTGAATTCACAGGACAAGGTGATCAAAGCTTACGAAGGAGGAAATTTGAAGGGAAAAAGCAGCAGAGCCTTGACGATGCCACAATTGGACAATGACATTTTGGAGTACATTCAAGCCATGAATGCAAAATCTCTTCCTGTCAATCGTGGAACTATTGCAGCTTTTGCAAAAGTAGTCGCACACAGAAAGTACCGCATGCATGAATTGCCAAAGAATAAGCAAATCCATTTCTCAGATGGATGGCTAACCGATGTTTTCAAGAGAATTGGTGTCAAGTCAAGACATTTATATGGTGAAAAAAGCTCAGTCGACTTAACATCATCTAAGATTGTCGAAGAACTCAGAAAGATTGAAGAATTGTTGGAGCCATATGATCCCAAAGATATTCTCAACTTTGATGAAACTGGCTTATACTACGAGCAACAACCAACTCGCACCATTTGTCAGGAACCTTTAGGTGGTTCAAGAAAAAGCAAGAACCGATTCACAGTTGGACTAATCACCAACTATGATGGATCCTATAAAGGGCACCCCATTGTAATTGGGAAACGAAAGACACCAAAGGCAGCAAACAAAAAACCTGCTTTGTACAGAAGAACCACCAACATCGGGCAATCCCATTACGTGGAGTACCATTCATCTCCCAATGCATGGATGAACACCGACATCTTTAGGAAGTACGTAAAACGTTTGAATGCGTCTTTCGTTTACGCCGGAAGAAAAGTTGCTCTCTTGGTTGACAATGCTTCAGTGCATAAATTGAAAGAAGAATTCAGCAATATTAAGTTGATTTTCCTTCCAGCAAACACAACAAGCAAGTTGCAGCCTTTGGATGCCGGTAAATCAACAAATTTCATTGATATACGTACTCATCTCTAATCACACACTCGATAGGAATCATTGCGAACTTCAAGGCTCAGTTTCGTTGGCACCAATACTACAGGGCAGTGAACAAGTATCTTGCTGGGGTAAGCCTTGATCTTACCGAGGAATACAGAATGGATGAGGTGGATGCTCTGTATTTTCTTGCTGATTCTTGGATCAAAGTTAAGCCTCAAACAATCCAAAATTGCTGGGATCATACGAAGATCCTTGATTTTAAGTTTGCTCAGAGACAGAGAGTCGACTCGGAGGATGTACTCCCATCTTTCGAGCTACCTTTAGACGATGATCTAGTCAGCCAGTTGAACGAAATCATCCCTGAACTTCCTGGAAACAGAAGTAATGATGGGGTTCAATTGGTAACTGAAGTAAACGACTTGGATCTAAATGCAGATGAGTCTGATGCAATCGTTTTTAATCCCGTGATTGTTGAATTTGAGGATGGCGATGATGTTACCCATGGATCACAAGAGCTTGAGGTAGAGGAAGAACCAGTAGAGATTTACGATGTTGATACGAAGGAGATAAGAGAGAAGTTGAAGCATGCGTATGAAACTATCTTGTACCATACCATCCCAATGGATGAAAAAGAAAAGTCTATGCTGAAAACTATCCGTAGGAATCTGAACGATATCAGATCGGAGGAAGTAGCAGAGAAAAATCAAACAGATTTACGTGATTATTTTGTTTAAATGTGTTATTTTTCAATAAAAGCTATATATTTTTTATTATCTGATTGGCCTTAAATTCAATCTCAGCGATCACCACTATGAAATAAGGCTAAAATTTTTAGAATCTGTAGCCTTATATAAAATTAGGCTATTAAGGCTAAATAGCTGGTAAAAAAAAAAAACCTGAAAAATTTCAGCCTTATTCCCCGCATAGCCTTATATAGGACGGCCTTATATAGAGCGACTACTGTATGGCTGATTTCACTCCATCCAATTGTATCATGCGAGCTCATCATTATGTGCGAGAGAGATATTCCATACTGGCTTTGGGATTTGGAAGATAGATGAGGTGTTATAATGGTAAACAAGTGTCTGAACAAGGTCATCAAGGTTGCCAGTTCTTCAAACGCGGCTGCTTCATTGGATAAGCTATCATAAAACACATGCATAAATAAACACACTACTGGCTATTCATGTATAGACAACTTGCCTGTTGTTTTCTGATACAGTGAAAGTGCCGTTTTGACAAGTTTTCACAAGATATTCGGCGTAAAACTTGAATATAACCCATCGTCTAAACATGCGCCAATGTGGACTCCAATGCGATGATACCAATTGAACATAAGCACGCATCATTGTCAGTGTTTCCTTGACAGGATGACTATGAAACAGTCAGCTTTCCTTGTATGCTATTAGTCTGTTGCACCTACTTTAATTGCAGTCGAAGGAGACATCCTCTATAGAGACATTCTTCAATCCAAAAAGACAGCATCACCCCTCTTTCCTGGGGCTGTAGCTCCACTGCTTGCCACGCAGCCTCGTATGCCTCGATGGCAGCCTCTGGTTTGTTTTGCTTCTCCAAGCAGATGCCCTTGATGGCTCTTGCCTGTACCAGCAAGACGAGGCCATAGCCTGTTTCAACATCCTCAACACGTAAAGCCAAATTCTGCAATGCAGCCAATGCTAAATCGTATTGCCCAGACTCAAAGTAGATTCTAGCCAACAAAATCTTGGAAAACTATGGCACCCAATTAATGCCGTGCCTACACCTGTACCAAGCAAAAAGAGCAAGTGCTTACCTGCGCTTGCCAGTTATCGGTGTTATTGAGATCCACTTGATCGTTTTGATCCACATTTAGGAAATCAAGCCGAGCGACCAGATGTTTGACCTTGCTTGACTCGATGACAGGCAACAAGGCAATGTTCTGAGGGGAATCGTGCTGATGGATAATGTCCCAGCCTCTCTTCTCGATGTCTGTAGTGGATTTCAGCAGCTTGATGAGATCTACCTCTGTGCAAATGGTGATATCGAGCACTGGTGTACAAACAGTGAGCAGCATGAACGTTGCCACATTTCTACGCTGCGTTTACCTGAGTCTTGTGGTTTGATCTTTTTGTATTTTTTCGACAATTCCATAGCGGTAGACCATTGTGCTCTACAACGAGCCAAGTCGATTTCTTGCAGCAGTTGATTCGCCTTTTGATCCATCGAGATATATTGAATAAAGAAATGCAAACTATCAGCAGGATCTCACACAATTTATACGAGGAATCTCGGGCCACATTTCGCAATATTGCACGTGTAAAGTTAGTCAAAGTATTTCAACCAAAACAGGATTTCTGTGAAATTCATATTTTTTTTTTTATTAAGTATGGATGTGTATATCTGATTGTGTGTTTATGCTCCTCTCTTCAAGTTGTTGGATAACCATTCCAAACCCTCATAAAGACCATCACCTATACAAGAATAGCAACAATCAGTCAATCTGCCCTGTGATGAAAACCACAATATATAAAATGACTTACCGCTGGTAGCACAAGTGGTCTGGATGTACCAACGTCTGTTTCTCAACGAATGAAGGCCAAGCTTATCGGTGATTTCAGCAGCATTCATGGCATTGGGAAGATCTTGCTTGTTGGCAAATACCAACAAGAGCGCGTCGCGAAGTTCATCTTCATTCAACATGCGTTGGAGTTCATCACGAGCTTCTGAAATACGATCACGATCATTGGAGTCGACAACGAAAATGATGCCTTGAGTGTTTTGGAAATCTAAAATGGAGTTGAGTAAGATAGGTCCGCTCATGTACATCACAAGAGCTCCTTGCTTGACCAATAAAAACCAACGCTACTTACAATGTCTCCAGAGAGGACGAATCTTATCTTGTCCTCCTACATCCCAAACAGTGAATGAAATGTTCTTGTATTCAACAGTTTCGACATTGAAACCTATTTCATCGAGTCAGAAAAAAGACGCGTCATCTCTTGTGTGCTTTACATACCAATAGTAGGAATAGTAGTTACGATTTCACCCAACTTGAGCTTGTACAAGATGGTGGTCTTACCGGCGGCATCGAGACCGACCATGAGGATACGCATCTCTCTCTTGCCAAAGAGGTCATTGAATAACTTTGAAAAACTTAAACCCATTTTTTTTTTTAATATGAATAGAGAATAAAGAAAAAGAGGGAAGGAGAGAAATGGAAAGAAAAAGAATCCAAAAATATGAAGAAATTTTGGGCTGCAGCTTAATTCCTACACAGCACTGTCCATTGAGCCCTTGAGAAAAGGTACAGGCTGGCTGAGGGTTTTCACTCTCAGGTCATCGTTTATCGAGCCAATCAACATTTTCCACTTGGGTTTGGTTGAATATAACAGTAATCTTGGCTATTTCAATTTGAACGCATTGATGAATTCATGAGAAGCAATGTTGAGAATCTAAAGTATCTCTGTAGTGGATGAAAGCTTCAGGACCACTCTTTCAAAATCACCCGAGAATCCACAGAATCCTCTGATCGGATGGGATATGGTGGTCGTCATGCTGTTGTGGCTGTATTTTGGTCATCTGCCTGATCATAACCTTGTTTATTACCGTAATCATATAAAAAAAGCATTATGACTATCCCTGTCTATATTCATTTCATGAATGCTCTAGAAATGATGATCCTTGGTTAATCTTGTTGATGTGGTCTGTCATGCCGCATATTTGAACTTGAGATACAATGCTGCTCCATCTTGCTCAAGCTTCCTCCTAATGCAAATCATAGAGATCTGCTGAGAAATATTGGTATTCTCCAAAAAATGTATGAGAAAAAGTGGTTGTTCTGAGCATGTACAAGTAAGGTGGTGAGAGATGAAACAAATTTTGGCATTTACAATCAACCAATGCAGTGAGATCTGTTGGTAGACCAGAGAGAGGAATTATTAGGCTTCTATAAATACGAATACCTGGACATTGGGTAGTTCTCATTGTGTAAATACTGCCATTCAGTGTAATCATGCTTTCATGCTGATAATTTAGCATCTCCCCTTCAATGTCGTCTCAATGCCTGCTAGCATTTTGGGCTCCACAGAAGGGGAAAAACTGGACCAGCGCTGTCAAGCCACCCAAAAAAAAAAAAGTAAATGAAAAAAAAAAAAAGATACAGTTCGATTTTTTAACTCTATTTTATCACAACTTTTTGAACCATGTCTGATAGGTAAACATGCAGATCAATAGACGTATGAAGAGCTGATCCACTCATCTACAACTTGCAACATCTAGTAACAGAGCCATCCCTGCCCCCGTCTATGTGTCCGAAACTCTGTTGAAAAAGAGAAAGGCCAACGAGAAGGGTGCCGCTGTCAAGGCCAGACAAAGACTAGAGTTGAAAAAGGTAATCAAGATATCTACCTCTGAACATTGGATCCGACATTAATGCCACTTTGAATAGACCAAAAAAAACCTTAGAAAGACACAATTCAAGCGTGCGGATGAATTTATTCGCAATCGTCGTATGGTGGACAAGCAAGGTAAACGTCTTCGCTCCATATCCACTGGTAAAAGAAAGGGATCCAACAAGAAGGGTGACGGAAAACTCTTGTTTGTTGCTCGCATCAAGACAGAAAACTCAATTCACCCTCAAATCAAAAAAGCACTCACCAAGCTTCGCTTATTGAAGATGAATTCTGGTGTATTCGTTGTGTGTGATGATGAAACTGTCAAGGATTTGCAAAAGATAGAGCCATATGTCACTTATGGTGTTCCCAGCTTGAAGACTGTCCGTGATTTGATCATGAAGCGTGGTGCTACTATGATCCAGGGCGTTCGCACCCCTCTTTCTGACAACACTATGATTGAAGAAGCTCTCGGCAATGCTGGTGTCATTTGTTTAGAGGATATTGTTCACGAAATTATTCAACGTGGCGACAACTTCAACACTGTATCAAAGTTCTTGGTACCATTCGAGCTGAATGATCCCGTCAAGGGCTGGCGTCAAAAGAAGTTGAAGGAAATTGTTGAGAGAGAAAACGAAGAAGAGAATGCTGAGGATGACATTAACAAGTTGGTTGAAGCTATGAATTAGAATTTAGACTTTTTGTATATTTTTCACTATTACTATCCCCCCTCTTATTTTATTCTTCAATCGCACTACAACATCAGCACTCTATCCAAGTATTATCTGTTTATTTCTCTTATCCCACTGTTATTATTAAAATTTTGTATTATGCATCGTCCTTGAATCAATTTTGATGGAATTTAGTATGCTGGAAGTAGTTTATTATGTGTTTTGCACTGTATGAACGGGCAGTAGCATTTCCAAGTAGGTAAATAGTAGGGCGAACAGGCCAAATCGTCCAATGACTTTCTTAATGATGGATCACAGCATGAAGAATTAGTTCAAAGTGCTATCCATTGTCTTTTAATTCACATTAACATGGAAAAAGCAAAGGGGATCAATGCACGCTGCTGTATCACGTCGAGAAACATAACATTACCTACCGCAAAGTCACTGGTGGATCTTCCCATTGGCCCAGTGTGCCCAGCACTTACTGTACAGAAGTTATATAACATTTGAAAGGCTATATAAAAAAGAATAAACAAGTCAATGTAATAATATCTGTTACAGGAACGTTTAAATTTACGTGTTAGGAGTAAAAGCATGTATCAAAAGCATTAGAATGTGCTCAGACCAAATGATGGTGCTTTCAAGTCTCAATCCCGTTCTTGATACCATCAGAAGCATGTGCTACCTTTATAATGAAAACGCATTAAAGCTGGTGGCAAGATATGGAAATGCCACTCAACCTATCCTCAAAATACGACAGATTCTGGTTAAACTCGACTCATGTTATAACCGTTATGTACCTATAGCCTAAGACTTATAGATAGTTTAGTTATTATGTAGATGGAAGGATGTCTGTAAGGAACAGCAAATATAGATATCATCATAACATAATAAATGTTTTTATAAGGAAGTGAACACTTCTGTTTTAAGTCCTTAAATCGTCAACATAATAAATGTTCAGTCCCTAAACACTTTTACAACTCTAATATGGAAACTGAGTTGCCAGGCATTTGTCAGGCATGGCTCATATATGATTAGAGATCTATATTAAATCAGAATCATACAACAACAAAGTTTTTTCTGACATTTTAGCTATAGTAATTTTGCGATATAAGCCAAAGGCCCGCGGCAGCGCTAGCCGTTTGAACGTAGGTTGTTCTCCACCAAAGCGAAGCGTAGGTCAAGAAACAACCCGAATGATGAATTCGTAATAATAAGTCGATGATAATAATCAGTTGTCAACTGTATCTAAAACGAAAGCAAAGAGCTTCTTTATTACAGGGCATCTAGCTTGCTTAAATATGGTAGATCCCTGGTCAATGACTACTACGTTGAGATGGTACATAAATAGCAGGCCACTGGGGCCTTATGGATTGTTGGTATAGCTTGTTGAGAGGCCACCTAAGTCGATATGTTTCATGTAGTGTAGGTGGATCTCGATATCTTGACATTGGGGAGATTGAATGTACTGTAGTTCCTGAGGCACCTGTGCACACACAATTGACTGGACTTGTAAACATAGATGTGATGTGATACGATAAACATCATCTATGCTGCTACACTGTAAAAGGTGGCTTGAGGAGAAAGTGAATGTAGCCTAAGATGCACGCTTGTATGCAACACCGAAGAGTCGAAAGGCTCGTAGTAGTAATAGATTTATAATAGAAAGAAGCTAAATCTATTGAAGAATAATATTTATGTAAGCCTGTTGTGTTTATAATTAATATTATTTTTTTTGGAGGTTCCAAAAAAAAAATTGGGTTCCCAGCAAAATTGGAACCCGATTGGAGTGATAACTTTTGTTATAAGCCAATACTTTGTCAAATAACAATTGTTATTGATCTTTGGGTTCCAGTTTTCGTTCCAAGTGTGTATATTTGACATTTACATAAAAAATATTAGGATTTAATACATTCTAATGATATGTGCGTTATCCAAGGCCTTATCATAAAAAATACATGTATTCTTTTGGTTAATTAACACCTGAAAGAACTTTTTTTTTTCGCTTTTAGTTTGTACTTATGTTCCTGAAATTTAATCAGAAACCCACTCTTTCTAGAATTTCAAAGGTATAAAGCTTTTTTTTTTTTCAAAATGAAAACTGTGTGTCTGATCTTTTTGCTTTATTTATAGAAAAGCAAAAGCTCACGTTGAAGAAAATGAAGTGCCCCATTCATTAATTATTGAAAGTTTTGCGCCTGAAATACAAGAGCAGCTTTCCAGCATCAACCGAAGTATAGCAAATACAATGCGAGAATTGAAAGAACGTCAAAAGAAGTCGGATGAAATCCAGCAGCAAATGCAAAAAGTGTTTGACAATATAGTCACCGGAAAGCAGCAACTGCAACTGTCTTTTAGAATGGACCAAGGGAACCGAGCAGTAGCGACAACAGGCGCTGTCGCAAAAACCTCTGCCTTGCCAAGATCAGAAGATGTATCGCAATCAAAACAATTTTCGGAAGAATCCCAACAAAGCCCACCACCACCAGGTTACAACAACACCGCAGTTGCAACTATTTCACTTACATACAATCAAGAAGGTGTACCGTTATACAAAATGAGTCGACAAGTGACAACTGTGTGTGATCTTTGGGACGAGTGGACAATAGGTCGAGATGGATTCTGGTCTGTTCAAGAATTAGAAGACAAGTGGGGCGCTAAATGGAGAAAAGACGACAGAAAATGGTTCAATATCCGTAAAAAAATCATTGATTCCGTTGAAGACCTTCAGCTGGATCTTGGTCTCTCCCCCACTTCTGCTGTAGGCGCCCTACAAAAGGTGCTCAACACTCGCCACTGGTCTTTGGATCGCTTGGGCACCGAGCTCCAAAAAGGCGCTTTTTTTCCTTACGAAGAAACGAAAAGAAGAAAATTGCAACACTTCTAGCTGAGCCTTTTTTACCATCAATAGTTGCATTTTCATTAATAAATATCTTTGTTTTCCTGTGGATTTTGTAAAAATCGCTTAAAATGTGTTATGTAAATCTGGGTCCCAAAATAGCAGGGAACCCCAAATGGCACCCACTACTGAGAGTTGGTAAATAATCCTTTATTACATTTTACCAGATTGAACCTGAGCAACCGCACAGACAGATCAAACTTTATCACGTGATACCACGGGATCCAAGTAGTAGGGCATTACTATGTGGTAGAAATAAACCTTGACTCTCAGGCCATTGTTGGTTGGGATTAGCGATAGAATGCGTTTGCCAAACGTAGGATACGCGGTTAAAATCTAGATAAACGCAAGAATTTTGACAGCACAAAGAATGACAAAACACAAGCCGCATTATGTGCCCTCCTCTGGACACTGCCCTCTCTAGTCAACAAATATTTTCTCATTTGCACACTCTTTGTTGTGCCAGAAGGGCTACAACTGTCTATAAAGATTAAGGTATTCTTGATGGGTAGATATGTCTGTGTTGTGCAACAACATGGACAAGCTATGATAATTGAGGTGCATCTCAGCTATCTAAATTGTTGTGATTTATCAGAAATAAATTATTTATAAAAAGAGTATGAAATTAATCAGGTAAAGAATATCGTTTATTACATTGGAAATAAGAGGGTTTATATACTATTCGAATTGAGGGATTTGATGTGAGGATAAGGTATTAGATGGGTTGATTTGGGTGATAGGATAATAGATCCAATCTATTATCCTGAACATGCCATTATTCGGATCGTAACTGAATCCTGTTTCATGTCAAAGTTAATGATTTGATGTGATCTGTGCTTTAACTAATTGCTCCTACGCATTTGGAGATCCGGTTTAGAAATGACACATCATGTTGTATCCAAAGATACATGTTAAGCACAAAGAATAAAAGGATTATTATTTGTAGCTTATAAAAAATGTTCGATATTATAAAAACAAGAAAAGACTTATTTGAATAAGATCAGACACAAAAACTAAAGATTTATTGATGAAGACAAGAGTTATTCTATTTATACTAAGTTCTGAATGCCAAAGTAGCAATTTATCTTGTACAACGCTTATCACATCTGGTGAACCTCAGCTTTTACGTAGCTGAGATGCACCTCAATTATCATAGCTTGTCCATGTTGTTGCACAACACAGACATATCTACCCATCAAGAATACCTTAATCTTTATAGAGAGTTGTAGCCCTTCTGGCACAACAAGATCATTACTGATGAATCATCAATCTATCTTGTTGTTTCAACTGAGTCAGTACATCGTATCATGTTTATCTAATATCAGTCAATTGAAGGATACGATTCGTTCGACCAGCCATAATGATACGATCTGTAGCCATCATTATCCTTCACTATCAGAGACCATCATAATCGATTATATGATTCACTTCTGTGTCGAACATAATGTCCTAACGTAGACAGTGAGAAACAATGTAAATCATGATCCGACTCTTGCTGAGTTACTGAATGTCCGCAACCGCTACAGACTCAACAGCATTTTTTTTTACTGTAGCACTACGGCCCAACTGATGTTCTCATGAGAACATTGATGCGCTCATATGAGAATCTATTTGATGTTCTCAAATGAGCACATCGATGTTCCCGAAATGTGAAAAATGCTCTCATATGAGAACATCGGCGTTCCTAAAGATCTATTATAAGTCGGCCGATGTTCTTATGAGAACATCCGAAATGTTCCCATGTGAGCACATCCATATTCTTATATGAGCACATCGATTTTCAGAAATTTGAAAAAAAAGAATGCTCCTAACGGGGTCGAACCCACAACCTATCGGTTGTGGATCTGACGTTCTTCCCACTAAACTACTCGAATATCTTAATGAAATATATTCTTTTATTTTAATAAGTAGTTATTAGGTAATTTTAAATTGCCATTTTCTCGTGCAATATATAATACGTTTAGTAATTTTATGAATCTTACAGATAATAAAAGTCTCTCTGTTGCCTACAATATTATAGTTTAGCTATTAAAACCATTTTATTCATGTGGAAAACTACACCTTCTCAAATGAGAACATCAGTTGGGCCGTAGTGTAGCTTACTTGCTTGCTAGCTGCTGAGCTATATATATATATATGTAGATAAGCATCTCTATAGGGAAAAATGAGGCACTTGCTATGCTCATATGCTCACATCATTCCATTTGCTTGGCTCTTTTTGCTTGTGCACTGAAAGGCTCGTGCACTCCCATTAGTAACCTAAATCTGTAATGGCAAGTGGTAAATGCATGAAATCATGTCGAGTATTTATTCTTGAATGTGTCATTTGGCTCACGCAATGACCTTTTCTTGCTAAGGTCTATATATAAAAAGACTTGCTGTAGTATGTTTATACTCCAAATGTGTTTCACACTGTTTTAGGTCCCTGGAACTAGTATATTATCCCCTCCTGGATCTGTCTGATCTGTTTCATATAAGAAACGGTCTTTACAAAACGAGAAGGAAGAGGCAAATCCGAGCAAAAGCCACCCTATCAAGAAGAGATCAGTGCAGGTGCCACGTTTGATCTAGCTCCTTACTGGTGTCCTCTTTGAACTACTTTCCATCATCACCATGACTCAAAAAGCGGCATAGTCGGCACCCCCCCAACTTTTTGTCAATACATGATGCTGTTGTACTGTATAAGGTCTCATTTGCCTTCATGCTCTCTGTCAACGTGTGTAGTATGCATTTTCTTCCGGCTTAAAGGAGTCTTTATGTTGGAGGTACGTATTTGTCAAGCATAGGCTATGCCACATATGATGTTTGTAAAAAAAAAAGCATGGTATGTTTTCCCTGTCAAAATAAACAAATGCATGTGATTGACTTTATAGGCTTGTCGCTTTATCGACGTCCGTCAGCAACAGTCAGTATATTGGACGCTACTGATTCAGTATTTGATCGTGTTTGATATCTAAAGTAATATATAATAGCGTAAAGTATTAGAGACTGATGAATATGAGAAAAGACGACAAAACTCACAGTGATCTTCCAATATTATCCTTCTGTACTGGTTATCAAAGAGCTACTATAATAAAAATATCTGCGTCAACAATGTCAAAATCAACCATGCCGAAGCGATCATTTGCAAAAAGCTTTATAGTTTTGGAGGAAGAGAAGATATAGGTGGCAAGGATAGCTCCATGGTCTGACAGCTGTCAGAGAGGCATTGGGCTTGTTGAGCATACTAAGCGTCCTGTACACCTCAACCATATTAGGTGCGACTTTTGTTTATGCATTTCTTAGATTTGTTCTTTCCTTTAGTAACTGGACTCGCGCAGAGTCCCTTAAAAAATGACTACAATATAAATGCATACTCTGATCTTTGAAATCAATGTAGCCCATTTTTGCAGCAATTTTAGACGACAATAATGTAGTGCAATTGAAAAAAATTGACCAAGGATTGAATGACAAATAACATTCATAATATCAAAACCATTTATTTAAATATGCTTTCAGTCATAATCAATGAGACTAGTCAAACGTTGCTCTTCTTAGCTTCTCAAATCATAGAATGATTTGATACTGACAGGATTAACCTCGAGAAGGTGAGAGCGCTCTAATCCCAAAAAGTGATAATTGTGGCTTTCACCACGGTGAGGTGATTTATACATTCGCTTGTAAATGGCATCTCCAGAACAAGTTCACTTGGCAGCACTACCACCCCCCACTCTCCCGAGGCAACTCAGGCATGGAAGCTCGCGGTACACAAATAGGGTGGCCTAAGTTGTTTTTGGTCATTTTTTTCGAACTCCCAAAACCTTAAATACGCCCATCTCTTGAGTTTGCCGTTCTGCATAATTTTTCTTAAAAAAAGTGCAAATCTAGTGTAAGGAGTTGTAATGACAGATATTATCGCTACCGTTCAATACCTGTCAAAAAGAAGACTATATATATATATATATATATGTATATATAAATGATGCTAATGTTTCAATCATGCGGATTGAAACGTATGTAAGGTGAATCACTACATCTAGCTGCTTCTTCTGCCACTGTTTGCTCCTTCAATTTCTCCTCTCGTCTCTTGACATACTCTCGCTTCTTTTTCAAATCATAAGCAAATGGTGGCATAACAAATGTAATCAAAACAAGTTGTAGATTGATAAGAAAGGAAAGGATGTGAGAACACATTGTCAGCAGATCAAGGGTGGCCAATGCTGTAGTATACTTTGGCCACCCTAAAAGGGTGCGAAGGCAGAAACTAATGACTCATAACCAAGCAATTCTCTACAAATTGAAGGCAATGAGAGTATCATTTGGTTCAGTTCTTACCCGTGATGGCAAGGCAAGACTACAAATAAGATTAAATTTAGTAGATGCTGCTTGATTCATCAGCATTGCTTCTTCTCTTACCTCAAATACGGCATGTATTTTGAAAAGAAAATAGGGGGCAAATGTTTCGAAACAAGGTGACACGAGCATATAAAAACTTCTGTGCTGGAAATAGAGTTCATTGCAAGTAAACAACAGTGTCAATTGATAATGGGTTGCCATACCAGCATATGGTGAATCTCTCTCTTTCTTCATTTCGTATATTACCATGGTTGCTACGACATTGTTGATCAATTTCCCAGAAGAAATTTGGGAGCGAATTTGCTCCTTCTTGAATTTTCTAGACAGATTTCAGTTGGCAATGACAAGCAAAAAGTCTTACGATATTGTGAAAATGATCAGAAGCAATATTTACCTAGCTGTTGACCTGAACGACCAGCGCCAAAGCAGCTTCCTCGTGCATCAGGTTGAACATTTACAGATTTCCAATCCTTCAGTCTATTTTCATGACCTTTATAAGGTTCTGACGCAATTTCGATTTGTTAATCACCTTGATCTTACCCTTTTGGATCAGGAAAACTTCAACAGCGGTCGATTTTTGTCTTGCATTGATCAAACAAGACGCTCGTATAAAATAACTGTCAACCCAGATTATTTCAAGAAGCTCAGAATAGAAGTTGATTTTAAAAAGAACAAAAGTGTTGAATTAATCGAGTAAGTGAGAAACATTGCATACATTTTGAAATCCTTCGTTAATTTTCTTTGAATTAGATCAAAAAAAAGAAGAAATGAGGAAGAAGATGGTGGTCGAGGCAAAGGCTTAGGCCGTCGTGCCAGAGAGGTTTCACCAGTCAGTGAGATTATGGCTCCTTTGACAACCAGCCTGCTAATGTACGAGAGAAGACTACGAGTGATCATAGCAGCACCCAACGATTATATCCCAAGTGCTTTATCAAAGTTTGATATTTCAAACGAATACCGTACCATGATGACTGGTCTAGAGGACTTGTGTACTGGGAAGGCATTAGAGAATAATGTATCGTCGTTAGGTTCAGCCTTTGTAGAGTCCATTCTAGTTTCAAATCAAGGATGTTATGTGTTGGTAACACAGCTAGAGGTCTATTACAAAGACAAGTCCGTTGATGATACCAGCATCAACAACGTGCAGCTGATAAACAACCACCATCAAAAGCGCCCAGTAGTTAAAACTGAGAGAAAAACAGCATATAAAAACGCTTGGTATGAGTTGAAGATATATTTTAAGAATTACGAATTGCTTATTACCGGTGCTGTTTGCGGGAGATTTGACAACGATCAACATGAGTGTTTCTTAGGAAGTTCAAGCGCTCCAGTCACCCTCATGCAACAAACACACTGGCTAATTATCGCACCGCAGACCGCCGTTCCTTGCGAGAGAGATGCTCGTTTATTGCAAAGTTTTCGCAATACAGCCAGCACCAACAATTGGACATTCAAATCTCAAAACTTTGTAAAAAAGGGATTTTACACCGAGCATCCTCTTACTTTTCACGAAAACACAAACAGAGTTGTAGATTATTTCAGCTTGGCGTCATACATTCTGTATTGTGGTTCAAGAGGTGTCATTAATCATTCCCAAGTACAGAAATGCAGAGAAATGGCTGAGACGATGGAAGTTTGGAAAGATCTGGGTCTGTCACAAAAGCCAAAGTAATTTATAAACTACAACTTCTTTCAAAGTAAATTATACTAATCAACGACTATATATATTAGTTATAATGCAGCAATACTGGAAGCAACCAAGCAAAGCACAAATATTGGCCAATTCAAAAAATGGATGCTGCAATTCATTTACGGCGATGAAGAGAGAGATGCCACCAACAATGAATTAACATTACTGTACAAGAATTTCTTATATCAGAAATTACGAGCTATCAATGACAAAAGAATGAAGCTGATCAAGTAGACAGTTGCCATTTGTTTATCTTTGAGGTATAGCAATTTGTTAGTTGAGTTGCTACGACTGTATTTTTATCTTTATAGTTGTACTATTCTTTCTATGTATAAATCAAAATATATTTCCTAGTCTGAATCATTGACATTTATTGCTCATCGTATGTAATGGCAAAAAACGTATCCATATCTTTGGCAATATATAATGGTTGTCTTTTATGAAGCAAGTTGAGGTCTCGACGAAATCGTTTTAGATTTATTGTCATGCGTAATAGAATATTGCATCATCTGCTGCTGCAGTTATGAAGCCTGCAGCTGATCCGCTACTGAGCGACCTCAAAGCGATTTAGCCCCCCGCTCTGAGGTTGAAGCGGCAACGACATTCGTGATTGAATCGACTTAAATCGACATCGTTTCTCCTATTTTGGTAAATTACACGCAGTTAACCTAATTTACCAAACCAACTCTCTTATGCTGTCAGGTGAAGCTTTTAAAGGCGAATCGAATGGTGCTATTTGTTTTGCACTTTTTTTTTCCAAAAGTAATGCGTACTTTACAGAAGTTTGGAAAGGTGTTTTTGGAGAAAATGCCGAGTTTTTGCATACACATCTCTTTTAAAACCAATTTGGTACGCTGCACACGACTTGTAGAAGTAGTTTAATATTAGGAATACCATATACAAAAATGCCGTTTTTGATGTGAAAAATGCGAACAAGTAAAATCGATGGATTTTCCCTTGGTATTACTCATCTAAAATCTCGAAATTTCGACTCTATTTTTTGGACAAAAAAATTTGAGATAATGCATCGAATAGTTACTACTAGTCGAGAGTAATCGATTGGTGTTATTCCGGATGTCTAAAACGGCCTGTAAAGGGTGGTATTTGGGATCAAAAATACCCACTTCTGTGTCGAACCTAATGTCCTAATGTAGACAGTGAGAAACAATGTAAATCATGATCCGACTCTTGCTGAGTTACTGAATGTCCGCAACCGCTACAGACTCAACAGCCCCCAACCAGGATCAGGATATATTATTGTTACATACCTGTTAAGCACAAAGAATAAAAGGATTATTATTTGTAGCTTATAAAAAATGTTCAATATCATAAAAACAAGAAAAGACTTATTTGAATAAGATCAGACACAAAAACTAAAGATTTATTGATGAAGACAAGAGTTATTCTATTTATACTAAGTTCTGAATGCCAAAGTAGCAATTTATCTTGTACAACGCTTATCACATCTGGTGAACCTCAGCTTTTACGTAGCTGAGATGCACCTCAATTATCATAGCTTGTCCATGTTGTTGCACAATACAGACATATCTACCCATCAAGAATACCTTAATCTTTATAGACAGTTGTAGCCCTTCTGGCACAACAATACCATAATCTCTAATTACAGCACAACATAAATAACGATATTAGATAGCATACAAATACAATATATATACAATATTCAATCAAAATGATATGGGCAGCGTCCGTCATTAAAGAACCTCTGAAAGGACAAAAATATACAATACGGTAAAAAGACTAGATCAGATATTATACCATTCAGCCATTAAGACCGATTCTTAGCTGGTCTACCACGTTTCTTCTGAGGACGAGTAGCAGCCTTATTCTGATTTACTGTTGCAGGAGCAATCTTGCGCTTGCCAACAGCCTTTGCACCATTCCTTCTACCCCAATATAATTCAATACATTCAGTAGAGTTGAAATGTTCAACAGGTTCCCAAGTAGGTTCATCACAAATCATTTCCACTGCACCAAGTATTTATACTTGCCCGGTGAGCCTCTATGGTTGATAACCGCTTGAACCTCTTGATGTTCGCGAATGAAATCCTCTTTAGAAGTTAGCGTAGCATTAGCGGCAGCATTATACACTAATTTATGCGTAGGTACATCATAACTCAGGAGATTACCTGTACGATCCATCAGAACGTACGAGCCTTTGCTAGTAATTCCGTTGATCAAATAGGGACCGTCATATCGAACATCCAACTTGTTGCTCTTATTCTCATTCACTACCATCACCTTACTCCCAACGGGATAAGGCTTCTCGATGATCTTGTGCTTCTTAGCAAAACTGACATGATCCTTCTTCTGAGTCTCTAAAATACGTTTCGAGATAGCTGGAATAAGATCATTTTGAACGAAGCTATACTTCTCATCAATGTTCTTCTGATCCACTACATCGTAACTACGAGTCAAGTCTACCTTTGAATAATCCGTCAAACCATTAGGTTGGCGATTAAACAAAATCGTACAAGGACGAGACTTGTGCAATCTAGCATACTTGACATTCAGACAATAATTAACCCAAGGAATATAGTATTCCCACTGATCACGTTTTCCTTTAAGCAACTTAACTGTTGTCGACTTTGCAAGTTTAATCCAACTCTCCGCAACACTGTTACCCAACGGGTTCCATGCTAACGAGAGACGTCTGTCAATACCACTGATCTCGACCATAGCTTCTACAACCTCGTTGACGAATTCCTTTCCTCTATCAGATGTCAAGATCTTTGGCCAATCGAAAAGAGAGAAAACCTGAAGTAATTCACGAGCGATAGTAGTAGCATGCTTATCTGGAATGCAGCGAATGACCGTAAATCGACTATAAATATCCGTCATTACGAATATGAAGTTGCTACCGAATGAACTTGTGACACCCATATCACCAAGATCCATACACCAATGATCCAAAGGTTGATCAGCTTTGGCACTTCGGAAAGGATGATAACCTTCTCGAGCAATGTTGAACTTGTTACATTCAATACAATCCCCCAAGATACGTTCAATATCCTTACGAATGTTAGTCCAATGGAATCCTTCATGATGAATAGCAGTTTCAACATGGTTGATTCCGAAATGACCGACCAAATGTTGAGAAGTAATCATATTATCTCGTTCAGTAGCAGGTGGGGTAACATAATCGCGAAACTTCATAGTACGTAAAATTAACTCTTGTTGTTGCTTTGACGAGGCAGCTGATGAGGTGCTAGCTTTCATCGAAGAATGCTTCACATCAACCAGGCCATCATCACCAATACTAGTATCCTTTCGTAAAGCACGAGTAATTCGAGCAGGAATACGTTTCATTTGAACAGTTGGTGTGGTAGATTTCAACTTAGAACCCATCTTTCTCTTCTGCTTCAACCTTTCACCTCCATCAGCATAGTACCTGCCCCCCAGAAGATGGCGTGCGGAAGCATCGTCATCTTCATACAGCCGAGATAAAGCATCAGGAATAACATTCAAAACACCAGGTAAGTGAACAATATCAAAAGTGTAAGAAAAGATGTTCTCCCACCACTCAAGCATCAAAGCATTAGGAACCTCTTGCGTATTCAAATAGATCAAACTCTTGTGGTCCGTGGGCAGGGTAAACCGTCTCATATACAGAAACCGATGAAACTTTTTTAATGAATAACAAATTCCCAAAAGCTCACGTTTCGTAGTACTGTAATTGCGTTCAGAAGGAGAGAGTTTACGCGATACCAAACCAATATACCGAATTTCATTCTGAATTACTTGGTACAACAAACCACCAATTGCAGTAAGACTAGCATCAGTAGCTAAATGAAATCGACATGAGAAATCAGGGGTGGACATAACCAACGCATTGGTAAGTGCATACCTCAAATTTGGAATAGTTCTGTCATACCTTGCCGTCCAGACCTTCGACAAATCTTTACACTGCTTCAACGAGTCGAGATCACCCGTTAAGCGAGAATACATCGGAATAGAAGATCGGAAATAGGACATCAGACCCAGAAACGAAGCAAGCTGTCTACCAGTCTTAATAGGAAGCCACTGCATGATATTGGTAAGTTTTCTTCCATCAGGGACTAACTTGCCATCAATTACACTCCATCCTAAAAGGTAAATGCTTCTCTAGATTCAAAACCAGATTAGCCTTTGTCAAACGACGAACCACTTCAGCAACAAGTTTAAAGTGATTTTCCAAGCTACCCGAGGTACTACAGATTATATCATCAACGTAGCAGAACACTGACTGGTCATCCTTGGTAGAATTGGGAGTAGCAGCATTGGACGTATTCAGATCTGACAACAGATTCTGCAATGTACGAACAACTACTGAACCAACATGACGAATACCGTACGCAGCCTTCCGAAAGGTGTACTGAGTATTGCTAAACGGCGAAGTAAACGAAACCTTATGAGCTTGCGAGGGATCCAATCCAAAACTGGTAAAACAAGCATGGATATCCAGACAAGTATGAATCGTTTTATTCCCAATATTCTGATGAATACATGAAATCAACGGCAACTGTTGTTTGTCATCAACCTCCAAAATCGAATTCAACTTACGGACGTCTAACACCACACGAGGCTTAGACATGTCATAATTGCCATTCGAATCTTTCTTCTTCACCACCAACAACGGATGATTGAAGCGGATATGACTCGCCGATCGTTCGATAACGCCTTCATCAAGCCACACTTGGATCTGTATATTAACAGCATCCCTATAGGCCTCCGCAAGTGGATATTGAGCACGATAGGCACCACAGCCAGGCTTAGTATCCAGCTTGATAACAGAATCAGGCAAATTACACTGAGTATTTCTCATGTCAATTTGCGAATTGTCCAATAACAGTTCATTCAATAGCCTAACGTAAGGAGCACGTTCCTTATCACTACCAAATGAATGGTGATTAGGTTCAATCGAGTCGTCAACAGGATCTGGCTTTCTGGGACCAGTCTGAAAATCATGCTGACTCACTAAACCACTAATACCAATACCAATCTTAGAGAGAACATCCATTCCCAATAACACATGTACATTTTCTTCTGAATAAAATGTAAAAACTTCAAATGAATGTGAACTAACAACTTTATTATAAGTAACATTCAAGACCACAGAACCAACACGAGGAACGGTAGTCGCTTCATGTGCCAACTGTACAATACTGTCAGCAGCAGCAGCTTCAAAACCAGAATGAGTACGACCTCCTAGATGATCGAAAAACTCGTCAGTAATGCAACTAAAAGTCGCACCAGTGTCTACGATACCGAAACAAATGACATTTTGTACCACAATTGGAACACATATGGCATTGGAACGCAATGTAGGAGGTGCACTAAATACAGCATCAAACTTACATTCTTGAGCAGACAAATTCTGCAACAAGTCAACATCAGACACATAAACACTGTCCATACCATCAACAATCGAAGCCTGAGCTCGACCACACAGGTCCTCAGCATCGGTGATAGTATGACCATCTGATTCCGACATTTCCACATCAGAGTCAACCTCAGTGTTCTCAGTCTCCTGAACAGAAGACAAACCAGGACTAACTTCATTCCGCACAGGAACAGGAGCAACAACGACAGACGCAGCGGAACAGGCATTGACCTCCCTGCTCTTTTCCCGAAGTACGGCAGCACCAGCCTCAGACGCTAAAGCCTTGTCCATCGTGGATTGTACTGTTGGACGCTTTGTCATCATGCGAACAGTCTTCGTAGGACCAGAAGTACCACCGTTGGCACACGAATGACCCTTTCCGTAGTGTCCATTGCATTCCTTGCGCGATTGCTCCGCACGATGTTGAGCTATGGTCTTGCCAAACTTCGAGACCCAAGAATTCCTGATACCAGAATTAGAACGACGCGAAGAAGCCCCACGAGCACCAGAAGAACTCGGTTCCTCGTACCATCTTGACTTCTTAGCCTCATTGGATACTGGAAGGTGTGAAGCATCCGCTTCTCTCTTGCGAGAGCCCAAGCGATCAACACCCTTACCGACCTTCTTCTCAATAGTCGCATCCAGACGGCGGGTCACAGAAGACATATAGTCGATATCATAGAACGAAGTTTCGGAAGCTTGGCTCATTGCTACAGTAAGCAAGCGAGAAACAAAATTCGGGAACGCATCGAAGCACACCAGAGCAGCCACATGCTTGTCAGACACCTCGGATCTTGCTCTCAAATCCTTAAACCGTTCCAGGAAGGAGTCAACAGACTCACTGTCTTGCTTCGTGTAAGCCAAGAATTCACGGATCCGAGCAAACCGACTTTGCTCCCTAGGAACACCGTAACGAGAGATGATTGCCTTCTTCACAGCGGACCCAGAGATCTGCGCATCCCCTTGTCCTTCGACAAATTCATTCAGCCAGTTACGCAGGTCAATACCCAAGTAACGGGGCAACAAGCGGGACCAGTCGGTGTCAAGGCTCATTTCATGAGAGATGAGTATATCCTCAAACCGACGAATACATGCTTCAACATTCGGAAAACTTTCCCTGTTACTATCCCTAATCAGGCCGGTCCATTGGAACAAGGGAAGACCGTCAGGTACAAGAGAGTTGACAGCCTTGGCAGCAGAGCGCAACGAAGAAAAACCAGGAGGCAATCCAGATCCAACAGAGATTGCAAGTCAGCAGCCCTTTTGCCCAGCAAAAGACGTAGGGGTTCCACCTCCTTTTCTGGCTGACCGCCAGCCTTCGAAATTTCGACAGCCAGACCACGAACTTCTTCACGCAAATCCGCAATTGCGTTTTCCAAGGAGCCAGCAGAATTAACAGTAACAGTAGTATGTTCTTGAGACATTTGAGATAAAATGGAGTAAACGGTTGTAGTATAAAATCAATAGTGATCCGGATTACACGGTTAAAAAAAATGTTGTATTCAAAGATACAGTATTAACAAATTAAGATAGATTTCAAAAAAGGAAGACTATAAAAAGTAACCAGATACGAAAACTGAAGATTTATTAACTGATTCAGACACATCCTATTTATAAGAGATCATTACTGATGAATCATCAATCTATCTTGTTGTTTCAACTGAGTTAATACATCGTATCATGTTTATCTAATATCAGTCAATTGAAGGATCCGATTCGTTCGATTAGCCATGATGATACAATCTGTAGCCATCATTATCCTTCACTATCAGAGACCATCATAATCGATTATATGATTCACTTCTGTGTCGAACCTAATGTCCTAATGTAGACAGTGAGAAACAATGTAAATCATGATCCGACTCTTGCTGAGTTACTGAATATCCGCAACCGCTACAAACTCAACATAAATACTGAGGTTCACTAGATGTGATAAGCGTTGTACAAGATAGATTGCTACTTTAGCATTTAGAACTTAGTATAAATAGAGTAACTCTTGTCTTCATCAATAAATCTTTAGTTTTTGTGTCTGATCTTATTCAAATAAGTCTTTTCTTGTTTTTTATGATATCGAACATTTTTTATAAGCTACAAATAATAATCCTTTTATTTTTTGTGCTTAACAATTGAGTAATAATATTACATTCTGTCAAATATTGGATCCGTACTCTGTTGCTAGAATGGATAAAAATAAAGAATTTCAATACGCATCAACGGCAGGATGAAGCTACGGTATTATTAACTTGAGTGATGTAACATTTCAGGTTTTACGAACCAAAAATGCACGGAAGGTTGTTCAGATTTGACGGTCTGTAACTCCCACAAAAAAATACAATTTTTAACTTGCAACTTTTATGGTAAGATACTTTAACATTGTGGAATACATCCACTATGATCTGCATTCCGACAGTTCATCCAGTTACCAGATTTAGATATAAGCTGTATGTACACTGGATTAGATGTACGATATCGATTTATACTATAAGAAGATATGGACTTCAGATACGCTAGTACTATAAGATTCATACTATATAAGATATAGGCTATAGATGGCACCACGGACATGGATGGCACTATAGACTTATACTTGTATTCCGACATTGACTACGGATGTTTACCATATCTGGATAGGCACCAAGATTAATGCAATATGAGCTTGTTGCTTCAGATGTGCACTTCATGATCCACGCTATAAGACACATGCTTATATCCGTGATACTAGCTACAGATACTTTATGTACTACAGACTTGTACTATATATGAGACATGCTATAGACATGCATACGATATGCTATAGACATGCCATATATCCAGATACATGCTAAAGATGTATGCTTAGCGATATACACTCAGATATGTACTATTAATATAGACTAAGAAGACTGTACCTATCGGATACATGCTACTAGATCGATATTAATTATCCTTATAGAAAGGATAGATCAGGGTACTTTGGATGAGAGTCTAATTATTCATCCAAGCAAAGCTAATAAATCATGATTAGCTTGCTGGAGTTGTCTTTTAGCATGATTAGACATTAGTTGATCTGAGTTGACTTATTTGTTAATCTAATTAATAGAACTTTTATCCATTGTTATAGTATATAAGAAGGATCATCTACCTGGCCAGTAGAGAGACTTCAGTTTACTTTACACCTGTCAGTTTGATAATAAAATATACCTTTATCAAGTTGACATTACTGTTTTTTTATTCTTTTTTTTCCGTGAATTTTAGTCTGTAAAGCCTCAAATTCCACAAACATCTTAAATACAATATGAAATCATAAAGAGCCATGTTTACTATCAAATTAGGCCATAAATCCGTTTTAAAAAAATGGCACCTAGCGGACCGATTTAGTCGGGACTTGAAATAAACGGAATTTTAATATTATAGACTGCAATTTTGCACGATAATTAGAGTGGTCTTAACTAAAAACAATGGGATTGGGAAGATAATAAATGTATTTCATTGCTGTTTATTATAGCGCATGATACCATGCATCGATGCATCTACCAAATGTGCGATATTTTTGCTTTTTACCATGGAAAAAAATCGAAATAATGTGATTTTTTGACTGCCAAAGGTAAAGAAAAAAAACGGAGCTTTTCAGTTCGAAGTGAACTAGAATAGTTTCCCAACTTAAACAAAGCCCTAAATGTTGTGCTTGAAAGGCTACAAGTTTCTATAAAGATTAAGGTATTCTTGATGGGTAGATATATCTGTGTTGTGCAACAACATGGACAAGCAATGATAATTGAAGTGCATCTCTGTTATCTAGATGCTGGGGCTCACCCGATGCGATAAGTGCTTTGCAGATAAAATGCTACTTTGGCATTCAGATTTTAGTATAAATAGGATAACTCTTTTCTTCAATAAATTTTTAATTCTTTCTTTTATCTTTTTTAATGATGTCTTTTCTTGTCTTTATGATATCCAACATTTTTTTTATAAGCCATAAATTACAATCTATTTATACTTTCTGATTAACATCTCACCTTAAATTGACGTGTCCCCGCCTCCCTTTTTTTTTTCCTAATAACATTTCTGGACGCCACACAACACAAGTCGCCCAGAAATGGTACCTTAGGTACCATGGGTACCATGGGCATTATGCTAAAAGCCAATCAGAACAAAGGGCAAGTGATACCTAAGAATAGGATATCCTATTATTACAGGTATCATTTGAATGGCCAATCAGAAGCAAGACTCACGGTGCTTGGGTACCACGATACATGAGGTATCATTCCTAATAACATTTCCCAGACACCGAGTATCTCGGTGTTTGAAAAATAGGGGAAAGTAGCCTAAGATAGCCGAAGATAGCCCAGTTCGCGTATGCGAACTTATAGAAAATGTTATCCAGTTATTATCTCTTCAGAGATTGCTTCACTGAGCGGTCTCATATATACCGCTACATAGAGTGTGCTCTGAAATAATTAGTAAAAAAAATGGTTTGAAATCATTATATCATTAAACCGTTATAATCAATTTCAGTTTTACTATTAAAAAAAAATATAGAAAGTTTTTAACAGTAACAAGTGAGCACCAGCCAACTTATAAATATGCTATCAAGCGTCAATGGTTAATTAGCATTACACTTTCTTGATATGTTGTCGTAAATCTTAAATAAGTCATCAACATCACTCAACAATAATGAAAAATAACAATTGAGGAAAATGATGAACAAGATACAACTTATCATCGGCTTTCAATATGATACCCGACAAAACAAACGTTGATATAATAGGACAAAAGAATGAACAAAGGGAAAAAAAGGAGGGATTAGACAAAAAGTAAGAACACCACAAGAAGAGATTGGAATATTAGACAAAGAATATATATAAAACAGGGAATGTGATAAAAAAATGAATAGTGACAATTAAAAAAAAAAATCAAAACAGAATAGAACAAAGCAATAATGAAAAGAATAAGAAAAGGTTGTGATACTAAGAAAAGAACAAAGAAGGGAAAGGATGAGACTGCGATAATAAGAGAAGAAGCAACAACAAGTATGGGAACGAATACTGGATAAACAAGGACCCGACAAAATAGGAATTAAAATGGTAAAAGATACATACATAGAAAAAGAGAGAAATTTACAAAAAAATAAACAGAAAAGAATGCAAAAGAGTAAATAAAACAAAACAGATAGAAAAATTGAGACAGTTAAGGAAAAAAATACAAATAATAGGCAAAATCAATAAAGGGAAGCAAAGAAACCCATGAAAAGACAGAATGTAATATATAAGACAAAGAAAAAAGACATATAAAAGGAGATGGTAGGAAAGCAAAGAGACGAAAGAAATGGAAGTAATGTAAAGAATAAGAAGCAAAGAAAAGAGTAGGAATAAATTTTGAAAAAAAAAGAGAAATGAAGTAAAGAAAGCGAAAGGAGAAGTAAATCAAAAAAAAATAAACATGAAAGAAGAAAATAGGCAAAGATAAAAGAAAGGCGAAAGAAACAATGTCAAGGAAAGAAAATGCGATAAAGAAACAGAAAGAAATAAATAGAGAAAAAAAGTCGAAAAGAAAAAGGTTCGAGAAGGAGGATAAAGAATATAAGCAGAACAGAAAAGGGAAACATGAAGATAAAGCACAGGAAGAGACCGGGAGAACAAGCAAACAAAGAAAAAACGGAGAAGCAAAAACGCAAATATAAACAGAGAAAAGATATATGAAAAAAAAAGAAAGGTGGACAAAAACACGGACAAAGGGGGAAAGAGAGAACGGAAAGAGAGAATAACAGAAAGAGAGAAAGCATATACAGAGAGAAGGGAAAAACAAACAAGAAAAAAAGAAAAGGAATAGGGGATAACATACACAGAGACGAGGAAATGGAATAGGAAAAATTATAGAAAGAGAAAGGACGAAGAAACTACGAAAATAAATACACAGAAAAGGAGAGAAGAATAGGCAAAAAAAGACAGAAAAGGGGAAAGGGGTAGAGAAAAGAAATAGACAAAGTAGAAAGAAATAATAAAAATAGTAACAGAGATAAAGAAAAAAAAAACAAGAGAGAATATGAACAGTAAAAAAAAATAAAATAAAAATAAATAAAAGAAAATAAAAAGCGAATTCATTACCATAGCGGAGCGAATACATTACCATAGCAGAGAATAATAATTACCACTATACAACGAACAGGATGATATTTGTATAGCAAATAGAACACATAAATGCATAATAACATTTCACAAACACGAGGGTACAATGAATAAATACACATAATAAAAATATATAAATAAGGGATAATAGATAATAATAGGTATAGCATATATATAAAATAATACAAAAGTAATGAATAAAACAACACATATTACATAAGATAATATACAATAATCGAATAAGAGACAAAGAAGAAGAAGAAGAAAAAAAAAGAAACAGATTATATTAGGGTTAGAATTATGATTAAAATTAAATATAT